TCGTTCCGAAGATCCATCTAAAACGCCACAATTGATAAGAGCCTCAACCACTAGGGCATCTTTGTCAGTGATGGCGAAGTGCAAAAGGTCTTTGAGCCACATGATATCTCCAGTATATTCTGCCCCATGCACAAGCAGTAGAGAAGTCATGGTAGTACTGCCAAACAACAGCGCCGCAAATAGAGCGGAGTTGCATGACTTTCTCTGCATGCTATCAGTAGTGGATGTCTTAACGGGTTCGCTAGCTGTCGGAACAATTCTGTTTGGCGACAAGGGAGAAATTTGTGAAAAGGTATCTTGGGCCACAATCGCGCTTTGTGGCGGTGTTTCAATGCCGCAAGACCCTGTACATTTCGACAATAGAAGTTGGGCTGTTTGTTGGAGTCCTTCATTAACGGCATGGGCTAATGCAGAGCCTTCTGCATCCCAGCTTCTGATAGAAGCTCCTGCATTTAGTAAGACCTCGGCCACTTTCGTATGATTCAGAAATAAACCTAGCTGGGTACCTTTGGCTGCCACAATGAGAGCCTCGCTAAGCATTTCGTCTCTTGCAGTAGTTGGTATCATGACAACAGGAAGTAGTAGCTCAACAATTCCATAATGACCAGCTCTGACTACGTTAATGAAGAGGAGTTGTGGGCAATCAGTCTTAAGCCCGTTGCCTCTTGTAAAGTCAATGAGGTATCGGACATTGTCCCACTTTCTCTTCAATATCGCTGCTTGAAGCAGATAAACATAGAGGAGGTGGCTTTCCTCTTCAGATAAAGGCATGTCTGCACAGTGGCGCAAAATTATATGAAGGAAAACCGTGTTCGCGTTTTCCATGACTCGCTTCAATAGTGCACCGCCCGACTCGCTGTGATGATTGACACCCGCCCCGCATTTCAACATTGCTGTAAAAGCTCTGACATTATCTCTTTCCACAGCGAGTAGCAGTGGGGCTTGGTAGTTGATATTCTTACTTTCCCAAGGCGAAGTTCCCTTTGCGGCTGCCATTTCGCTGCATATGTAGACCATAGTCTCGAGGTCGAAATAACTCGCGAAATACAGCGGAATCCATTGAGAGTTGCTGGAACAAACACGTTGTTTCATTCGGTATCGCTTTACTTCTGTCAAAGCCTCTCGTCCAACTTCTTTTTTGATTGCAGATATCCACTTCTCAAAGCAACATCCCACAAGCGTCTCTTCGACCAGTGTCTTGATATTTTGAGGTAAAATACGTTGATCTTGGGAAATGTCGTTTCCAGCAAGTTCCACACGCCGATAGTGGCTGACAATATTGTCTCGAGCATATATAGTAAAGGGCTCTTCGTCCCAATCGCGCTTGCTGAAGTCAACGTTTGGGCTATCAAATGATTGAAAACACCTCGAGAGAGCCATGCCATACTGATATGTGTAGTTGAAATCAGACCTGTTCTCAAGATATTCACGGACAGACAAATGTGCAAAACGAAAAGTGTCTGCCGTGGCGTCATGCACGACCAAGTTACAGCAAGCGTCTAGCACTTGGTCCTTGGTGAGGTTGTCGACTGCGTCTTCATCTGCGTCAGGTATCCAAAGAGCAGAAATGAAAGCGGCAGTTGAGAGGTGCGCTTGAGCGCACAAAATCCAATTGAATGTTCTTCGAACAACCTGGGAGGTGGTGAGCTCTTTCGCATTTTCTGAGTCGCCAGTAGCGATAGGCAACTGATCATAGATGATATCATAAAGACCACGTAGGGAGCTGGGAAGTTTGCCGATGGCGTTCTCGACATCGCCCGCGACTTTCATGCTGCGGACGTCGCAGATACTCTGCATGGAAAGACTCACCCAGCGGAACCTGCAATTTGTCAGCCCAGAAGCCTCTTGCATTGAATTCGCATCCAAGTTGACCTACATCCCTTGAGCACCACTCGAGAGATTCGAAACAATCTTGCTCTTCAACTTCTCAGACACACGCCCGTGTAGAAGGCGCCTGGTACAAATCATTCGATTGACCTCAGACTCCACAAATTTCCGGATATCCTCACCATTATCGCTGGCACGGATAGTGATGTTAGGGACTGCAGACATCTGTGCAATGATATCCCCATCCTCTCTGCTAGACGCAAAGACTTTGACCAATTGCTTTGATTTCTGGATGATTTCTTGGAGGCCGGAAAGCAATGCCCAACGCTCGTTGATGTCGCATTCGTCCAGCGCATCTATGACTATCGTAATTGGGTTATTTTCAGTAATGGCTAAGATGAGCTTTATACAGTCCTTCACAGCTAAACGTCGGGGACCTATATCATCACCATATTTGGCGACTCTGGCGTTGTATTCGTCGACAAGTGCTTGCCTTATTGGTAACTTTACGGACTCCGATGCGAGCTGTTTGACAATAGCCTTTGCAGATGCATTACAAATATCAGCAGTTACACCAATCAATAAAACCAGCTTTGATGAAGATAAAGCCCAACTTACTCGTAGAACCTGATTTGGGTCAGACCGCTCCGGCTCCGCAGAGTTTCGTGCACAGTAAAAAAATGCCAACGGCGCCGCCGACGAAGAGACTGAACGTTCGTGTAGCAATTTTTCGATGACCATAGTACTAGACTGGTTTTAGTCAAGAGGGAGCAAAGGCATCAGGTTTTAGTTAAAATTTGCTTACGTCAATTTCGACTTTCCAGAGCCAGCTGTCAAATGTTGTTAGATGATAGGTCGGACGTACAAAAGAATTTGTTGACTTACGGATTCCACGAAGCCACAAGATTGAGGATACACTAGAACAGCTCCACTCCTGATATTCCTGCTTGGCAAACAGCCATTGACCAGTTCCCTCCAATATATCGTCTCTTGCATCCTCGTAGTGATCTTGAATTCGAATGACGGATGTCCAGCGGAGAATTTTAGAACGCTTCTCAGCTGTTGATGGGAATTATTAGTGTAGTATGAAAACAAAGCCAGATGCTATTTACCGTTCAAGTGATTTTGGATGCCTGAAATCTGCTCTCCCATTCGTATCAGAGGATTCCCCAACCCAGTCCAGAGGCTCTGCAGTTGTCTCGGTAAGTCGAGAAGCATATTGAAAGATAACTCGTGAACTATGACCACTTTAGCTAGTATCTCTATCCGTAGATGATTGGCACCGACACTCAGCATCAATATCACGCCGGACCGCATCAACTTCACTCTCGACTGTCGAGACTTGATCTAGAACACTCTGGACCCGGGTACGGCCTTCAATTATTGACTTTCCTAGCTTCTTCGCAATACTTTGAGAGTAGTACTTAAGCGCTTTTGCAATATACAGCAAAACAGCAGCATAAAGCTTCACAATGGATGCTCTCAACATGTCCTTGGCTTTCGAAGATTTCTGTAGGTAAATGCGCTCGACCATCTCGTAGCGCAGAAGAAGAAATGATACCTTCTCAAGACCCTCAGCCATAGCCCCCTGAGTTTGACAATCGTTTACAGCGATCTAGGGGATTGTCAGGACGGTGCGACACTAATGTAGCTGAGCTAACCTGAAGAACGAGTTTAATGCCCGCCCATGGCAAAGCAGCATGAACTGGGTCATATTGGACGATTGTATCCACCACAGCTAACATGCTTGTTATCCATCTTGTAACCTTATTCCAGACATCCACAACAATCACGACCTCTCCTTTTCGATGATAGCGCCACCGCTTATCTTCCCATTCTGATTTCTTAGCCTCGACCTTTCCTAGAAGTTGTGTTAAGATAGCCCGTTTTCCTTCTACTGGCGATTGCGAAGTGTCGGACGATTTGAAAGCCTCCGCATCCTTAGGCGCAAGAGCTTTGAATGCTTCTTCCCACAAGCTTTGGGAGCTGTGTTGACTAAGTCGCTGTCAGCTCTTGGAGTTGCCGGATTGCCAGGAACAGCCTCACTGCAGACTAGGCTGTGCCATACCTTATGTTTAAAGCCATGATACTAGATGCCGCAATAGTTGCGGCCATGCGCGTGTGAACAATGTTATGTCGATATTTTTATGTCTCATAAGCAAGAGGTAACCATCGAGAGGGTCTTCCCATTTCCCAAAGTCAAAGATGTTCTGGAGGTGGCAGCGTCATGCAGGCGCTGCCCTGTCCAATAAACCAAGCCACACCTCGGAATCGTGGTCGGGCACAGAAGAAGGCTGCGAGTTGTATCGTTACGGAACTTGAAGAGAAGTTATTCTTCGCTTGGTGTGCTCCATTATGGAAGTATACTCTGAAAAGTATAAATGTGTGAGTTAATGGTCAGAAGCTGTTTCAAACTTACATATATTACAGTCTGTCTCCGAGGCCCTCCAATCAACGACGATATACTATACATCTCCTCCAAAACCAACAATCTTCTTCCCTCTATTCTCTGGCGTAATAGCCATAACCTTATATACTTTACCCATGCCAACTGGACTCCGATCAACCAGCCTTCTCCAGGCTCCATCAATTCCCTTTTTCATCTCTTCCAGCTTCTCACTTCCTTGTTGCGCAGCACTTTTCTCAATACTCTTGACTAGCATCTCCGCCCTCTCCTTGATACCCATAACTTCCAGAAATGCACCTTGTTCCACAGGACCATGGACTTCAATCCCAGGACTGGCCTTTAGCGCAGCTTCAGCAAGAGCGATGAAGTCCACATCAGCAGAGAGATCAACTAGCCCTGGAGCTTCGAAGGGAGAAACACGTTTGTGCTCTTTGATACCGCGTAATGAGTTTATAGGAACAGTGTCTGCAGTTCCGTAATCTAATATGAGTGCAGCCCCTGATGGAGTTGCTTTGGGGTCTTGAGATGAGCCACCGATACGAGTAGCAATAGCTGATGCATAGGCCTGAGATTCGGGCGAGATCTCGATGATATTTCCAGGGGTTTGGAGGAGGGATTTATAACGTGAGGAGAGGACTGGGAGATACATGCTATGTGGTGTTGCTTGTTTCGAGAGTGTAAGTTGGAACTCTTCTTTTTTATCTGTGGGTGATGCTGGTGGTGGCGTTGGAGAAACTACCAATTCTCTCCATTGAGGACCCGTTGGCTGTTTTGACTTTGATTTGGGTGCATTAGGCGCAAGCGTGTGAGTTCCAGTAGGAGTCTGGATAGCGTCTGGTACTGGTTCTTGGGGTGGTGGTGGAATGGACTGGAAAGCGTGGATGGGCAGGGCATCAAAGAATTCGTGAGCTACAATGAACGGACTTTTGTATTGTCCTAAAGTAAGGTCAATAAGATTTGTCGAATCGAGAGGAATGAGACTTACCTGAGGGTATAAAACGTATATTATCTGTCCAAACGACTGGAATTGCAGAATACTTGCTAGTGCTCTCGTGCCCAATATCAATCTCCTTCATTTCTGCATCACCACAAAGAAGTTTCTTCTGTGCATCCCGTAACGAAGCACTCGCTTCAACCATATAAACGTTGTCAACTTTCAATCCCATGGGCTCAAAATTTCGTATTGTCTATATATTCTATCAGCAACAAGATTCACATATGTTCTTCCAAGCAAAGTCCTCACCCGCAATATATCGTCCATCAAAGTTCCTCTCCCCGGGCCAATTTCAATGAACTCTATTCCTTCCTTCTTCTTTCCCTGGGCCATCCATTGTGCAACAAACCATACACCTATCAATTCACCGAATATCTGTGAAATCTCAGGCGAGGTTATGAAATCTCCTTTCGTACCAAACTGGTCACGGCCTTCCAGGGAACTGGTGTAGTAGCCTCCAACGTCTGAGGTCAGACACATCCGCATGAATGATGCTAGCGGAACTGGTCCAGTAGCCTGTTGACAATATTAGCAAAGCTTCATTAATATGAGATATATTTTGTGTACAGTAATAGCTTCCGAAAGCTGTTTTGCCAGGGGTGTTGACCATTGTTTGGACTCTGATGACGACCAGCGTACACCACGCCAGCTTGGAGCTCTGCACTTCCTCTTCGCAGCATTGTGTAGCGCAAGACGCGCTTGAGCCGCGATAACAGTCTTCATAGCAGTTATTTGCCCTTACCGGGGTTACAATTGCGGTTCGTTGAAAAGTTTGACATTGAACTCGATGTTCGCAGTTAACGCGGTGGTCGCCAAAATAAATATTTCAGCCATGACGACGAAGCTCACCTACGCAACATCACCACCCCACATCCAACCACAACATGAGCAGCAAAACCAAATCGCGATGGGCCAACGATGAAGAAGACGAAGCTTTAGAAGTTCAGCGTAAGAAAGAAAAGGAAGAAAAGAAACGACTGAAAGCAGAAAAGCAGCGCAAGGCTGAAGAAGCAGCAGCGGCGCAAATCGCAGCACAGCAATCGCAAGCTGCAAACACCGAACATGAACTCTCCTCACGACCAGCGAAACGACGGAAACTCACACCTCCGCCTCCAGAATCTGCAGTGGAATTACCACCTGCGAAACTCCTGCGATTTCCAGCGCCAGCGTGGAAGAAATGCCGGTCTGTGGAGGATTACGAGAAGCTGAATGATATAGAAGAGGGTGCTTATGGCTGGGTTTCGCGGGCGAGGGATACGACTACGGGGAAGATTGTTGCGTTGAAGAGATTGAAGATGGACAATGTGCATGATGGGGTTCCAGTTACTGGGTTGAGGGAAGTACAGACGCTGATGGATTGTGATCATCCTAATATCGTTGGTCTGAGAGAGGTGGTCGTTGGGGAGGATACAAGTAAGATTGAGAAGTAAGTATTCCATTCTCATTACATATCCGTTTTCTACGAAACTCAATGCTAATACCTCATCAACAGCATCTTCCTCGTCCTCGACTTCCTCGAACACGACCTAAAATCCCTCCTCGAAGACATGCCCGAACCCTTCCTAACTTCCGAAACCAAAACGCTCCTCCACCAACTAACTTCCGGCGTCCTCTACTTGCACACAAACTGGATAATGCACCGCGATCTCAAAACCTCCAACCTCCTCCTCAACAACCGGGGCGTTCTAAAAATCGCGGACTTCGGAATGGCACGCTACTACAGCGACCCACCCCCCAAACTCACCCAACTAGTAGTAACCCTCTGGTACCGCGCCCCAGAACTATTGCTAGGCGCCGAACGGTACGGGACAGCCGTCGATATGTGGAGTATAGGCTGTATATTCGGCGAACTACTCACGCGCGAACCGCTCTTGCAGGGCAAAAACGAAGTCGACGAACTCTCCAAGATCTTCGAACTCTGCGGTATCCCCACCGAAACCACATGGCCCTCCTTCCGCCGCCTCCCTAACGCGCGCTCTTTGCGCCTCCCCCAAAACCCAATCGCTCAAGGCTCCGTTCTACGCTCTAAATTCCCCTTCCTGACAAACGCAGGAAGCAATCTACTCACCTCCCTCCTCTCTCTAAACCCCGCTCATAGGCCCAGCGCGCAAGAAGTCCTAGATCATCCGTTCTTTAAAGAGGATCCAAGAATGAAGGACCGCGAGATGTTCCCTACGTTTCCATCGAAAGCGGGGCTGGAGAAGAGGAGGAGAAAGGGCACACCGAATGCTCCTGGGAGGGGGAAGGTGGGTGGTTTTAACGAGGTGGATTTTAGTGGGATCTTTGGGGGTGATAGGGAGGTTGAGGAGAGGGGTGGCGGGTTTGCTTTGAAGTTAATTTAGGGGGAGGTTGTAGGTATGAAATGGGCATGGGATCACTTAGTGACTGGGCCGGTGTGTGTCTGGTAATAGCCCACCAGGTATTACCAGACTCACATGAGGCTAGAGAGTACTCCATATCCACGCCTTATAAAGCACCATCTAAAAGGTGTCAAGTTCGCTGAACAAAACAAAATAATACCCTAAATCAAAACGGAGGAAATAAGACCTCGAAATTTTACACCATCATCTGAAATGTCAAATCTGGTTCAATAAACTAGCCCATATTAAGCTCCTCATTCATTGCATCGCTAACCTAAATATAAACACGAATATCCAGCCCATTCCATTCTCTCGCTGCTTTCCAACCCTCTCTCTTTCGCTGCATTCATTAAATGTATATCACTTACATAGCACACTTTAGACTGTAATGTGACACCCCCATTCTCCCCGCCGCTATCTATGCAAAGCCCCATCCCACACACGAAAACAAATCATCCAATAAACACCTTGAACCCCTGTATTTTGCATTGCGTCCCCCAGCCAAGAGGTTTGTCCAACAGATTTAAAGACCGCGTCCGTGAGGCTCTTCCGTTTTGACGACCGTAAAGAAATTCGAGGAAAGTGGCAAAACGTGTACATATTACTTCTCGTGCTTGGTAATATAAATTTCCTTGCTGACTCGTAGTTGGATTACCAGATTACTCCTGTGCCACCAACGAACCATGTGAAACCTAACACGGTAGCGAATCCCATTCCGAAAACGAATCCTAAGAATCTCCTTTCCATGTCTCCCAAGGCTCCGCTGCAAGTAGCACATTTGTATCCGTCCGCGAGATCTTTGTAGGGTTGTGGTGTGTACATTCCGAATTGATATTGATTGTAAACTTGAAGGTATCCTGGCTCGGCAGTGGCAGTAACAGACAGATCGGCATCATAAATAACGAGAGTGTATTGTGCAGTGAGTAGGGGATTCTGCAGTCCATCTGGGCCAGCAGTATACGCCGCCGTGTCCCAGGTTACTGCATTTGTTGCATTTCCACCGATCGTCATATTCGCGGTCATCGTATAGTATTGGCTGGCGAGCGAATTCGTTGCAACGACATTGAGTGCTGTGGGGGTTGCTAGTAGGTTCGTATAATTCCAGGCAAATGTGATATTGTCTCCGATCTTGTAGAATTGGGATCCAGCAATGACAGCTGGAGTCAGCATAACGACTGCTCCTGCCGGTGTGTCTGCGCCATATGATGTATGATTTGCGGTTGTTTGAGCGGTTGTCTTGGGTGCGCTGGTGATAGGACCAGTACTACTTTTAGTGGCAGATCCTTTAGATGCGGTATTCGAACCTGTCGCGGAGGTTGACCCTGATGCTTTCGCTGATCCGCTTCCACTCGAGCTAGGTGCTGATGTTCGAGTCGCTGATCCAGTAGGTGATGGTGTTGATTGTGGTGCAGCCGAGGAACCTGATAAATGTCAATACGCTTGAACGATAACACGTCAAACGGTTATACTCACTATCATCTTGTCGTACAACTAATGCATCAATCTCTGGTAACCATTGTGGCCAAGGCCATGCTGCCGTAAATGTCGTGAGAAGAAGAAGAAAGATTGAATAAAACTGAACGTTCGCTGTGGTCCTCATGATGCTGGTGTTTCGAAGTTGTTGACACGCCCAGAAATCACCCAAACCCCTCCAAAATCCTCCCAATTCAATTTATTCCAAGAAGATTCGTACGCGATGCTGATTGCAGTATGTTATGCCTCGTGAATAATGTCCTAGGTAGAGTATGTCGGATCGTTCGATTGATATTGTGGTGATGGATTGGTTGATGGTGCAATGTTCTTGGTACCTTGTCCGTTGACCGGGCGAGAGCGTGAATCTTCCAAGGGGCTTCTGCGGCACCTAGCTGATGTGCTGCGAGTGTTCTTCTGCTCAATAAACGGACTCCTGAAATGCACAAACGACCGAACGAGTGAGGTCTTGTGTGTCTTACAAACGAGAGTATTAATTAAAGAAATGCCGGTTGAAGAATGTCGTGAAAGATGAAGCAAGAGATGAAGCATGAAATGGAAAGGGATGAGGAGGCGAGAAAATTCGGGTCTCCGTCAGAGGCGAAATGGTTGGTCTCACCAGCTTTGGGCAGGGGCTGCACCAGTACATTTCTCGTATTTACTCCACGCTCTTGTGGACTCTATTTTTAGCCACAATTTATGAAAGCAATGCTATACATTCGAACGTATTAGAATATTCAAGGATGTATTATGGTCGACTTAATGATTTCGACTACACAGATATGAAACAATTTTTTTGTACAATCATAATTGGATGTGATACAAAGGTAATCCAAGGCCGGGTATAGTTCCGGTCATGTCATCCTATGAATTTACGAAGCTCAAGCGAGTACAAATATGCACTACCATTGGACAGCCGGACTTTGTAAATATTGTCTGTTTAATCAAGAGAATTTTCTAGCTAAGAATGTAATGTTATCACGAGAAAGATATCCTCTCGTTGTTGAAACACTAACTTCTAGTCCCAAAAAATGCACCATGAATGTACCATTTTTCATGTCGTACAAAATGTTCGGGTTCGTAACAACCTGCAGCTGCGGACGGCAGCCACAGTTTGTTGTCAAGTCCTGCCCATGGATCACTGTAAGTTTACGCCACTTAGATAAAGCTAACTGTTGGATTACATCTAGGATGCGAGCGAGATTATGTGCTACACACTTTAGGGAAGGTACTACATACTCAAGTCATTATTCCAGCAAAGTAAATGAAATAGACAGACAAATTTGCATTCAAGTTCGAAATGCCAAGTCTAGTGAATAAGTGAAGCATTTCAAATATGTACATGCCAAACCTCCAAGATCCAGCATTGAATAAGCCTAGGTAGGATCGAGTAGTGAAGTAGGATCAAGCTTTAGCGAAATCCTGATTACCCAATATGAATCACAGACTTGGCCATATAAGGACTTGGTCGCTAGCTTGAAGATCGTGGCAGACGACGAAGGCCCCAGCAATACGTCTCTTTCCTGTTCTTCTTCTCGCTTTCGATTCGAGAAATGTGGTTGCGATTTATCATCGATACATGATTTTGTACCCCTTGCGAACAACTTGCAGGCGAAGTGCTGTGGACGAATACGAGTAGTCCTACGGCAATGAAAGCACAGCCCGATGTCAAAACCATTATGGCCACTAACAGCAACAAGACGCTTTGAACTGTGGACATTGCCATCGAGACTGGAATATTATTCTCGCTTCCAGAAGGCGGACTTTCCGGCTTTGCACCAACAAAGCTGCGCCATGTATGTTGTTTCTTCAATACCTTCGAACTGTTTGTAAAGGTTGACTTGTCTTCGGCGCGCTTTCTCATATGTCTTCGTGCCCACCATCTTCGCAATCGCATGAAGCTATGAGTGAATGAATGTAATGCTGGAGGTGCTGCAAAAATGACACCAACGATGGCCAATATGATACCGACTTCGATGCCGCTCATCACACTTGGATGTACTATTGTTTGTTGGCGAAAAGGAAGAATGAGGTCAAGATAGGAGAGATGAGTTCTAACTTGGGGACAGCTTTGCAGTTTCCTGTTGTCACGAGAAAGTAATACTTTGGTAGGACAAGCTCAATGCTTTATACTCAAGGAAAGACTCACTTGAGCCTCATTGGTATCCATCTTGTGATATTGACTATGACTTTCCCGTCAGGGCATCTCTCAGAAACTGAGCGGATCAGTCGCCCTTATATGGCTTCTCAGTCGCAAGAAGTTAAGTAGGGCCGGCGAACACCACGGCCTGGCAAGGTGAGGCTCTTGTTGTGACATGTCAGGAGCATTTTCGGGGCAACAGGCTCGCCCAAGAGCCAATGTCCATCATAGGGCGAGGAACCGAAACAAGACGCAACGGCCTTACTCTTCGAGACCAAGGCTTTTACGCGGTAATGTATAACGAAATGTCGTGTTAAGTCATACAGACTCATACTTGCACGAGCCATTATATCTGGTCCATAGGAATGTCGTAATGTGTCGTACTGTACGTACACCGCATTCAAGGTTATTCTAACCACTCCATAGGGAAGCAGCATAGCGTCGCACTGTACGTACAAATTACCCTGCCTAGGTAGGTAATCTAACCGCTTCATAGGAAGGTCGCACGATGTCGCACTGTTCGAGTACAGGATGTACGCATTCTCATTGTGACTGCTCAACACGAGGCTCTCAAAAGTCGAAGCAATGCACCTGTACGATGTCGATCGACAGAAAGAGGGCGATGAAAACAAATTAATCCCAGGTATGTTGTAATATCTTTCCACAGTTGGTGTAGGTAGTGGTAGTAGTGGTGGTAGTGTTGTGAAAAAGTCGCAGACCTGTTGTTGTGAAGTTAGGGAGACAGACCAATGGTTGCCCCTGCCTTCTAATCACAACCGAAATTTCGCAACTCAAAAACAATAACAAAACAATCAACCAGGAAGAGTTTCCAAACTCTACCAAAAATGAATAACGGGCAATAGATCATGCCAATTTCAAAGATATTTGACAAAATGTCCTTCTAGGCAACCAAATTCTTTACCAAACCCTAACAAATGCAAGACGCGCAATCTCTGTCGTATTTCTACGCCAAGGGAGTATGGATGGTCCAGATCTAATCTAGACAGGGGTAATACATTCCAGCACTAGGAAGCACAATTGGCTGGCTCCCTCTCCTGAACTTCAAAATGTCAAATACGCCTCGACAGCGCTCGAATTCCAATGTGTACTTCCAGCGAGCGCATCCTCGTTCCATATTCGCAGAAAATGAGGACTCGCACTCACCAAATGTCAATTCCTTCGTGACGAAGACGAGGAGAAGGATGCGCTCTCGCCGATTCCTGGTGTTGACTGCTCTTGTGACTCTGGCTGGCTTCACTCTGCTCTACTTGAGAGGTCCAAGATTTCCAGACACAGAACAATACAGACATTCATTGTCAGAGCTATTGCCTCAGACTCCTACCCCTCTGCCATTGCCACACACGGAACTTCGCAAGCCAGAACCGCCCCAGATAGGGTCTGGCCACCCAGTATGGCAATTGATCAAGGACAATGAGAAGAAGTTCGAGGAAGAATGGACAGGGCAGTCGAAGACGCTGGCGGCAGCAGTTTCAAAATACCGGAAACGATATGGTATTCCTCCGCCACCAAATTTCGACAAGTGGTACGAATTTGCAAAGGCAAAAGGAGTTCAAATGATTGACGAATACGACACGATACACGAAAACTTATTGCCCTTTTGGGGCTTAAAACCAAAAACGATACGACAGCGGGCTCAGGAAGGGTTGGGACATGACCCAAATAATTTAATGGGAGTGTTGATTAGGAAGGGACAGGTGAAGTTCGTTTCCGGAGCTGGAGAATGGCAGATGGAAGCTACAGCGGGGATGATGAAGCATTTTGTGAAATACCTGCCGGATATGGACTTGGCGTTCAACATACACGATGAACCTCGAGTTATTGTGCCGCATGATGATCTGTCGAGACTGGTTCAAATAGCGAAGGATACGAAGATGCCAGCTGCAAATGCTGTTGAGAAGCCAAGGAATTCGTGGTCGAAAAGACCAGTAGACTTGAGCGATGGTTCTCGTTTTGAGGATGTCAAGACTACAAGGTTTAATGTGTTTGCACATCAACCAACATGGACACATTCAAGGATGTCATGCTCGCCAAGAAGCCCTGCAAGATTATCTTTAGAGGACGAGCTTGCACCTGACAATGTTGACAGTTACGCCGTTGGGGAATTGGGATTCATCTACAACGAAACTGCATTTTCGGACGTCTGTGAATCACCATCCCTCAGCCACACCTATGGTTTCTTTGACCGTCCAAACGCATTCAACATCGTCCATGATCTCTTCCCAGTTTTCTCTCAATCCAAACTATCATCATTCAACGATATAACCTACCCATCACCCTGGTATTGGTACGGCAAAGTCCGCTATAACGAAACCGAAGATCCACAGTGGACAGAGAAAGAAGACAAAATCTACTGGCGAGGTTCAACCACCGGCGGCTTCAGTCGCGACGGAGGATGGCGACGCCAACATCGTCAGCACGTGGTCCAAAAGATCAATGCCCTCGACCAAGCCAAAATTCTCGTCAATCGCGGCGACGAAAGCAAAGAAGACTGGCAAGTCAAACAAGTCCCTCGTACCGAACACAACGCCATCTTCGATATCTACTTCTCCCACGTTGGCCAATGCGACCCCAACGACTGTAAAGCGCAAAACGCATTCTTCGACATCAAGAAAACAGCCAAACAGGAAGACGCATGGAAATACAAATACCTTCTCGACATTGACGGAAACGCTTTTTCGGGTCGTTTCTATGCGTTCCTTAAGAGCAGGAGTCTCGTGTACAAACTTGCGATTTTCAAGGAGTGGCATGGTGAGTGGTTGAGGCCGTGGGTGCATTATATCCCGCTGAGTTTGAAGGGTGATGAGTGGGTTGAGGCTGTCCGCTATTTTGCGGGTGAGGCGACGGGGAAGAAAGAGGCGGAACGGATTGCATTGCAGGGACGCGAGTGGGCGGATAAGGTACTCAGGAATGAGGATTTGGAGGTCTGGTTGTTTAGGTTGTTATTAGAGTATGTCCCTTCCCCCTTTACTTTTTTTAAGATTCACTGCTAACACATTGAAGATATGGGCGTCTCGTAGATGACGATCGAGAGACGATTGGGTATTATACCCCTTCTCTCGGCGCTGCCTGATTTTTCCCAACTTCACCAAACAATTTCCACCAAATTCCCAGTACACATCCTTATCCCCACTACATCTCACTATCATGGCTGTAAAATGGAGGAAATCGGACATGTAACATATGTACCTCATGAAAATATGGGTTCACGGGCTATAGCACTATGGAAGTTTTAACGCATGATCCTGGGAAAGGAGATGAGTAATAGCAGATTACTGTAAGTAGGTAAGGTACTTGGCTCTGTACATAGTTATGTTAGTTTTGTTGGGTTCTGTAGAAATTTATACCCCATTTTTACCATTCTTGAGCTATGGATGCTGGGTACTCGCTTGTCTGAAAGTTTCAGAATGAATGATGATAGGTGACAGAGAACTGTGAGATTTGAGTATCAGGTGATAAAACTTTAAAAATTGATTTCTTCTATCTGGTATATATATTTCCGTAACACCAATCGAATCCATGCAAAAACCATAACAATACATACATCTATCAAACATCAACTCCTCTTCTGCCCCATCTCCACATCTCCCTCATCAAAATCATCCCAATCCCTCCCCCACCCACCCATCACCTGTCTCCCAACCCAAATCCCCACCGCCGTTCCCAAACTCGCAAACAAAAACCAGCCATCAAACCACCGATCCACAAACCCCGGCTCAAGCGGACTCCCAAGCGCATCACTAACCACGCTCTTCATTTCCACAGGCAAATTACTGCGGAGGAGGAGCGCGCTGGAGATGACGTAGGTAGCGCTGATCTGGGCGACGAGGAGCGCGAGGTTGGTTTGGGCGTGGTAGAGGATGGAGGGGGAGAGTTTGGTGAGCATGTGGAAGGTTTGGAGGACGCTGTTGAAGGAGGCGAGGAGGATGAGGCCTGAGAGGAGGAAGGAGATTTGGCGGGACCAGGCGAGCTGGTCGAGGGATGGGTCGACGTGTTTGGCGAGAAGAGAGAGCATGCGGTTTATGGGGTCCGTAGTAGAGGAGGTGAGGGAGTCGGGGGAGGGGAGGAAGGTTCGCTGGAGGGTAGTAATAGTTGTGGAGAGGATGCGGAAGATGCAGTAGATTGAGAAGGCGTAGGCGGTGGGTGTTAGGAGTAGTTTGCCTAGTGGGGAGGAGGCTCGTCGGTTGAAGGATAGACGGTTCTGGAGGAGGGATAGGGAGGCAGAGAGACTGGATCCCATTGATTCGAGACCGGAAATTTCGAGCTGGAGGGCTTTGAGTTCTTGGGTATCAGGAGATCCCCGTATGGACCCTAATACTTTGTTCATAAATCCTTCTGTCGGAGTTTCATTCATTTTCCGCTGAAGCGCACGAAGACGACTTCTTTTGGCGGCAAGCATATCATTCGTCGCATCAAGACCAGCCTGTTTCCGAGAAATATCTGCTTCCGTCACAGGTTTTGGTCTGATTCCAAAGGTTTGCCATGGATTGGAAACTGCTGCAAACCCAGACAACAGTGCCATTAATGATATCCCAATAATGCCGACTCTTTCAAGACACGCTTCACTCAGTCCTTTTCCAGGCTGCGATGCAATTTTATGTATATATGTTCCCGGTATGCCCTTTCCCAGCCACCAAAATCCAGCTAGCCAGAGAATAAATCCACACAGCTGAAGAAGCCATGCTACCCTAGGAAGTCTACCCTCTGCGGTCCTTTGAAAATTCCACCCTGAGGCAGATACGATAGATTGAAGTTCCAGAAACGGAATAAACACCACCAGCATGAAGAGAAGCGTGGGAATCGTAACCTTCAGCGCCAGACCTCGTGCTACAGGATTCAGAGTACTTGATATTTCGCAGAGTATCAATTCTGCTAGAACTGCAGCGAGCGCAACCGTTGTAGAGAACGCAATTGCAATAACTCTCCGTCTCCCCGTCCTGGCGCTGTATTCAGCATGTTTCTGTCGCAAACTCGGAGGCGCATCGCTTGGGAGATAATGATCGTCCCCTTCTTTCGACTGTTGCAGGCCAGCAACTATAGGAAATATCTTGTGCAGCGCGACGAAGGCGACAATAACGAATGTAGCAATCAGTGGGGTGGAGGATATCGCGATCGTTGCAAACGAGGGAGGGACATGGTGTCCCGGTGCGAGGCAGGCATCACCGGTGTCACCTTCACACTTGTCGGACGGAAGCATGGTGTAAGAGTGCCGTAGCAAGTGATGAGATGCAAGATCTCATTGTAGTTTCCACGCGAAGGACGTTCGCTATGGTGGATTGAAAGAGTGAAGCTGATTACCGGTGGTCCAGAGGTTGACGCGGACGGTGGCGTGGCGGGACGAAACAGACGGACGTGCGCCAAGAGATCGGCGGTACCTGATAAGGTTGTGGATCTTCAGATCCCAGAATAGATGGTGATGCTCGCGGACAAAATAAGTGGCAGTTGAAACAGTATTTATAAGAGTGAATAAGTAAACAAATATCGTGTACTACTTCTATCTCTGTTATACTCCTAAAATGGGGCTTCTTTAAATACACGCCTAAATTAAACTAGAAATCAAAGTCCCTACTACTCTAGATAGTTATTTTACAGAACACTATAGAATTTCACTATATTTATTATCTTCAACAACTGCACTTTTACTCGACAAGGTATACAGTACTAAAAGATAACGAAATCGAACCGGATGTTTCTTCACATAGCGGGTGCGATATTATTATGTCCGCCTCAATCTCCATCTGGGAAGAGAATTATACGAGAGCAAGCAGATTGCCCTAATATATCATTTGTGAAAAATAATTAAGCTAAATTAGCACCAGTGCTATGAGAAGAGCCGAGTTCAATCTTACTATCCATCGACCTCTTGAAACAATTTAATAGTGATGTACACTATCAGCGTGTGCCATATTTGAAGCTTTATACCAGTATTGCTGATACTATTAGTTTCCTGTTTCGCCCCTCCAAACCATAACGAATTAAGCAATCCAGTCCTAAGATCAAGAACGAAGCAATTTTGGGGTATTCGCAAGCAGCAACAGACCGTTTGACTGGCCTTTGGGGTATCTGAACATCACTACCCGCGGCCAGGATTTAGGAAATCCGCCAGACGCCGTAAAAGCCCCCCTGTTGATTGGGAACAAATGAAATTGGTGCTGCCTCTATCTGATGATACTTCTGGCTGGAAGTTGGTAGGGGGTCAGATTATGCTGCAATTCCAGTGAAATTTGGCATAGGAAGTGGAATCGAGATCCCATGCGTGTCGTGTTCGCCTTCTTCATCGACTGGATCTTCATCATCATCAGTATGTAAAAGCTGGAAACGATTCATTCTCGGGGCCTCTTTTTTCTTCTTGGGAACTGTATTTTCCCTCTGGAATTGCTGCGGTCGCTCGAGTGGAGCGGCGCATTCATCTTCATCCCATTCGATCTTGGATCCCTTGTAAATACTAGATGTTGTCAGGTCGACAGTACACATTTCCTGGTTTATACTTACGCGCGGCTCATCAAACAAGTTCTAGCGAACATAGCATTATGTACTGAGTTGGTAGAAATGTGAACGTTCTGATCTCTGAAGCCAATTTTGATTACAATCAGGTTATGAATATGTTCGAGATGGTCGCGTATCAGTTCTTCGGTATGTTTTGGGGTACGATTCTGGATTACGAGGTTTCTGGTGGCCCCTATGGTGATTTTGTTTGCCACATGACCCGGGAGAATAAATTGGCGATCGTTCCATCGAATCTCGACCTGCGTGATGTTAATATTCGGCCGGCCAAATATAGAAAGAATAAACTAACTCGCTTCCCTCGGACATACAGATCATGACGTTTGACATGTCGAAAGAAATCCTGGGCATGAGCTTCTTCTAAGAATGATATGCTCGCTGTACGATCGTGCGAACGTAGATATATATCAAGTAACATACCACCCCTGACAACATCAACAATGTCCGCATGAGTCGTCATTTCATGTAAATTAGCTAGTTGCACGGTGCGTTTAGCAAACTTGTCATACTGTTGCCGCTGCGTCTGTGTCTTAGACTGTGAATCATGATTTCCGCTTCCTTCATCGTAAAAGCCATCTGGACCGTCGGGCATGTATGAAAAGTCATCGTTGGTTTGAAACTGGCCCTGGAATCCATTTGTATTCTGCTGGCGGAGATCCGAGTTTCGAGGAGTGTAGTTAGCATTGCGTCCGTATGTATAATCCTGACCACCATTCGTCGGCAGCGAATGCGAATTTAATCCCACTCCAGTGAGAGAGTCTGCTTGGAGCGATGTAGCGTTCGCTTCGTTTTCCGCCAGAGGCGTATCGTCCTTGATTAAAACCTTTGGCAACAATCAATGATACAGTTAGGTAGGAAGGATATAGTCGAAACTAACTGCAAGGGTCTCTTCTGCAATTCCTCCTCGAAATAGATTGCGTCTGAGATTGGCTAACAAGTACATCAACGTGGATCCTCTTTGATTCATGGCTACCTAATTGTGCCAATAAGAGCATGCGTACCATATTGCCGGGCCGATATCAACTAAAAGCGTGGTCAGCAGGCGTACACCAGATTGAGGGATCGTGGGTGATATCGTACAAGACTATCATGATCGGTCTTGGGAATTGTAACGGTCGCAACATTGAGAGGAGTTGTATAATCGACGCCGGATGTATGCTTTAAATAATTAGAATCATCAATCAATGCCCCCACTTCGGATTGAGACTTACAAATTGGGCTCTGATTGTGGGGTAAATAGTTAGCAAATCCACTCGACAAACAAGCGCACGCAACATTCCTGGAGTGAAACAGTGGGGATCTACCTTCTCAATAAAGTTTCAAAATAGGCTTTGTCTATAGTAACAGTACCAGATGCCATATTGACTTGCAGAAATGCACTGTTACAACCAAGTACCAGGCCTGGATGTATTCGATGAAATATGGAAGACAAAATGTTCGAAACAGAGCTAACACGCCAATGCCAAGACATGTCTCGTTTAGAAGCACGGCGGCTAAATTTATCATTAGCGCGATGACCTGTGCTTTCCCGGTACAGTGCCGATGCGGTCCGAAAAGAGTCAAGACCGAGCCGAGAAGCCGACAGTAATGGAACTGCTCCCGAGCAGCAAGACAAAAATTCTCACGCCTTGCCAACCCGTCGGATCCAACCTTGAAACACTCGAAAGGCCAACACATCCATCTTGGACCACTGCAACTGCAGACCTTCTAAAATTTCAGCAGCTTAAAACTACATTGACCAGCTTGGGAGCCCTCTGTTAGGAGCGGACCGCCTCATCCTCGAATTCCAATCTATCCGCAATGGTTTGATTCTCGTTCTCATGAGGAAAAGGAACCGAGAAACTCGATGCGCTCGGCAAGCGGCTATAGCTAGATGAAATCTAGAGGCTGGGAGAAGAATACTCGTACACATCATCGATTCCTTAGTTTGGGCCCTGGCGCTTTCGAACGCGCGTTGCTTTCACTTGAACATACGCTGATGTTCCCTCTCACTACTAAACACGACACAAAGATCTAACGCTGGTAAAGAATTGGTAGAAGTCATCCAGTTAATAAAGCTAGCACAAGCTTATTGCGCCCCAACTATTCACACTCTGGAATTTACCAATGATGTCTTTCCAATTACCAATTGTCGGCCGAGTCTCGTCTCGAAAAACAGAACGACCTAGGTATAGAGGCTATATGTTATCCGCATTCCTGTCAGGAGAGTTGCCCGAGCATTACACCCTAAGTAGGGCCAGATGTATGGGTAATCTAAGCACTCGAGAGATACTGGAAGGAAATCGCGCAACTTCTCCAAAGGACAAGGTCTCGTCCTAATCATTATGAAGCGGTTGATTGTAGTCAAATGGAATCCTCGCATGTTCAGCATAGCCCAAAGCAGCTCGCCCTTGCGTTCGGAGATCTTCCATCGAATCACATCCTATTCCCGAGACGGGCTTCTCTGCTTCTGGGCTCGATTGTCTTTAGAACGAGAGTCGTACGCATATTGCTACAATCCATCTCTGACGCAGGCTGAGAGGCTCTTCGAGACAAACGTATCGTATGCTTGTTTTTGATGAAGCTGCGGGAGATATCCTGGTTGACAACGATCACGAACTATCACGCTCAATTTCTCACTGGGCTCCAACGGCACGGCATATTGAAAATCCTCCCCTTGTGAGGCTGAGAGGCTTGCTCAGGTGAAAAATCACCTGCAAAAAAGATCAGGTCTAAACTTTGCGGTTCATTCTTGATTTCATCTCTCATCCTACCGTTCCACATCAAGTTCCGGTTGCAACCCGTAATGATGGGATATCTGAACCAGAAGTCCAGGAAAGGAGATCCCAGACATTATTGCTCGCTTAAATAGTGTTGTCCAACTACCGGACTCGTGGATTCCTGGAGCACTCACGAACCCCACTGTCATGAAGAGTACAAGAGTCTACCCCGCCATCATTTTCTTCATATCCCACATTTGCTTTTCAATCTGTTATATTTTTCAGGTATACCCTCTTATCGAGGAGACAAGACTTTACACTGCCTCCCACATTACGCGTCCGCTGTTTTCTTTATCGCGAAAGCGATTCTGTCAGTTCACTTTCGTGTTACACTCAATTCCCCGTATGCACGTCTCGGTGCTAGAACACGCGTCATTCTCTTGGACTATATCATTATTGGTGAAAATTGATATGTCTTTACTAGCGAACCGAAAGTTGGGTGCCACGTTAGTTCCCGATGTAGCTAAAAACGACGAGCTTAAATTATCCATTAAGCGAAAGACTGATGTCTGGACGTCCGCGCATAAGGGACCAACTCCGAATGTAAGCTCTGTTTGATTTTCCCACCCTCAGTGCCCAGCAGAATTCTACTTATTTGGAAATAGCTACGTCCTAGAGTGCTGTTTAAGTCCGATCGTCATGCCACTAAAAGTACAGTGACGAATTGCGAGTCGGGACAAGGAGACCTGCATCGGCATACTCTATTACCACTTGACGTATACGCTGCTGGGGTTTCTACGCCCAGTCTAAAGTTTAAAGTCTCCTGACTATGCGTGCTTTGTTCCGACTGTTTCATGTGCTGTGGACATGTATATATCCAGGGCAATGTCCACAGCGGTCGACACTTCGCTCTCGTTTAGGGAAGAGATACACGACGATGAATATTGCGAAATTAACATATGGCCTTTTGGCTTTAGGTAAGAGCTGTGTTAAGGAATACAGCAGTCCAATGCTAACATTATGCAGGAACCACTGCCTTTGCTCAACAAGCAAGTTACAGTGCTGGCGATGGTGTCAACTACGCTGTCAATATCCCAGCTGCGAGCGCTTCCAGTGGCAGCGGCGATATATACTTCCAACTGTCTGGTCCATCGAGTTTGTCATGGATTGGGTTAGGTCAGGGCTCTTCCATGAGTAACGCCAATATCTTTATAATATACGCCAATGCTGCTGGTGACAATGTTACTTTGTCCCCGCGCACAGGTGTTGGTGAGAAACAGCCAACTGTTGGCGGTGCTTCAGTAACTCTTTTGAGTGGTTCCGGAATATCGAATAATGTCATGACTGCAAATGTCAGATGTAAGGGTCTCCAATTAACGCACATGACGTTTCTAATGTAGATAGGTTCAAATTGTGACTCTTGGTCAGGAGGAAGCATGAGTTTCACAGATTCATCGTCGAAATGGATATGGTCGCACAAATCCGGTTCAGCAGTGTCGTCTGATAGTGCTTCCGCATCAGTGTCGCAACACGATACCCATGGAACAATTACATTTGATCTCCAGACAGCTGCAGGTGGAGATAGTGTCAATCCATTTGCTGCGGCGGCCGTAGACTCGCCTAGCTCGGGAGTATCAGGTGGCACTCCGACTGCTGTAACTTCTACATCCATGGTTGCATCGTCAACAACATCTTGTTCATTTGTCGGGATTGATGGCCAGAATAGACCCACAGGACGACCAACCGGTACTCCAGGATATTCCTGTTCGGTTGTTGCCACTGAAGTTCCCGTTGAGGTTATTGGGACTGGTTCCTCAAATGGAGGTTCCTCAAATAATGCGAACACAGGTGCCAATAGCGGAGGTGCGAACAGTGGAAATAGTAATTCTAACGCGGGTGCTTCTGGATCCCGAGGATCTTTTGGACCAGGTGCGAATTACAACGACATTCTCAAAGCCCATGGAATCATTCTACCAGTGGCATTTGTGCTGATGTTCCCAATCGGAGCTATCGCTATTCGTATGCTATCTTTCCCCGGTCTTGTATGGGTCCATGCAGCGTGGATGGTTCTTTCGTGGTTTCTCGCTATCGCTGGTATGGGTTTGGGAATCTGGATGGCAAACACTTCACGACAACTCGATACTGCACATGCAATCATCGGTATCGTTGTCGTAATAGCATTACTAGCTCAACCCATTACTGGTCTAGCTCATCATATTCTCTTCAAGCGTTACGGCCGTCCTAACACAGCAACATACCCTCACGTCTGGTGGGGTCGCGCCGTCATCACTCTTGGAATTATCAATGGTGGACTCGGCCTTCAACTCGTAGATAACACAACCGACGGCAAGATTGCTTATGCGGTTGTTGCGGCGTTTATGTGGTTAGTGTGGATGACGGTTGTTGTTATTGCTTTCTTCAAGAGCTCGAAGAGATTGGAGGGTGAGACTGGGGAGACGGTACTCCGTCAAAGCAGTACGCTCAATGATTTTAGCAGCTCGGAATACGTGCAGCCACCTATGGGACAGTATGAGGTAACCGTCAGTTCTGCTAGCCCTACGAGTCCGGTCGAGTATGGACGGAATTATGATCGACGTGGGTCGAAGTATAACTTTCAGTAGAGTTATGTTTCAAGTTCATGTCAGATGCTATTGACGATGTTAGGTCAAGATCGGAGTATGGAGTATTTGGGGGAGCCAGCGTTTTTCTAGATATATTGGAAATTCATGACCAAAGGGATTTGATTAGACATCTTGAGCCAAACCCATATAAGAGACTGAATCCTCCCGCAAGTCTGATCCTCAGTTTTATACTCATAAATAATTGTCTTACCATTTGTTTGAATTTGCGTAGATTAACCTACGAGGTGCATACATGCTATCTCGAAGAAGATCACTGCTAATATATGTTAATTCCAACTTCTACAATCTGCCTTAGCCTACCTAGAAACAAATTCATGTAAGATTTTACTACAAGCGAGGAAATGTCACAATTTAGAATTGCAACGCCAGCTAAGCCTGACTGCAATATTTTGACTGTTGTAATCTCCAGGAGAAAATAGAAACTAATTAACTTCGTTTACAAATAATAAACCCTTGAGTTGATGCGAAACATATAGTTAATGATACATTCACGTGACATACCCTCAAACCAGCGCGAGCGAACAGCCCACACAAAAATTCGTCTAAATTGCCCCTCCTCAACCACGATTTTTCGACGACGACGCGCCCAGCTCGACCCCAACACCATCAAACATGAGCGGCTTTCAAAATGGCGGTACGCCCGCGCGAATGATCGACGATGATTCCGATGTCGAGGAGGAGGCTTTGGCCGCAGACTACCGGGAACAGGTTCAATATGAGGGCATGGACGAGATGGACGGAGGCTCTATGAGCATGGCACAACAGACGGACGATATTCAGTCGAGACTTGCTGCTGCTGCACAACCTTTGGATTTCTCTGCGCCGCTAGAGGTCAAGTTTTCGAGTTATGATAATTATTGTAGCTTGTTTCACTTCATCTTGAACTCGGAGGGACCGGTGGATTTAGAACCTCCTTCGGTAGGTATCTGCGCATGGAGATGATGTTCGTTGCTGATATTCGGTGCAGTATTATTGGGCTTGGGATGTTATCGATGAGTTTATCTATCAGTTCAACTCTTTCTGTTCATACCGGAACCGCGTCGCACGGCAGGGAAACAATGAGGAGGAGATCACTGTTTTACGAGAGGCGCCAAATACATGGGGATGCTACAGTGTATTGAACGTCCTATACTCCCTTATCCAGAGATCACAGATCAATGAGCAACTCGCCGCGATGAAGCGCAATGAAGAGCCAATGGCAGTAGCAGGCGATTACGGTTCGAAACCTCTGTACAGAATGTTGGGATACTTCTCGATCATCGGTCTCTTGAGAGTTCACTGCCTCTTGGGGGATTTCAGTCTTGCGCTGAAGACTCTCGACGATATCGAGCTAAACAAGAAGGCCATGTTTGCTCGTGTCATGGCAGCACATTTCACAACCTACTACTACGTAGGATTCTCATACATGATGATGAGACGTTATGCAGATGCCATCCGCATGTTCAGCCACATCCTCATCTACGTTTCAAGAACAAAGAATTTCCAGAAGAACGCTCAGTACGATTCTATCACCAAGAAGAACGATCAGATGTATGCTCTCATCGCCATTTGCGTTGCTTTCCACCCAACGAGATTGGATGATACCATTCACACCGCTCTCCGCGAGAAATACGGTGACCAGCTGTTGAAGCTTCAACGTGGAGGCCCAGAGTCGCTTCCAATCTTTGAGGAGTTGTTCCGTGCTTCATGCCCGAAATTTATCTCCCCAACCCCACCTGACTTTGACAACCCAGAGCTCAATGTGGACCCTCTTGAGCACCACCTCGCTATCTTCATGGATGAGGTCAAGACCAACATGTGGAGCCCAACAGTCAAGTCTTACTTGAGATTATATACCACTATGGATTTGAAGAAGTTGGCTGGTTTCCTTGAGGTTGAGCCAGAGAAACTACGCGGATGGTTACTCGTCAACAAGCAGAGAAGCCGACAGATCAGATGGACAGACAACGGACTTTTGGATGGCGAGATTGTCGGTTCAGGGGATTTAGATTATGCTATGCAAGGTGTAAGTACTGAAACTCCAGACTTCGTGGATATGGCTAACCTAGCTCAGGACTTGATTCACATATCAGAAGCTAAAGTAGGACGTAAACTCGTTGACTGGTATCTCCGAAACCTTGCACGAACATACTAGAGATTTACCAAGGTATGCTTTCAATTATGGAGGCACTGGATGGGAATTGTATTGCATGGTACGGCGTATGGGAGAAAAGCGGTATCTGGACTTTTGATTGAGCCAGCATTCGTAGACAGTTGCATGTAGACTGCTACGAGTATGAATGTGATTAAGCATGATGATCATGCACGAGCTTTACAGAGTTTGCAGATAGAGACCGTCTGCAGAAATAAGTATAAATCTCAAAAACATAGACAATTCATCATTCGTGAGTCTTGGCTTTCGATTGACGGAATGCTTGCCCTGAAATTCCCAAGGCCGCCTTGCATCCCGAAGATGGGGACCGGGGCTGGGCAAATCTAAATCTCGAGCTTCTTTCCGCGACAACATTGATTCACCATCAACACCCACGATATCACGCCACATGTTTAGTACCGACGGAATCACATGTTGATTTAGACTGTTATTCTCTTCTCGATCTCACCACGTCAGTTCATCTTCTGGTCTTTGCGCACCGGTAATGGTAAACTACCAACACGCCCAGACCCTGAAGTTATCCTTGCTTCGCGACAATAATCAGCAATAGATGCATCGATACCAGAACCTCTCGTCCGCAGTCTTTTCAGATTGCGAAGATATCAGCCTGTGGAGAGGCCTAACATAGAATGGCATCTCCCAGCTCCCCACCCATCTCTCCACGAGGCAGCTCCGTCGCCGCCAACTCCTCTAGTCCCAACGCCTCGGCGACGGCTCTCCCATCCGCAGAAAGCTTCGTCACTTCCCCGCGGCTCGATCCGATCATCGAACATGTCGTCGCAGACCATTCCCGCCCGCAGACCGAGAGAGCCAGAGCCTCATCCATCACCAGCATCTCATTCGGGAGTCCAGCGCAGGGACGTCGAGATTCTCCTGGAGGCATGCGCAAGGTCACCCCGCGAATCAGGGACGCGTCTCCCCCACCTCCATCGTAAGTGCTGCCGATTTCCGCGTCGTTTGCCGCTTGTTTTGTCGGATACGCAGCAGGGAAAGTGGGAATAGCTTCATGATTTGGGGTATCCCGCTGTTATATACTACCGCGGGTGTCAATGTTCCCCACGCTCTCTCCCACGTTTCGTCGCTTGTACCAGTCATCGTGAATGCCACCGGCATACAGACGGCGGGTGACCGACCAACCCCACCTTTTCACGCCCGTCTGATCTGGTACTCGTGCCACGATTGAGTCGTGCATGTGCGCTCGAACGTTATTTCGTTTTGTCTTCAAGGTTTCTTTATTTGCTATGTTCTCGGTCTAGACTCTTTGAGGTTGTAAGATGGTACTGACAGAAGATCCAACAAACAGTAGATTCCAGCACCATGTATCCTTCGATAATTTCGGCGGCGGCGAGCCCACTGAACGAAATACGATTTCTTTTACCTTGAATGTAAAGCATAAAGGATATCAATTCAAGAGGCGGTCAAGGACTTTTATGGTTGGAATTGATGAGAATTTTTATTCGGATATTGCTTTGCAATGGATGTTGGAGGAATTGGTCGATGATGGAGATCAGATTATTTGTTTGAGGGTGGTTGAGAAGAATACCAAGCTGGCGAGTGATCGGAATTTGGAGAAGAAACAGTATCAGGCTGAGGCGAAAGAAATGATGAAGCGTATACAGGAGAAGAATGATGAGCACAGGGCGATTAGTATTGTGTTGGAATTTGCGATTGGAAAATTACAACCTACTTTCCAGAAGATGGTATGCAAATTTCTGGGTGGTGTCAAGGACTTGCTAATAATTGGGTAGATCCAGATCTACGAACCTGCTATGCTTATTGTCGGTACACGAGGTCGAAGTTTAGGAGGCATGCAGAGCCTTATCAGCAACCACAGTTCCTTCTCCAAATGGTGTCTTCAATACTCCCCGGTTCCAGTTGTCGTTGTTCGGCCTACCGAGAAGAGGATTAAAAAGAAAAATAAACGAGAAGCCGACCCTTCAAGACAAGACTATGCACGAATTCTTAGGGAGAGTGGATTGGATGAGCATGAAACAGATGGTGGTTCACATAGTGTTGAACTAGAGATATCAAATACCCCAGATGGCGAAGCACATGCCGTAGCAGCTGCCATAGGTCTTCCAGCAGCTTTCGATCCAACACTCAAACCCATTGATCTCCCAAGTTTGTCACTGCAAAAAGTCGAATCGGTAACAAGCGACAAAACAAGCGTTTCTAGAGCATCCAACTCACCCGACTCACGTCCCGTAACCCCAAACACGGAAGTCACAGCTGCTAAATCGGCTTCTGCGGATTCCGGCGATGAATCTAGTGAGGGGGAGTCGGATGATGAAGGGGAGTTTGAAGCTGTGCCTGGAGAGTTGTTACTCGGTAATGGTGAAGAGGATGGCGAGGAGAAGAAGAAGAGACTGCATGATATGGAGGTTGGTGAGGCGAAGGCTTTGTTGGCGCCGGGGGGGAGGAAGAGTAGTGTGGGGAGTGTGGAGAGTTCGTTGAGTTCGAGGTGATTGATTCAGATAGTGATATCCAATATGAAGAAGTTGAGCGTGGCGTTTTGGTGATTGGGAAAATTGGGATTCTTGGGTCTAAGAGATTGTGTACGCGGTGGATGAGGTGAGTGTGGTGTTAGGCGTCTAGAGCGTCAGCGTTATAAGGGTGAAGCGGAAGAGATGGTATGAAAAGGGTCGCTATAACGTTTGTTGGTCGGTAGGAATGATTAAATAATAATCTCTTCTCTCAAGTACCTCTCTCTTCTTAAAGCTTACAAGATCTACGACCCCTACTCTAAGAAAACAGGAGCTACACTAGGGGGTGACATAACTCTCTACGCAGCCGGAAACTATAAGTAATATCTTAACGACGGGACAGTATCTAATTATAATGAGATTTTTTTTCATCCGGTGGTAGTCCTAAGCCTCGCGAATACGTCTATGTTACTAGAAATACGGTATCTAGCTATTGTGTCAAGTTATCTACTTTCGCAGTTCTTAGGTATATAGAGAATTGTAGCACCCACCGGTGCTATGAGTACTCTAGTTTAGGACTAATTTGATAGATATAAAGGAGAAGCGGAAGATAGTATAAAGAGGGGTCTCTATAGTGTTTGTAAGTGCGTAGGGGTGTTTAAATAATGATGCTCTTCTCTTGAGTATTCTTTTTTGTTCCTTCGAAGTAAGGGGGGTTGGAGTAGAGTCTTAGAGATTTAGATATTTGGGTTTAGGGTGTGGGATGTTGCTCTGAGGGGGTGAGGTGGAGGGATGGATGGATGGGTGAGTGAGTGAGTGTTTGGGTTTTTTGCTGGGTTTTTGATGGAGAGATGGGATGGGATGGGATGGGACGAGGTAAGGGGGTGGATTTGATGCGGTGTGGTGTAGTGGATTCTGAGGGAATTAGTTAGGGAGTTTAGGAGTTGAGGATAGTGCGAGGTTGCTAAGGATGGGTGGATGGTGGGCGGTGTGGTGGTGTGGTGGTTGGTAGTAGTGAACTGGGTATTTATTTATACTCTTCTTCGTCTACTCCTACTTAAACTATCTATCCCTCTACTAACAAATCTTATATATATAAAACCTAATACCCCCTAACCTTTCCTACCCTAACCCTATATACCTACCACCCTTCCACTTTCCATTTCCCCCACCTAACTCCTCCCTAACTCCTCACATCCGCCTAAACCTCTCTTCCTCTCTTCCTCTCTTCCTCTCTTCCTCTCTTCCTCTCTTCCTCTCTTCCTCTCACCCTCTCCTATCCTCCCACCGCCCCCTAATCCATTCTCCCCCCCCACTCAACTACTTTCCCACCCCCCTCTCCCATCCCCTCTCCTATCCCCTTTTCTTACCCCCTCTCTCATCCCCTTCCTCACCCCCCTCCCCAAAAACCCATCACAAAGAAAGAGACACATAACCCCTACAACTAATCCCCAACCTCCACAAAACCAAATTTTAACTTTATCTCCTCAATACTTTTATGAAGAGCATGCAATTAGAATCAGGATTAAAACCTCAGAACCTATATTTCATAAAATCATACTGGTATATACACCTACCCCATCGCACCCAGCGTATCTACCTACTCAACATAACATCTCCAGTCTACCATCTACATACACGTAACGACAACCCTAGATGGTATTCTAGAAACCAGAAATAGCTAGTATAGACGTGACATGATTTCATATCCCTACGTCGTATTCCTGAAAAAAGAAGTTTTCTCAATCTCGTTATCAGCCATGCACAAAAAAACTGCTTCACAAACCCCACATATCAGTCAACATCGATATAAACACGTCCGACTTAAAGTCATTAAACCGTAAACCGTAAAGTCCAAAAATATGATTCCACAAGTCCATCTCATCCACCTCTCAATCCTCTTTTTTTTGGGTTTGTATCCCACACATCTCACCTATCACATCATCTCACAGAGGTAACATGAATTTGAAAATTTAATATACCCCCCCTTCTTAATTTATATCATTTCATATTTCATTTCATTTTAAGACCCCCCATTCATCCTTCCATCCTTTCATCCTTTCATCTGCCCACAACGCCTGCTATTCCTCCCAACCAATTCCAAGCCATCATCATCCATCCATCCCCATAAATGGCCAGGACCAAGACCCCCTTCATCCCAGGTATATCCTCATCCATCTTCCAGATCCTCACTCACATTCACAGTGAAATCTCCATCAATTATATAAATTTCCCCCCAAAACACCTCCCGAACACAAACCCATCATCTCTCCCACCCCCACACCTGTCTCAAGAACTTGGCGATCTTGACCTTCGCATGCTTCATCTCAATCATCCACGGGTCGCTGGCGAGTAATCTCCATGGCGTCTTACGTTCTGTTGGGTCTTTGATGAGACTGCGGATATGTTAGTTTTTGACAAATACCATGAGGCGGATATGTGACTTACCATTCCGCGATGAAATTCTTGAACTCACGACTCCGTGTGATAGGGAGTACTCTGAAAGTCATCATCTGGTCCTTCATCTCCTCCGAAATCGTCGGATCTTCCTTGATACGTTCGTCTTCTTTTAATAATTCCAGCTCTTCATGAGTCATGGTTTGTTTCTTGAGATATATGATCTCTTCATTCTCCTCATATTCCTTGTTCAGGTAGTAAAATATCTCGTCTTTCAATTCTGGAACAGGTTGGCGTACGATGAAGGTTAGTAGATCGATCAAACCAGCACGAGGTTGTGCTTCAGTTCCGTCGGCGGGAAAGGGGAATCGATTCTGAGCAACTTCAAGAAGTGTAACACCCGTACTCCAAACATCAGAAGTGATGGTATATCTCTGTCCGGTAATTCGCTCAGGAGCCATGTAGTAGGACGTTCCGATAAATGTGTTGGCGTCTCCTTTTGTACCAAACTCACCACTGACACCGAAATCGCAGAGCTTCACCTGCCCATCTCGACACAGAAGAATATTGCTCGGTTTGATGTCTCGATGCATAATCTTCTTGGTATGAAGATATGAAAGTCCGGTGAGAACTCCTACGGCAACTTTTCCTAGAACACCCTCACCAACTCGACCTTTACCTCGCTGTACTTCGCGATAAATACTATCCAGAGAACCTCCTTCACAAAATTCCATGGCAATAGAGATTGTTGCCGTGCTCGGATCGACGAAAGCTCCGTAATATTTGCAAATATGCTCATGCGCGCACTCCTTGTTGAAACCAATCTCCCTCACGATTTGCCTTTTGACGTCCGGATCCGGAGTAGTAGTTATTATCTGGTAGGTATTAGCTTGATATCTTGTTTCATAATTTAAAACATACCTTGAGCGCAAAGATCATCTTCCCACCCTTTAGTACGCATCGAGTGACAGCACCTCCAGCACCTTCACCCAAGCTGCCGAGCTCCTGTATCCTCTTTTCCGTGCATACCACTCGCCATCCATCATCATCCAATTCATCAACGTCTAGAGTTCTGCCCTTTTCGACACTTTCCAAGCTCATATCCTCGAAACCCTCAAGCCCTGTCATGCTTCCGTCACGTTCCATCACCGCACCACCCTCGCTGTAATTCGAATATAGTGAACCCGCCGCAGATGCCGGATCTGGGGTTGATCTTTGAGGTTGTTGCAATCCATATTGAGATGCGAATGACAGAGCAGAATATTGTGACCCAGCAGACGTAGGCCCGCTCACCCTTCCGTCTAATGGTCCAAAGCTTCCTGACCTTGAATGTGCCGCGCTACTCTCACTTCCACCGCTTGCTGATTGACCGGTCGCTATTGATATGCTTGGTCGCCCACCGCTCTGCTCATATGGAGGGGCGCTGCTTCCCATGGGCGTAGCAAGCTGTAATCTAGGTAGAGATGGCCGTGGGCTGGGGGCTTGACCTGGCATCTGCAAGGACAATCCCCCGCGTGTAGGTCTTGGTGGTGCGGGACGTGATGATGTAGGCTGCTGACCTGGCATTTGTAATGATAAACCGCCAGTTGCAGGGCGTGATAACGGAGCTTGGCCCGGCATCTGTAATGACACTCCTGAAGGTGCAGGGCGTGATTGATTTGCCTGACCTGGCATCTGTAATGATAGCCCCATCGGTGAAGGGCGTGCTGAGGTAGTCTGCCCTGGCATCTGTAAAGACAGCCCTTGTGGTGTAGGACCGCCGCCTACGGGTTTCGCGCTCGGAGAGGGAGGTATCGCGAGTCCCAATCTTGGGGTTCTTGCACCGCTATTATTTCGACTGCCGGGAATCGGTGGGCGCAACAGAGGCGCGGGCGAAGACATATTGAGCATAGAATTCGGTTCTCTATCGGGAGCAGGCTGGAGAGAGTTAGCATTTCCGAACTGCCTTCATGACTGCTTTCACCCCACTGTAGGAAGCATGAAAACAGAATGGTAACATACATAGTCGTTGTATCCCGCGTCGGCGCCTCCCACCGAAGCTATATTCCTTGAGCTTCGTTCTGCACCGTCGCCGGTGTTCTCAGGGTAACTGTTATATTGTTGCATCGACACTGCAGGCCCAACTGCAGGAAGCCGCGTGGTCAAGGTAGAGGGCCGTCGAGGGGTTGTCGTCGGTTCGCAGAGTGTCTGGTGATGTTCTAAGCTCAGATGAGGCCGTCGAGTCTAATAAGTGAATGGATGTTTGTGTCGTCAAAGCGAGAAGTGTTGCTGTCAGGTTGGCTGGAACGAGGGATGTAGTTGGGTTGGTGTACCGAAGCGGGTGCAGGTGGTGGTTCGAGCAAGCGACCGAGCTGGATCGGCACTGGTCGGCGGCTATGGGTGTGTCAAACACTCTTACTGGACTGTTTTCAAAATGGGAAATAAAATGGTTTGTTGTTCACGGACGGACAGGCGGGGGGCATGAGAAAGGAGTAATAAACGGTGCACGCGGCAGAGAGGCGTGGATGTGGTGGTAGATGGGGAGCAAATGGTCAGGTTTGGAAGACTCGATGGTTTCGTGGAGGATGAAAGCCACCATTTACGATCCAGTCCGAGTACGGTCTTTGTTCTCTTCATGTTCTTCCTATTATTATGACAATATTATCACCATCATGCCCAGTAAACCAAGCAGCCCACTGCGAGTGCCATGCTGATGTTCGGCGTTTGGAATCGTGATGTGGTGGTGATGCACACTTGCCTGCTGGATACTTGATACTGGATCCCTCTTGCGTGAACATGCAAGGGAAAGCGTCCTGGGCGCCGGGGCAAAACGCATGCAACGGCGTGGGAGTGGAAGCAGAGCCGGACAGCGCCAGCCAGGGACGAGCAAGAGGCGGAGAGCCGACACAGGAGGGGAGTATCGAGGGAGCATCGAGAGGCGGTTTGGGGGTCGAATTTCATCGAAACGGTACGCGAGGCCAATAGGGGGGGAGGACACAGGAGGGGTCGCTTGATGAGGGGGCCAGGAGCCGGCAGCCAGCAGCCAGGAGTCCAGGACTGGGAACATCCCCTGCGGACGGCGTAAATCATGATGCGTGAACAGGAGTCCTGCGTCTCCTCTTGCCGCCGGGGCCAAATGACCTTGACGCCGCACTCTTCTTGGTCTCTGATGCTCTCTCTGATGCTTTCTGCTCGCTTGTCTGGCTGTTTTCGGGCTGACACACATCCAAATGCGCCTCGTCGGAACGCTTCTCAGAAGACCAACCGACAACTCAGCGGGGGACAAGTGTTGACAGTATTGGAAGAATGCAACATGGCCGTTGAGACCGAAGATTCCACTGATGGATGATTCACGTTGAGGGAAGGCTCGGGTCGAGACTCGAGCGGAGGGTGGTCAGAGACATGCAGTGGTGGAAGGGCAACGAAGTGCTTCGTAAGTGGTGAGAACGTCACCGGAGTACGCACATCTCACACCGCAGATGAGATACTCGTAACCGTGTTGGATTCCACATGTTGGAGGCCAGTGAGTGCGAAGTGCAAAGTGTGGAGAGCTGCGGTGTACAGCAGGTCGTGTTGCATTGGCTCCTCTTGGGACAGGAAGCAGCCAACGGACGCTTGATGTGTACGAGAGGTACATTGGGATATCAAAGTCGGAATATGCCAGTATGGCACCACGGTGACCACACCAAGGCTGACCGATTGATTACATGGTCGATTAGCCATCTACCAGCTTAAATCATACAGTTAACTTTAAAGTCAATAGGCTAAGCGGGCCACCTCCTTCGTTCACGGATTTGGAGTTATTTGGAGTTTGATGTTTGTTGCAGCAAGTTTGTATTCCACGAAATCTGATATTTCCATGCGAGTAAGACCCCGTACATCGTTTTACACGCCCACCATGCTTGGGTCTGAACAATGCATCAACGAGAGACGCTGGCTGGTTCTCTGTGCCTCAACAGCTCTCACGCCCGTATTCTCCTCTCCACATCAAGGCAGATGTCCAGCATGCCATTGTTCGGAGGGCTGGGAGATCAATCCGATGCTTTTTTTCTCTCCATAGACTCGATCCTCATCTCCCTCTGATCGCTCTCTACGCTCTGCTTCGAGACTCGTATGCATCCATTCACGGCAACAGAACTCGGAAGGACGGCCTTTTCCTCCTTTGTACCACCCACCGATGATTCAACTTTAACTCGCCCATTCTCCTCAACCGCAGGTGAAATCATCCTGTGTGCCGCCGTGTGCCGTCCGCCGTCCTCCACCCAACGAAAGGCTCGTCTGACGAATGCTGGCCATCCGAGATGTCGTCTCCATGTCCCCCCCTTTCCGCTGATTCGCCTAGGTCGACCGCTGTTTCAGGTGTTGGGTGGGCGGTTACACGGACACTTTTTGCGCCCATCCATCCGTGTGGAGCCGCCGCCGTCGCCGCTGGTTGGACCCTGGCCACATTCAGCCTTGTCAAAATTTCACCCTGGCGCTCCATGAATTTTTTGGCGCTCGAAATTTCGAGGTCCTGGTTCATGCGCCCAATCCCACACCAACATCATGCCCGCACAGAAGATTGATATCCATGCCGATGAGGTTTTGGAAGACCATACGCAATCGGAATATGAGGGGAATTCCGAAGACAGCGACAATGTGAATAGCGAGGGAGACTCTGGTTCCGAGTCGGACTCTTTGGATAGTGTGGGATCGAGAAAACGTAGGAGAATATATGCGGTCGACGACGACGATGAGGAGAAAGAGGATCAGCCGCGAATAGCTATTTCCACCTTGCCATCGAGGATCAATAAGAGCAAAACGACACCCACGCCAAATTTACCAAGTCTAACCAGTCAAATCACCAATGGAATACTGGCTCCCACCGACCCGAACACCACTTTCGCATCGCTGGACGTAAAGCCATGGCTGGTTGGTAGTTTGAACAACATGGCAATCAAGAGACCAACCGGAATTCAAAAAGGATGTATACCAGAAATTTTGAAAGGAAGGGATTGCATTGGAGGTAGCAGGACGGGTTCTGGAAAGACGGTCGCATTTGCTGTACCGATATTGCAAAAATGGTCAGAAGATCCATTTGGAATATTTGCATTAGTTTTGACGCCTACAAGGTAAGTAATTAAGAACCAATCTTCTCAAAACTATATGTCTAATGATGACTAGGGAACTTGCGCTCCAAATATTCGAACAATTCAAGGCCATTTCATCCCCGCAAAGTCTCAAAGCAGTCCTCATCACTGGAGGTTCAGACATGCGGCCACAAGCAACAGCACTAGCTCAACGACCACACGTCGTAATAGCAACCCCAGGAAGATTAGCAGACCACATCCGTACCTCTGGTGAAGACACCATCTGCGCCCTCCGAAGAGTCCGCATGGTCGTCCTCGATGAAGCCGATCGTCTCCTAGCCGGCGGAATGATAGGCAGCATGCTCCCCGACGTCGAAGAATGCTTCTCCGTCCTCCCACCCCCCTCAAAACGACAAACTCTCCTCTTCACCGCAACCATCACGCCCGAAGTCCGCGCGCTCAAAGAACGACCATCAACCCCCGGCAAACCACCCGTCTTCATCTGCGAAGTCGACACACAAAAACTCGCCATCCCCCCCTCCTTAAGGCAAATGCACCTCCAAATCCCCATCACCCACCGCGAACACTACCTCCACATGTTCCTCCTCACGCCCCTCAACCTCCCCAAATCCGCCATCATCTTCTGCAACCGCACCTCCACCGCCGACTACCTCACCCACCTCCTCCGCCTCCTCGACCACCGCGTCACAGCCCTCCACTCGAAACTCCCACAGCGCCAGCGCGTCGACAACCTCGGTCGTTTCCGCGCCTCCGCCGCCCGCATCCTCGTCGCCACGGACGTCGCCGCCAGAGGTCTCGATATCCCCGAGGTCGGGCTCGTCATCAACTACGACATCCCGCGCGACCCGGACGATTACATCCACCGCGTCGGCCGTACCGCGCGAGCGGGGAGAAAGGGCGACGCGGTGACGTTTGTAGGGCAGCGGGACGTGGAGCTCGTGCAGGCGATCGAGGGGCGTGTAGGACGGGAGATGCAGAGGTGGGAGGAGGAGGGCGTGAATCTGGAGACGAGAGTTGTGCGGGAGGCGTTGAAGTTGGTTGGGGAGAAGAAGAGGGAGGCCATGTTGGAGATTGAGGAGGGGAGGGAGGTGGGGGGGAAGAGGAAGAGGGGAATGAGGAAGTTGGTTAAATAGGCAGGTGGGAGGTGTGTTTTGGGGTTTGGGGTTTGTGGTTTGCATAGTACCTAGGTATTTTCTGTGGGATTTGATACCTTAAATCTGTCATGTGTGAAAAGATTGGTGTATCTCCTGAAGGGTAGTTAGAAATCATGAAATCGTGAACTGCACCATGTTATTTCACAGGCTTATTTACAGATTAGGAACCAGAAATTAGATATGATTCATATATAGTATCATTTTAAGTTCAATATCAAATCTAACCCGCAGATGTCCAGCGAATCTTCCGCAGTTACACCAAATTCAAGTTCTTCACAAAGCAGTTACAAAAAACTATTCATTTCGGAGCCCTTCAGCTGCGTGTTCTCTACCTGCTACTAAAACAGAGACTCCTACTTTCCCAAGGGCGAAATTTGAATTCAAAGTCTTCATTCACAATCTATTTCAAACAGCGACTAAGCAAGCCACAACCTATGCAATCCAGACCCATACCTCAACCCTTCCACATTTCTGTTCAGAGCGCCCCTCCAACAGCCACTCAGCAAGATGCAACCATGCAAAACCCGCCATTTGCTCATAACTCAAACCAGTTGAGTAGTCTCTTCATCTCCAAATAATAACTCCTCATAGCCTACTCAAATCCCATCTTCATGCGATATCAAATCTCAGTTCCCTCCAACCTGAGACTTATTCAATACCACTTCCGGGCTGTTCTTCTGAATCTTATCGAGGATAGTGGTGACCTCCTTATCGAAATCACGGTCACAACGTTTCCATTGAGGGGCTATGTAATCGACACCTCGGGCCATAGCTTGATATGTGAAGGGAGTCATCTCATTTCGAGATCCATTGGCGAGCAAGTCGCCGGTTCTAGGCGTGCTTGGTTTTCGACCAGTTACAATGTGAAAGTTGATGTGGTATTTGCCACTGTAGAGCTCCTCGATTTCAACTTCCGGGAGTTCTGCCTTCAGCTATGTCCAGTCAGATCGTGTTCGTTTTCATATTGGGTGGTATATACCTTGGGAATTGAGTTCTCCAACTCCAACTGATACAGTAGTAGGTCTCTCAATTTTTGGCCGGTTGGCGTATCTCCACCAACTGGCAAGTGGATTATAACTTCTTCGACATCGTAGAAGCTAAGATCCCATATCAGCAAGTTTCAGTCTTTGGACTCTGCTTCTTACCCTGTAGCTTGGAGCCACGATTTCAAATTCTCGGCTGGAACTCCATCACGAGCACGAAGAGCCGCCTTCAAGTACTCTTCGACCCTCGCCGACCATCCAGTAGGTCTTTCCTTACAATCTTCATCACAATCATCTTCCTGTCGATCAAGAAGCTCATCCGTCCAAGTGGTTGTTGCCTCAGTGATTCCTCTCGTCCTGCATACTCTTTTCGGCCCCACGAACGGAGTGCGAGGTCTAGGATCAACTTCAAGAAACTCTACAACTCCACCAGGTTGGAGGATTCTACCAACTCGTTAGCATGTTATTAGTGCTGGAGCTTGGTGTTTACAATCGAATCGAGTCCAAAAAGTTCATGTAACTTTCAACTTTATAGAATACATGTCTTCCTCTGACCAGACTATAAGTATTGGTGGGTAAAGGATTGTTATGTTGTAGAAGGTTATTGATATTCCGAACAGTAAATTGAGGATTTGGATCAAGTGATTCAGCATTACTGAAATAATCGTCCTGTGATTTTCTCGGCGCGGGTGTCTTCGTAAAGTCTCTGTCCAGCATTAGATTCCTGTTGACTACTGTGTAGCAATGACAAACCTTATTGTAACACCTTTATGGACGCAGAGCCAGTGGTTGCTATCATCAATGCCATGCACGATCCAGTTTGGATTCTCACTTTTCGCTGTAAAACACCAAGATCCACTACCACAGCCGAGATCGAGAACTTGAGGTGGACCAAGATTCGTCTCTACATGATCTTCCAGCGCAGTAAAGTCTTGTGACGGAGAACTAGGCTGTTGATATTGCCAATATGATAAATGATGTTCTTTTAGGCCATTTCTGGCAATGAACGATAATTTACCGTCCATCTGCTCAAGAAGTACTTCGCCCATTCTATCACGGAACTAGACCTGGTATTAGCGCTTGCGACGAATTGGTGGTTCTCCAGAAGAAAGTAGTAATTTCCTGGCATTTGACAGAATACTCCGTTATCTCTTCTCGATTGTTACAACTCAGCTGCCCGATGAACCTAAGAAGAAACTGGGAGACCTACTTCATGATGATACGCTCTCCCGATAACTCGAAGAATCTGAGTTTTAGTCATTTCCGTCGGCGTCAGCGGTATCTTAAGCTTCTGAAGATCGACAAGTTCGCCATATTCGTTATACACCATCGAAACTCGTGGAGATGGGGCTCCCGAAACAATCTTTGGGCTCGGCGATCGCTGTATATCGGGTTCGAAAGGTGTGATTGTATGTACCACACTCTTGGCAGGTAAAATGTTGATCAAAGCTGGAGAGCTTCCGCAAGACCTGTTCCGGATGGCTCTTCTACTACGGTCCGGCATTTCCATCACAAAATCTGTTCGTCCACGATAATCCTCCGCGCCATCAAAGCTTATGGGAATGGAAAAGTAATCGAACGTGCCGTATGGAAGACGACTTGGTGTAGCGAGTAATGTGTCGATCGACACTGGCGAATAACAGTCAATGGGTACTGAGACATCATCGATCGTGGCATAAACTCCAGGAGTTCGGTTTCCAAACGTTCCTGGCATTGGGGGAGTGCGATTGCAGCTTTTCGGTAAGATTGATTTGACACGGATGGGCGAGTGTGACGAAGGTGTTTTTGGTGATGACACAGGAACAAACGGAGGTTCTGTCGCGTTTTTGGATTGGCTACAGGCGTTGCATTGGATTTCGGTATCTATGAATTTATCTGACAATGTACCGGTGTCTACTAAAGCCATTCAAAGTTAGCGCACATATACAACTCTCAAGTTCCATGTACGGGGATGGCATGGGATTTTTGTTGTTGATCCAATTGCGGGAAGTGTACTATTCGAAACGCGAGGGTATCAACAGTACCTGCAGGCACATGAGATAAAGCTTCATGAAGCTGGCCCATATCAAAAAACGAATAGACTGAGTGGTCGAGAATGAGAATTGGTACTAAACATGTTTGCAGTTGATCGAAGATGTGAAGGGAAGGATGATGGCTCCATTTCCGAAATCCTATTGAGTGACGAAGTAGGAAAGAACGACCTCGCGTCAACAGCAACCTTCAAACCCAGTGAGGAACGGCAACTTTGCAACATGAAAACTCAACGTTTCTGCAAATTCCCAAATGCATCGAATGTAAATAAACATCTCAAAAATATGATCCATGACATATTTCAACACCTCGCTTCGCTCTAAATACCTGACTCCCTCTTCTCCACTCGGACAACCAGCAATACCTTTCAGCATCTACAATCTCGAAGCAAATCCTCCAGCCGGAGTCGAAATCTTCAAATCCATCTGCTTCGCCATCAAATTCTCCCCCTGCAATTTCCCAGCGCCTTTCAGGAAATGCTCGGATTTCATGTGAGCATCCAAAGCAGCCTTATCTTTGTAACTGATCATAGAGGTCTCGTCAGCTATATCGACTTGAAAAAGAGTACTGGAAGATAAAAGAAGAGGAGAATTTACGCTTCAATCATGATGATCTGCTCAGTCTTGGTCTCATCATCGGTATGACGTGTGATCTCATAACGGAGACATGTAGGTTCATCGGATTCAGTGCTTGTTGCGATTTCAGAGAGGATCTCAACGACCTGGAAACGTGTTAGTATGGTTCTTCGATAGGAATGGTCTATGTGAATGATTTACTCTGTCGGCTTTGCCTGGGAGAGGCTCGAGGAATGCGACCAAGTTGAGATGAGACATGATGTTATGTTAAGGATTCTGACTGGTTTTGTTGAACAATCTGTGTTTCTTGACAATGTATTTATAAGAGCCTAAAAGTTCTTGAATTTGAAAGATTTCTTAGGATGACAAGCTCCATATTTATGATGATTCCTCGAAATCCCTCGTCCCTGGTATATCCGCACCCATCAAGTTCGCTTCGGACGTTTCAGCCATCCCCACCTTTATCCGCAAGAAGAATATGCGTGACTTGGCCCTGCAGACTCATTGATGACTATATAAACCACGCGGATACTTATCCTCGACGTAAAAAGGAAGACAATGTCACCAAATCATTCCCTGCTCGGATGTCTCGGTTGCACCGTTGCGGGGAGATTGTTTGACCGGGTCTTAAATCCGACGGCGTCCTCTAAGATTCGGAGTTACATGTTGGATTGTTGGGGATGACATCGTATCAACACCCGCAATTGACTATTCCAGTATTTTAGACAAATGATTGATCAGTTCGAAATTTGGAAGTGTTGTTGTCTAATTTATACTGTTAGGCAAAAACAAGGATGTATCTTAGGTGCTTAACCAAGCCGAGTAAAGCGAGTAAGTATTGCTAGCCCAGTCACTTAGATGTATGAAACGCACATCGTGTTCTAGATATTTGCTATTGATCGACCATGGAGAACAAATATTGCCGCATGAGAAGAATCCAATCTCATAATGGTGGGATGATGCCATGTATCATTGCGTTGATGGGAATTATTTCTAGATTGTCGTGTAGACCGGAAGATAGTAAGGCGTATCACCTTGAAATAGCCTGTACAGATTTTACTTTTGCTGATAGAGCTGGGGTTTCAATCCTTAATATTGTGAAAGGAGTTTTCTCTCGAAAAGCAATCCGTGTGACGCTGTAACATCATTCCTTTTTGCAAGCCCAGAACTGTTGCCTCCAAGTGTATCTAGCCGTCGTTCCAGAACTCCATTTTGGTACTATATGTTCTCCTTAGCCATCGAATTGATAGCTCTCGAACTCTGCTTCATGATCACGTCCTGTTAAGCTTCGTAGATAGGGTCGCTCTCCTCGCTTCGCACAGAATCGCACCTTCCTGATATCCAGACGATGGAGGAGGGTGCCAATTGTCAACCCTTCAGAGCGACGACCGCTCAATACAATGCTCTTTGGTAGACCAAACCTCCATGAGTTTCACTATGTTTTAGCCACGCAAACATATATTTTCAGTTGATTTCGCTTCACTTCGCACAGCAAGATGGCGACACCTGTATCGTCATTAGCCATACCAAGTCGTAGCAAAGAAGACTCAGATGACTGGGTCACTATCCAAAATAGCCCACGAAGAGCATCAGCGCCTTCACCCGAACCTATTCGGCGCGAACCATCCAGAAGACGGAAGTCCATACAGAAGCGTCGAAAACACAGGTTTCCCAGAACTTTGCGAGGTGTCAAAAACTTGGTAGCTTCAAAGATGGGCTTGAGAAGGGCCTCGGTATCTTCTAGGCATCAGTTCTCGGGATCAGGTAGTACTGCGATCGCTTCTCCCTCCGGCGATGGCATAAATCCTGGAAATCCAAATGCCGCAGGGCCAAGATGTTTGTGGGCTGAGGAGGTTGGCTTAGATGGTGCAGGACGACTTCCACCAATTGAAGATGCCGATCGTATACCACTAATGGCCTTCCCCATTACTAGTGAGTGATCAATTCTGATACCAAATGAGCATGTCGGATGCCAAAATGCACTGTTGGCGCTGGACTAATACTCATCCAGCTGACTGTTACACCTTTTCACCTCATACGATGAGCGAGGCAGGGTCCATGGGCCATTCCCTTACATCAAAGGAGACGCCTCTTTTTGATATCAAGAAATGCACTGCAGAGATTGAGAGGCAGAGGATCGTGTTGCGCATCAAGAATGTAACACGTGCACAATTGCAGGATATTTGTGACCATGTCTTTTCTCGCGAGACAATCGAGAAAGGAGTGTCTCCGATGGCGTTAGACGACATTGTCGAAACCCGATTCGATAAGCTTCTAGAAGATATCCTGAAGGTAAACTACAACGCATATCAAACTGGCACTAAAGTAAGCATAACCAAGTTTCACTTTTTGTTCTTCGCAGATTCGTGGCACATTGTCCCCTTATCCCTTGGCACTCACAGAAATACCGGTGGCCAAAAATTGTGATGTAGAGAATGCTGATTGTCTATTGAACAGTGGTGGCTCAAGGACTGGCAGCCGTCGAAATATTTTGTTGACGTTCTCATCCCTCATGCACAACGTCTTCAAGACCTCTGGTTAAACAGATTTGGAACAGCATATAATGACATAGGTAGACGGCGCCGAAGAGATATGTTGGGGAGTTTTGGGTCTTTCCGCGGAATCGCTTTCAATCCCCATGCTCGGAATAATGAGGAATTGTTCATCGTCCACGAATCCCACCGTAGTACAGGTAAATCAAAGCTTTTTGGAGAGCAGGGGTTTAAGCCTGGAGAGTAGGAGAAGATTCTTTCTGCTAATCTGCTACGAGAAGGCTAACCCGATTTCCAGCTGGTGGTTGAACATGTATTGCGCCTTTCGTGATGGTATCGTAGGGGATCCACACAGACAAGCAACTCAAGTACCGGGAGGAGCTGTTACGGCATTGGCTTTATTACGTGGCGTAGAGATCGATGGTGTGGAGCCTGACACATATGAGTACACTGTCAAAATAAATGCCAAAGAGATGATGGCCTCACTACTTGGTCAACGCGGTCGCCCAGTTAGACTACTGCGAGGATGGGAGTTGGAATCAAAGTACGCACCAGAAGCTGGCTTACGATACGATGGTTTGTGAGTATCTCCAAAGCCCCTAAACAACTTTGCAGTGAATCGCTTTGAGGGAGCTGACCAGGTATAGATATATGGTAACAAGCTACAACATCAAGCTGATAGAGCATCGTTCAGGTAGCAGAGCTGCAGACATGTATCAAGTGAAGACTGTTCTTAAAAAACGCGAGGGCCAAACTTCGCTGGATGAGCTAAGCGAAATCCCTTCTCCGAAGCAGATGGACGATTGGGACATTTTTGGAAAACTCATCCATCTGCAACGTCAAACAATGAAGCAAGAGTTTCGACAAACGGGTTCCAGACCAGGGTATAACACTCCTTTAACGATACATCAGTCTCAGGAGTGATATATGAGCCGAGTGAAGTAACATAGCATACCATAACGTAGAACAGATGAGCTGTTACTAGTGAGCGAGGTTGAAGCTAATAAAGAAAAAGTTGCGTTGCGGACCGTGGTAAATATACAGAATTGAATCCTCGCCGAGGAAGGTCAAAACCGAGAAAACGTCAGGCTGATGGGAATAAAGTGCACCCAGATCATTTCAGACGCGTGTTTGCTTCTACCGTCTCTGGCTGGCGCATAGTGCTTGTCTATGGAAAATGGAGTCCTCGCACATAGACACGCAAATTAATGAATGAAACATCGTTACGTAACGAGGCTTGTCAGCTCCGCTGGAGTGGTATAACAATTGTTACAGAGTGCGTTGCGTGTAATGTGGTGGAAGAAATGAACGTTCGATGATCTCAGGTGAGGGAGGCTCAAGAAGCGAGGGAGGAACGTGGTAATGCTTGGCATCGGAGCGGATAATCATATATCCGATTATGTAGGCGAGAAATGAGTTTTAGCAGCGCGAAATTTGAATGACATTCATTGCAGTCGCACAACTGTAGTCACCCTTTTGCTTGTAATTTTGGATTGTAAATAGAGATATATACGCTATCCTGATCTAGTAAGGTGGCAAATTACCTCGCTAAATGGCGGACTCCAATGGCGACAGGGGTCCTGCTCATTCGAGCCAGAATGTGAACTCTGAGCCTCCATCCAAGCGTCAACGTCTTTTCCAAGATCAATCAACAACGCACCCAAAAATGTCAGAAAATTCGGGTCAAGACGCCCAAGGCGGAATTGCTGAGGCAGACATCAAAAAAGAGACTATTTTTGAAAGCAAGGCCGTTGATACAAAATTTGATCCAGACAGTCGCGAAGCTGAAGCTGGTATTCTTCATTTTGTCAATGATAATGGGTTGGGTTTTTCTGGAACCCTAAAGCAAAGGTGTGTTGCCAATTCGATCTATTATTACCTTTTCTTCACGTCCTTCGCAATCTTATTACATGGCAATAAGAATACTGTTCGGATAAATATTTCCCATTGAGGATGCTGATTTTATCACTTCTGGATTTTCATAAATCCAGGGAATTTCAAATCAGATCCAAGCGTTCCTCTCGTCGTCCAATGTTTCAATGAATGGATCAACTGACATTCTCATCTCAGATACACGGATTTCCTTGTCCACGAAATTGCTCCGGATGGAACTGTCGTTCACCTTACAGACGACAAACCACCGCCATTCAACCCGCATACCGATGAGGTACGTTCATGATGATTTCACTGTTCACATCATGATTGTTTCTGAATGTGTGACCATCGTCTTTGCAGATTTGGCACAGTTTGCTAATTTGCTCGTTTCCCAGCCTGCTCAAAAACTGGATCAAGAACCATCTTCAAGTCGCTTTTCAAGGTTTGGCGCTCAAGACGTCAGGATTGAACTTGCTAAGGAAGAGGCTGCAAAAAAAACGGCGGAGGCTTCAGCAGATAGTTCAGCTTCAACAGAGAAACCCGACGCTTCGTCCAACGTAGATGTCACCACACATGCTGCTTCAGAAGCCGTGACTCCCCAAGTTGACGAGCCTGCGACAACCAACGGACCGACTGATCCCAAGCAAGAGCCAAGCACTGCTAGTACTCCCGACAGCGAAGAGAATCGTCAGAAGCTTAATACCTACTTTGACCCCACCTTGACTGATCGAATCTACGCTCTGTACGAGGAGATTCTTAAGAAACCCACTGCCAAAGCAACCTCTTTTGAAGCCGTTCTCACAGAACCACTTGAACGCCATGTCCGAAGCCAGATTCACGCTGATATCCGCCGCATATTTAATTCTCGTTTGGAAACGGAGGCCGTTGATCAGGGTAAGATCAGTATTGCCGCAGCTCGCCCGTCAAATCCTCGAGCCGCTGCAAAACCTCGAGCACCTAATCCTCGAAACCAAAAAGGTATGTCCAGGGGCAAAGTGGGATGGAATGAGCTTGGTGGAGAGTACCTACATTTTACTTTGTACAAGGAAAATAAAGATACGATGGAGGTTGCTAGCATACTTGCTCAAGCCCTCAAGGTCAACAAGAACACCATCGGACACGCCGGTACTAAAGATCGTCGGGCTGCTACGACACAGCGGATGAGTGTTCCTCGTTTACTTGCTGCCAATGCAGCAAAAGTAAACTACGGTCCTCGTGGACTTCGATTCGCGCGAATTGGCAATTTCAAGTATGAAAAATACGGCTTGGAACTGGGTGAGCTCAAAGGAAACCAATTCACAATCACTCTTCGAGACTGTCATTTCGGAGATGATTCGAGCCTTGATGAAGAATCGAGATTAAAACTAGCGAACAAAGTTGTTGGAGAGTCAGTGCGCCAACTTCAAGAAGATGGATTTCTCAATTACTACGGTATGCAGCGATTTGGTACATTTGGAGTCGGTACAGATGAAATCGGCAAGAAGATCCTCAAAGGAGATTTCCAAGGTGCTGTTGAGTCCATAATGTCATACAGCGACGAAACCTTGGCATATGCGTTGCGCGACACTCCCACAACTGATCAAGTGAACAAAGACGACGTCGACCGAGCTCACGCTATACATATCTTCAACACCACTGGAAATAGCAGAAACGCGCTGGAAAAGCTACCTCGAAAGTTCAACGCCGAGGCTTCCATAATTAGAACATTGGGATCACAGAAGAACGATCACCTTTCCGCCATAATGTCGATCGCAAGGAATCTGAGACTCATGTATGTCCACGCCTATCAATCTAAAGTGTGGAATCTTGCCGTCAGTCAGCGCTGGACGAAATATGGAAAGCAGGTCGTTGAAGGGGACCTTATCTTGATCGAATCACGCGCCGCGATTGAAGCAGCTAAGAGAGATGAGGTCGACGAGAACGGCGAGGTTGTTGTTCATGCAGAAGGAGGCGATGCAGGATATACAAAAGAGGAGATTTTCGATCGAGCCAGACCTGTATCAGCTGAGGAGGTTGCCAGTGGCAAATATACAATCTATGATATCGTTTTGCCGACGCCAGGTTGGGACATCGAGTACCCACAAAATGATATCGGTGATTTCTACAAGGAATATATGGGAAGCGATGCAGGAGGCAATCTGGACCCTGCAAACATGCGCCGCCCGAATAAGGATTTCAGTCTCAGTGGAAGCTATAGGAAGATGATGGCGAAAGTGAGCGATAATTGCACATTCGACGTGAGATCATATCGCGCAGAGACTGAACAGATGGTGGAAACCGATCTCGAGCTTCTCAACAAGTTGAAGCATGCCAATAAGAATGGCCAATACAAGAGCCAGTATAGTGGCAACAAGTCAAATCCCTTCAATGAAGCGCTGCAAGGGAAACAGCTCAACGATCGTCAATTCAATGGAGTTAGAGGCGGTAAAACCGCTGAGCACGATGCGCTGAGGGAGCAGGTGGTTGGCACTTCTGCACATAACGCTTGGCTGAACTCTGCAGATACTATCAAGGCCCGGGACACTGTTCTCAGAGAGGCTGCGGAGGCGGAGGCAATTGCATCTGGATCTGCAATTACTTTACCACAATTTACAGAAACTTTTGTCAAGACTTCTGCGGATGAGGAACGCCGACGAACCAGTAACAAGGGAACTGTTGTTCATGAAGCAGAGAAGCAGAAGGAAAATGTGCCGTTGAATTCAAAGGACAGTGGGGAACCAGCAGATCCGACAAACTCGGCAAATTCTGCGAAGCCAGACACGAATAGTAGTGATACTGTTATGGTTGAAGCCACAAGCTTGGAGCCTGAAGTCGTGAAAACCGAGCCAGCAAATGTGCCGACCGAATCATCACCGCTAAAGAGAGAAGCCGCAGAGATATCAGAGTCAGTTCCCTCATTAGGGCAACCACCGGCAGAACAGGTTGTCGAGGATGAACGTCCCGTACGGATTGCTGTTATTTTGAAGTTTGCTTTGCAGACGAGCCAATATGCAACTGTTGCGCTGAGAGAGTTGATGAAGCAGGGTGGAGTTAAGTCTTACCAAGCAGAATACACCAGTGCTCGCTAAACGCTGTCGGGTGCATGTCTAAGTACATGATCATAGTAGTATGTACTAGAGCTACTACTTTGCCCGGAAATCGTCAATATATTGCACTGGCGCTGATATCATATGTCTGGCTTCTAAAGTTCGGTTGCTTGATTTGCTAGGGAACAGATTAGACATGGCAAAATAAAACATATCAAGGTACTGCCCTTATTCAACAGCCGGATTTAAATACGGGTTGTAGCTTCGAAGAATCGGTTGTGTAGTACACTATTAAAAATTGAGCGCCAACCAAATATCCATCTGAGAATCATACATTCTGTCGTGATTCCATCCATGAAGTCTAAACTATAACATCTTTCAACGTATAAATACAAAATGCTTTACTTGTACAACGAATTACACTGCAACCCTATCATTTACATGGCTTATAAAGTACAGTCTAAGCATCAGCAACGTCTCATTCGGCATTCACCTACTGAGCAGCCTTCTGACCATATTCAGAGTAGAAATTAGACTGTGTAATATGACTACTTTTCCCAGTCTTTTCGTCATAGATTCGACAGCCGAATTTTGCTGCGTTTGGAGGTGTGTATACTATGAATTTATTAGTGTCGGACTTGAAATGACCCATATTTGAATCCAAAAACTAACTCCCCATAGAGCAGAGTTCCAACTTAACCTCAAACTACTATTCTACCAGCCACACAATTTACAGCTGGAAAAGACGCTAAACTTACAATGCAAACTAACAGCCACCTCCTCCCCATCCGGATTCCAAATCTTATGCAACCCCAACTCATCAGCCATATAAGTAACCTGATCAACCTCAAACGGCGTCTCCTTGATCACGCTCATCGGCTCTCCAGCCTTTTGCGGGAACTCATAACGCGTCTCTAGTAATTTCCCTTTGAGGACTTTCATGAGACAGTGGGCATCGGCGTGGTCATGGATCGGTGAGCCTTTGCCGGGCGTCCATACTAGTAGTAGCTGAGAGGATAAGTCAGATGGTGGTGTGACATTGGGAAAGAGGAAGGACAAACAAGATTGGATTTTCCGTTTCCGCGGTCGACGAGATTGCGTGTGTAGCCTCTGCTGTGATCGGCAAAGGTATAAGGTGACCAGTCTGTTTCGGAGGATGTGTAGTTGCTCATCAGGGTGTGCAGGTCCTCGATGTTTATGTCTTGGGATGTGAGGCCAGAGGAGGGACCGAGGATATGGGAGAGTTCAGAGACGAGTTTGTGGAATTCATCTTGTGGTTTTGGCGTTGAACTTGGAGTGAGTTTTGAAATTGGAGGATGTTCTGTTATTGAGGGTGCCATGTTGATATTGTCTAGTTATTTTCTCTTTGTGAAGAAGTGACGTGTAGGAGGGAAATGGTGTGTGATATATGAACTGAGTGGCGTTGAAAGGAAAAACTATAGCTGTCAACCATATATTGAAGCGTAGTAAGAAGAAATATAAATATGAACAAAATATGAATAAGAAATAAATTTCCTCCTCATCAAACACCTCATGACAAAAACATGACTCGAGAGGTCAAAGTTGGTGATCCTTGAAAACAGCCCCACCAAAAAGTTGCGCAGCTGTTCGACCCCTCCATTCCAGACGCCGCAATCAACTCCCCTTCAGCAACCCCTCCACGAACCTTACACATATTTCCAAGGCAGTCTTTCGATTCCCTAAATTATGGCGCCTAAAGGAAAAGGCGGCGACAAAGGTAAAGGCAAAGCGAAAGCTCCCGCAGAAGAAAAGGGAGCTGGCAAGGTCAAACCTACACAACAGATCAACGTTCGGCATATTTTGGTAACTGATCCTCAAGCTGCGATATTGGGATACAGGGCTGACAATGGTATGAAAGTGCGAGAAACATAGTAAGAAGGAAGAAGCTTTGGAGAAGCTGAAGGGTGGTGCGTCTTTTGATAGTGTCGCAAGAGAGTTCTCTGAGGACAAGGCGAGATCTGGTTAGTGATTCCAGTTTATGGGCTTCTAGGTTCGCGTACTGATGGTGTTAGGGGGCTCTATCGGATGGAAGAAGAGAGAGGAGCTGGAGCCGGCCTTTGCAGATATCGCGATGGAGCTTGCGCAATCTTCCACGACTAATCCAACGTATGCCGAAGCAAAAACGGTACATGGTTATCACATTATAATGGTTGATGGAAGAAAGTGATCCTTAGTAACGCTCGGGATGGTATTTGGTCGCATTTTGACGAGCGTTTCTATAGTCAAAGTCCGAGCCTGGAGTCTGGCGTTTGCGGATATCATTTTAATCACAATTGGAGTAGATGAAGCTCTTTAAAAAGTGCCCCGTAGGTGCCCTTATGCCAGTTTCATTTCCCGCCGTAATGCATCATATGTAGAGTACATCAGAAGAAAAATTGAGCAACGGCAAATGTCTATCCACCAGAAGGAAACTCCATAAATCCACCCATCCCTTTTTTTGTAATTTACTGCTCGGTCTGGAAGTAGTTGAGAAGGATCGATCGCTCCTGAGACTCCTCTCCCCAATCCTTGACGACAACGCAAGAGCAGTTGACAACCTTGCGTGCATTTCCCTCACGGTCCAGAACACCTACGAAATATTGTCAGAATTTCCATTTCCAATCTCCACAAACTTATACTTACACAAACCAGCCCACTCGCCCAATTGCTTTCCGTCAGGTACCTTGATCAATGGGATCTTGTGCTCTGAGCATAACGCAACGACCAACTTCTTGTATGCCTCCTCCTCGCACGCCTCGTTAAGAACACACATGTGAGCTTGTCGTCTGTCGAGAGCCTTGGAGGCTTCGCGGAGACCGCGGGCGAGACCGTCGTGCATGAGAGCGAGCTTGAGAACACCCTTCAGAGCATCGAGAACTGACATTTGTCCCTTGGACGCGGCATCTCCAGAGACCTCGACTTCTTCGGCCTCCGCAACATCTGGGGCATTTGAGGCGTTGTCTTCTGCGTCAGACTGGCGAGAATTAGCGAAGCTCCGGGATCGCGAAGGAATTGCCTACCATCTTGACTGTATTTGATGACTTCCGGTCCTCGAAGAACAAGTTTGTTGTTGTATTGAGGAAAAGAGTAAATTCGCTTGGTTGTATTTTTTGGAGTTTGTGTGTGCAATGGTCCTTGCATTGTGAGTGCTTCGCTTGAACCCGCACTAGTGAGACGGGAAAAGGGCGCAGTGAGGCCCGTGCGGCACAATGAAGATCTCGAAGTCAGAAATATTCTCGACCTCACGAGAGCTTCACGAACTTTCTCATTCCCATACGACCAACCGCAAAATCGCATACAGAGGTATGTATCGCCCCTTCGATATGCTTCAACTCGAACGACCTTCATGATAGGCAGAGGGAAAAATCGGCATCTACTCGATTTGTGAGCGCGGAAGCAGCATCTGGGAGGAATTGATGGCGGTGAAAACCTCATGGAATCTCGAATGCGACACAAGCGGTAGCAATTGAAAGATGTCGACACTTTTCGCCTCTTCTCGACGAGCTTGAAGAACCCTCTTGTCAATCATGAGGGCACTCTCCATGCTCAGAGCCCATGAAGGCTAACATTCTAGCTTTCTCGCAGATACCTCACTTCCAATTTTCGATTTGAGAATCTCCTACCGCCAACATGGTCAAAACCTCAGTCCTTAACGATGCGCTCAACGCCATCAACAACGCCGAGAAGTCTGGAAAGCGACAGGTTCTCATCAGACCTTCCTCCAAGGTCATTGTTAAGTTCCTCAGCGTCATGCAGAAGCACGGTATGTCGCGACTTTTTTAACTCAATCTCTATTCGGCATGATAACTAGATAACGGTCTCGATCCTATACGACCGAAGTCCTTTAAGTTGCCGATATATTAACCTGCGAGGATCTTACACGTTCTCTGATTTTCTTCCTGACGTTACACGTTTAATCTTTCGCAACATACTGACTAGCTTGTCTAGGATACATTGGCGAGTTCGAGGAGGTCGACGACCACCGATCCGGAAAGATTGTCATCCAATTGAACGGCCGGTAAGCATGGTATTGTCGCGCAGGATTGGAATTATACACTAACACATTACGCAGTCTCAACAAGACCGGTGTCATCTCCCCAAGATACAACGTCCGTCTCACAGATCTCGAGAAGTGGGTCGTCAAGCTTCTTCCATCCCGTCAATTCGGTTACATCGTTCTCACCACCTCTGCCGGTATCATGGACCACGAGGAGGCCAGACGCAAGCACGTTGCCGGAAAGATCATTGGATTCTTCTACTAGAGGGCGGAAATAGACAAAATTATGAAGACACGTTTGGAGCATCATGAAGCCATGTACCTATCTGGAGCGGAGCAGAGCTTGGAGTAAAAAATCTTTCTGAGTGTTGTGCTATGATACCCCAACTTTGGTTCTTTGCCTAATGGAAACTGGAGTCTTCTAAAGAAGAATGGATAGCTCTGCATGGAGAGACAATTAATTTCCCATGATACTCCACAAAGACACTCTGCAATAACCTTCAGTTTTGTTCTTGCGTCCCATGGATTATTTGTGTTACGTGCCTCACTACTCGAATGAACCTCGACTTGAAACTCTTTATGGCGCTTCCTTTCTATAATTGTTGGCTCGCAGTGACAACATGAGTGGCAGTTGAAACACGTTATCATCATCGTTAATATTAGCCAAACATCGCGTATCCCGCTCCCCTGTAGTGTTGAAGCTAGAGTATTCACCCATTAAACTATAATTTATGTTGATAGAACGATTAGGCAATTCTGCAATTCTTTTTCCTCGTTGCGACTTTGCGAGATAGGCATGCTTTTCAAGGCTAACACACATAACAATATCACGATCTGATTATTTTAGCTTAATAAGTTTGAAAATGATTTCAAGTTATGAATAATCTATTACGCCCTTCAATATGCAAGCATCTTATCATACATATGCTCAATTACTACAACTCCGAAAATGCAGCCCGCTTCATATCTCATACATCCATGCAAATCTACGCTCACACCCGCTTTTCACCCATCTCATCCTCATCCTCAACCTCAATCACCATAATATACACTCACGCACTCCCGACAAACCTCGCCAACCTCCCCTTCACTGCCACAGGTCTGCCATACGATAGTGTGGTCGTAGGCACAGGCGGCGACGCAGTAGAAGTGAGATTGTAGATAGGGAGCGAGGTGAAGGTGTTGGTGCTACTGTTGTAGTTCCCGGGTGGTTTGCCGTGAGGGGGAAGGAGAGTCGGGTAGGTTGGGGGTGTGGTCAGGGTTGCTGGAGGTGGAGGTGGTGGTGGTGGATGAGGGTTGTATGGGGGAGAGGCGGGGTTGAATTCTGGCGGCCCGCTGGCTGGTTTCGATTCTGGAGAGGAAGCTGGATTTGAGTTGGACGTTTCTGGTTCGGCGGAGACAGGTGGGTTGGTGTTAGGAGTTGTGTTTTCCGGACCAGGCTGAGCTGGACTTACGACTCCGGCGTTCGTGATGCCAGTGGTAGGTTTTGGACCATAGTATGTGACGGTAGCTACTGGTACTCCATTTTCTGGTCCGTAATTCTCTGCAGGACTTGGGTTGGAAGCAACGTTGTTTGCTGTGTTTACTTCTGCGACGCCAGGCGTATATACGTTGTCAGGTGTATTCCCTGGTGTGTTCGCTGCGACAACTTCCGCATTGTTAGGTGTGTTTGCAGCGCCAGGAGTATTGCTTGGTGCATTCCCTGGAAGGTTGCCTGGAATGTATGTATCTTCCGCCTGGACAGTGTTTTTACTACCTTGGCCAGCATTGATAGGAGGAGCATTTGGACTCCCAGGGTTGTTTGCAATTTCAGGGGAACTCGGTTGTCCTGCGCCAGGGGTTTCGAGGACGGCAGAGGGCCCAGGGAAGTAGTCAGTGATCGGAGTAGGGGTGTATACACCAGGCGGCGAAGTGAAGGTAACAGTCGAATTCGAGTATGTTGGCTTGGTTGGTTTGCTGGTAGCAGCAGTGATTGAAGAAGTTGTCTTTACGGTGCTAGAAGACGTGGGCTTGATCGACGTGGAAGTGTAGGAAAAGGAAGCGGATCCGGCTGCGGATGAAGACTTGCTTATAGTAATACCGGTCACGCTACCAGTGGATGCGCTGACGGTGGCATTTCCACTTGTGATGGGGCTGATGGTTGTTCCAGTTGAGGTTGAGGAGTACGGCAACGCGTTGGTCGTCGAAGTTCCTACTTTACTGGTACTGGCCGTCCCGGCAGATGATATTGTGGTTGATTTAGATTTCGGTACAGTAGCAGTCGAAAATTTGCTTGGCTCGGTCGTGGCAGGATCTTCGGTGCTTGAAGGCTTGCTGGGCTCCGTTGTGACAGGTTTCTCTACGGTCGTGGGTTTGCTAGGCTCAGTCGTAACTGGTTCCTCAGAAGTGGTGGTTTGAGGCACTGGCTCAGGAGTAGGCGCTGGAGTGGGTGCTACAACAGAAACAGACTTTGTCATCTGAATAGGTGACTTGGGGCCGAACTCAAATGGAATGCACACTTGAGGGAATGCGAAAAGTGCTGGCTCATTCCAAAGATCTTTGTTGAAAAACGGCTTGTCTTTGTCACCATTCCATGCTTGGATGGAAAGATCCACACCAATGCTGGCATCGAATTTAACACCAAACATTTCTGGTCGATTGGGGCAAACTTGTCCTTGAGAGTCTGGGCAATGTTAGTTATCTTGAAATTAGAACAGATAAATCCAACTTACTAAACTCGGCACCAAGTTTCATGGTGACCTTTGGTACTTGTAGCTCAAGCCCAACACCCATGTCAATCTTTTCTGCGGATGTGTTAGAAATACAATCTTTCACAGAAGTTGTGATATCTTACTGAAAATAGTCATGCCGATATCAACACCGACAGCAGTGTAAATTGCAAGAGTGCCTTGTACTTGGGCCTCAAGGGTGATAGGCTTGGTAGTAATCACCGGCTTCCATCCATTAACGTGAGTATCACCGCCATGGAAGTCCACCTTGGCACTAGCAGTGTCTGGTATCTTTGCGGAGATGCCAGTCTTGACTGTAGCAGAACCCTGGACTGCACTCAACTCGAACCCAGCACTGAGCCTTAACTCAGGACCGACACTGAAGATTAGAGGAATGCTGAAGGTAGAAAGAGGAACTTTGACAATCTCCCAGCTCTTCTTCCACTCTGAGCTCAATTCTCCAGAAACAGTGAAGGAAGGGTTGAACTCAGCCCCAAGATTAGATGGTGTAGCCTCGATGTATGCCTCTTCAATTTTGAGCTTCAGGAGTGAGCCCTTCAGCTTTCCTGCGACAGTCAATTTTCCAGTGGTGCCGCAAGAGTCACAGCCGATGGAAAGAGATAATCCAGATGCTGTCGACTTTTCCCACAAAGTTGATGGAATGGAGTGAGCAAGGTTAACATCAAATTTCGGGTTCCAATTTGGGCTGGTGATATCGTCAATTATGTCGAAAGGATTCCATCGAGCAGCCAGAGCAGAGTTGCTAGCCGGGGTATAGGCTCCCCAATTAATCTCGAAAGGATTGTCAAGATCGTACCATTCCGTCTGCACTGCTGTGAAATGAACCTTGAAGTTTGCGTTATCATATGCTGCCGCACTGACTACCCAAGGTTGTCGTCCACTCTCTGGAGAGCAGTCTCCATAATTGACGATCATGACAAATGTACGACGCTCGTTGAAGTTTACCCATTCCCAGTCATCGATGGCATCCCGATATGTGGCTTCGGACTTGAATGTGAGAACTAAGGAGCCGTCGCAGTCGACATCCTGAAGTTCTTCCTTGAAGTGGTCCATGGAGAGAATCATCTGCGATTCTCCAGTTGCCAGGGTTAAGTTGACCATAACATTTTCAGCTGAATCATGAGTTAGCGACGGAGATTACGAGACGGAGAGGAACTATACCATTCCCAGCTTTTCCCCAGAACAGGCTTGTGTCGTTGGCTAGTCCAACCGATGGTCCATCTCTTCGTTGAAGCCCCATTTCTCTTGGTAAAATGGGCTCGAGAATATTCACAACTCTTTCTTGCTCCGTAGCTCCAACTTCCGGATCAGCAATACGCTTTAGAATATTGCTGCCCATCACAGAACTACCAGCTAGTCCTGTCTGCCATAGCGAAAAAGCAGCGAGACCGTAAAGTAATGAATTCATGATTGTTCGTGAAGTCTTGTAGGGACACTAGGCTTATGAAAAAGTCGAAAAATTCTTATGTAACAATAACGGATCAAAGGTTTAAAGAGTGTGGTAGCAACAAGTTAATGATGCAAAACAAAATACAGCCAACAGTCAACTCAAGCAACAAAAGAATGAAGTTGCTTGTAGAAGAGTGGTGAAGAAAGACAATACCAGGTGACATGGAAACGTCTTTATACATCTGGCTGGCTAGACGGTCTGCCCTGTCTTACACCACCATTTGACGTAGGAAGCTTGGCACTCATTATGGAGATGAATGGAGAATGATCGAGTGTAACGGCAGCAGAAAAATAAGCATTGCTGTGGAGAGGATCAAAAGGCGTTGATGGCCCCCTTGAGCCTCCTCCACACATGGAGAAGCTTTAGCCATAGAAGGATTTCAGATGGGTTTGGCAAACTCAAACGAGATTGTAGGATTGCAGCCTTGGACCCGTAATTGGTATTCAGGAAATAGATCTCCAGCTTTGGTATCCATTCTGAACTCTCGTTGGTTGAGCATCATCTACTGCTAAGAAAAGAGACAACCCATCGGCAAGGGCTGCAAGGCTGCAGTGACGGGCAAGCCGTGAGTTTCAGGTAAACTTGCGATGAATTTCTTGCCGTGACGTGCAGCACAAGATCGAGAAGGAATCTAGCAATTTCCGATTCTGTTCTGCGCTTTGAGCATTAACCGAGAAGATTGAAAGCCGATTCTCTTCGTGTTAGAGATCAGCAGAAGCAGTCTCTGAGATACTGTTGTGCCTGATTGATGCCATTTCTTCTCTGTTTGAGTTGAACTCTAATCAATTCAGGGGCTGCTCGTAGAGAGCGCCCCTGACCTGACTTCAAACAATTATCGAAGCAAAAGGTTAGACCGTCTTATACCCAGCAGGCTCAACGGTCTTCGTCTGCCAGTCAAGCTTCCGTGGCAACAAATGCGGCTGTAACAAAGCATGTCGAAGACATATCCAGGGCTGAACGGAAGGAATCTGGTAAGGGGTCAAATTGCTTGGCAACCGAATTGACAGGGGGCTTTAGTGGTGCGTTCCTTTCCGTACACGGGAATGCGCTGAATGGCCGAGTACTTTCAAACGGAGTTATAAGAATAGACTAGTGTAACAACACTTAGGTCAATTAATCACAATATCGATTGCGTGGAATGCCGGCGTACTCCTCAACTACTAAATCAATTATAGATTAGAAGCACAACGGTATCACGTGACAACAAGAATCGGCGAGCTCGCTTGTTTTACAGACCCCCTGCCCCTTTCCCTTTCGCTTAAAGTTGTGTTCGAGTGATCTCCATATTCGAGAGTCATTGATCAGAATCCACTTCCTTGCAACCGTAATACCTCTGGGAGGACAGAGTCATTGTTGAACTTATCATTCATTTCATCGAATATCAGAAAATATGATGAGGTACCATAGGCAGATGATGGCTATTGCTTGCAAATTCCAGGCGAACGATAAACTCGTAGTTTCGCTACGCATTTTTTCCCCATCCAGTAACCCAAAACCATTGGAACATCCTTTTATACCTCCTCAGAATTCCGAAAAATTCATTCTCTCCCTCCCAATAGAGATCCTCGCTCGCATTTTCAAGTGCTGCGAGGACTTCTCTACTGTGGTTGCACTTGCGTTGACGTGCAAACGGAATTATGCAGTCTGGATCAGTTCACACACAATCGTCTGGATGTAGCCAGATCACAGATACGCTCATTCAACGATGTCTTAATAGCGGTAACTCTACAACTCCACTCATCGATTCGTTTCCATAGTTGATGAATGCAGGACCGAGCAACAGCTATCATTCTAGAAGCACATAAAGAAGGACACCGTCCACCAGCCATCACAATCGCTTCCCTCAGCGGGAGTTCAGAACTCCCAGATCTTGATGAACTAAAAGAGGTTTTGAATATGCAGCATCTAGTTCGGTGTCTTGAATACAAGTATTTCACTTCCTCGCATGCACATCATCACTCAATAGAGAACATGTTCGATGATATCCTTGACGAGAAATATCGAGCGCAGAGGCGAAGGTTTTGTAGAAAATTCAGCCATGGGGCAGAATTTCCAAATTCTGAGAATGCGACCATCGATTCTTTTAGGGACGGCTTCTACAGGGCCATGTACAGACTGCTACTTGCTGCTGCAATGCTAACTAGGTCTTACATGGAGCCTCTCGTTCAGGCAAAAGAGGAGGGTGGGAAGAGTCTGTTCTATATGCGCTTTGGACACCATCAATATTGATCCGAGGATACTGATTACTCGCAGGACAATTGGCCCACCGATGCAGAAGTCGCTTATCTTCGTCAGTTCCCTGAATATAATTTTAACGTTTTTGACTGGAGCGAGACCAGGAAGTGGAGAGATCAGGAATACGAAACTTGCTTTGGACCTTTCGCTTCTTGAATCGTCGAAGATGGAAGCACGAGAGACAGAGATAAAAGCTATGATTCGGTCCCATTTCAACCAGACTGGGCGGAGCATAGAGCAGACCTTGGTGCTGTTAGAGAATTTATGCTCCTTTTGGTAGCTTATCGCTGTTCCGAGCTTTATTTCTACAATCAGGAATGCCTACCGGAGTCACATAAGCAGAATCCAAGGTATCGGAGGGTTTCTATTAAACGCTTGAACAATTTTCAGGTTCACCAGGTCTTTCTGCCGACAGCTTTTGAGGATTCAAAAGACGCAATTATTTACTATGATTTTCATCCAGCATTGAGAGGTACTAGAGGGGAAGAAATTTCCTACCAATTCCGCGTTTTGTTTGCTACGTGGTTTCTCGATCAAAACGCAGGAATTTGCATGTACGACAGAGTGTATCTAGAACCCCATCCAGTGCTTGATCTGTGGCATTTTTCGATGAGACGCTATCTCAAATTAGGGTTCAAGTCGAAAACTTTTCAGGAGCCTCGAAGGTACACTCCTGAGGATGGAGAAAGTATTTGGCAGAAAGAAGTGGGAAGAGGCGAAATCTTTTACAGCCCATATTGGTCTCGCGTACAAATACGTACCTGGCGTCCTGTGGATCAATAATTGTTCTGTATTCGAACCTTTATTTGGGTTTTGCTTCATGGCTTCTCTTATGGGCGGGCTATCTTCGATCTGAGCGGTCCTCAGATTCAGCTTTCACGCAAGACCGTTCTCTGACTTTTATCCAGAAATGTATTTCATAAAGTTGTACCATCACTTGACGGAATTACTCTATACACATGAGTCACAGCTATCATAAACACTGGGATTCGCCTGAGATTGGAGATACTTCGTATTCAACAAAAATTCTACAGTATGGAATCAGATCCACACAGACCTAGCTAAGTGCTTAACTTCTAAACTCTCTTCTCATATTACTTTTGACTAAGGGTTTAGAGACTGTGATGTACACTTTCTCAGTCAGATTACGACTTTTTTATATTGCTGATAATCAAGTAGTCGTGACAGTGGTAGCGGGGTTAATTGTTGACATGCAGGGGTTCGTATAATATTCCGAGAACCTAAAATTGAATGCTACTCTGCCCCTGGAAAGTCGTGAAAATGAACTTCTAGATCAAAAATGGTTTCTTTCTACTGGAAGATTCTTCAACTATCTGTTGACGAGTGTTGGTGGCGCTTAATATCTCCCCATTTGGCATCACCTTCCATTTTTGAGCCACGAACGATGAAATTAGGCTTGATTGGCATGGTACTAACGAGGTAACTTGGTATTCACAGACAATATGTTGGTCGCTGTACGAGACTTGTTTGAAGAAGAATGTTCTTCAAAGGCTTCCTTCCTGTTTGTCCTCCGTCAATTAAACGCGCATGCAAATTATGTTCATTCTCCGGAACATTTCCGTCACCAGTATCTTGCTCAGTTCTCACATTCTCTGCGAGGGGATAACTCCAGCGGTGCCTTCTGCTACCTCGATCTCTCCGTCAGCTAGCTATAGCACGCCGAGGATAACCACCACCTTCACGCAGCCATCTCAATGCACTAACGCCGGCTTCACGTATGTTTGAAGTCTACATTCATCTGGTAAAGCTTTACTGACTTTGCTTACAGTTCAATTGAGGGAGAATATGAAACTGAGATCTATGAGCACCTCATAGTCGTTATCCATCCGGGTATTGATCTGAAATACACCACTTGCCTGCCACCGCAGCTCTACTCCAGCGTTCTCGCTGGATTCGATTCAACTTACCTCGGTCCTTTTGAAGCCCTGGTTTGCCCACATAACTGGGAAATCTTTAGAGAAAGACGCAACTCAAGTTACATCATGTGCTGCCCCAGGTATTTTCCGCGCTTTGTTCAATGAAATAGTATTTTATCTGATTGATTCTGTAGAGGATATAATTTAGGTCATTCTAATCTCGGTACACCTGATCGTCCTGGCCGTGGCGCTGTTTGCTCTTCCTGGCTGGAGGGTGGTGCAGTATTCGACGTTACGACACTTGGTTCTGATCTGAAAGCAACTGTTAACCTAGCTACAGCAGGCCCTGACGGCACTACGGTTCTTGCGAGGTATGCTTTTAATGGTCATACATTCAATGGTTCCGACTCTTCCTCGGCGACCATAACGACACCCGCTTCCGGCACTGCTACCTCCTCGCTGTTAGTACCGATTACTACGACATCATCTTTCATTAGCACCTTGCTGTCGCCATCTCAACCCACTGCTACGTCGTTGACAACAAGAACCATTTTTTCAGGTTGCCTGAAAGTATTCAATGTCTTCTTGTTCATCCTTTCTTTTGTCTCCATTTAGTTCGCCATCAACATCAAACTTTTGGCGGGACTTTCATAATTAACGTATCAGCACATCGAGTTTTATTATTTGTCAAAAGTTTGAGACGGGACAAGTGAATTGTTGGACGATGGAAATCATAGTTTGATTCCGAAGGTAGTTGGTATGAGAAGGTCTTGTTTTGTTTGTAGAGAAACCGTTTGGGGCTGAAGTTTCAAGGGACTAGCATGAGGCCTTCAAGGTTTGGACATATTTTAAGAAAGGTTTGAGATTGTTGCGATTGCCGATGTAGATGAGGGCTCACAAGAATGTAATCCAAGATTTGTTAGGGTTTACCTCGAGGTAATTTTGACCACTCTACTTCAAGCTGAGTGGCTAATCTGTTTATTCAAGCTTTGAATGATGATAAAACTCTCCTCCATCATGTCACGGAGCTTTTTATTCTTGGATAACAAGATTTCATCACTCTCACTTGACGAACACTTCACATACAAATCATTGTTATTATCTTCCTAGATTTCGCACTATACTGATCAGACTAAAAATCTATAGTCAACGCCATGCCAAAAATGCACATTCCTACGCCCATGCAGATGCTTCAAAGTACCAATCATTGCTCCGTCAAATCCCAAATGCTATGCTCCTAAAGATTTCCAAGTGAATGCAATCGGGTCAAAGCAACAGAGCAAAGCCCAATAAACACAAAACTCCCACACCCACAAACGAAACTCCTCCTGCATGCGAAGCCTTAGAAGTGCTCGTAGCCAAACCGGCGGAGGTACTACTGGCCGTAACTGAAGTTGTCTTCGGAGCCGATGTAATAGTAGCGCTTCCAATTCGACCAGTACTGAAAGTACCAGTAGCAGTAACACCGCTCGCATCGTTAACCGTCGCCGTACTCTGGTTGAAACTAACCGTGACTCCCGTCGGCGGCAATGTCATTAGCGCATTGTCTTTCAGATCCCCAAAACAGCCGACAGCGAGCCCGCCTTCCTCCTTAAAGTTGATCTCGCGGATACAATCAGGGACGGTTTGGAAGCCGATTACTTGGGAGATGTGACATTCGTGGTAGCAGGCGTCGCTCCTGCGCTCGTAGGTGCCGCCGTTGGAGGTGCAGCAGTTGTTGAAGAGGGTGAGGACTGTGGCGTTGGAGAGGACGGAGGGGGAGCCGCTGAGGAGACAGATGTTGTTGTAGGAGGAGGTGGTTTGGTTGAGAGTGTTTGCTGGGGGGCAGTTGGTTGACATCGTGGGTTTAGGGACGTGGAGAGATCGATGTGGATTGTTTGGGGTTGGATGTATTTACTTGGAATCGAATGGAGTTGAAGATATCAACTCGTAAAACATGCCACTTAGAGCCATAGTGAATAGAAAACCTGCCCTACCCACAAAAGACAACACCTGACACAAAATAAGGTTATGCCTCAAGGGCCCCCAATTCACCACCTCCCCTGCCCCCTCATAACTTTTGTTCCTCATCGAAGACACAAGGCTGAATCCTTTACACTCGCTTAATTCCTCCGTGTTGCTTATTGTAAGCATTCATGCAAGGTACCGTTCCGCATTTAGAAACCTGACTTTCGGAAATTTGTGTTGGGGGCGGGAGGTTGTGTAACTTCCGGGTAAAGTTGATGAACCTCTCACTTTCGAATGGAGATCTGTGATTGAATGTTCTTAGTTTCGCAATCACTACTGCAGAGATGTCTTTGCAAGAGCTGAAGAGCAAACATTAAGTAAAAATATCATCATCTTCTTGAAAATAAACGTTATATCTCGTCTCCCCCATATTAGCACTCATAAGAATCAAACCCACTTCTGTTTGAGTTATATGATCGCATTCTATCTCGGGAAAGTAAATATCCCAAAATATATACGCCTCATATCATCGACAGTTGAATTAGGATCTGTAGCTACGCGAGACAACAATTACCGTCCACATCATACCAGCTGAATGTCTCGCATCGAAGTGATCGGCACAGAATATATGAGGTGCATATGCAACCCGATCCCTCGGGCTGTAAAGGATTGAAATCCGAACGTGACGAAAGCGTTGAAGGGATAGCATGTCATTGATGTTCAGGTTACAAACTAAGAACTCTAGCTGTGACGCTTTCGATAACATGAAAGTTTGATACGGTGGGCGTTGGATGGAGGGTTGCATTCTAGTTGATGGTAAATTGAAATCGGAGAACCTCCGATATAAGGTTTTACTTCTCAAGCAACGACAACCGAGGTTCTGGATGTGGAAATACTCATTAAGCAATAGGGATGAGTTCCAACTTCATCTGCTATCAGAACTCTTCCTAAGAGTCGTCGGTTACCCGTATACCCTTTCTTATTGCCACAGATTGCATCTTCAATCTCAAGCAAGACTCTAAGAGAATGAAATTAAGATCAAAAAGGTTTATGGACCTTAAATCCCATGCACTGCTGTAAACAACACACAACCCTCCACCCAATATCCAAAATCTAAAACCCCCTTACAAAGCTTTTTTCAAACTCTCCATTCGGCATAATCCTTTCACCCCTCCAACCTCGCCTGTCTCTCAAACACAACTTTCCACCCCCTATCCCATCTCACCCCCAAAACCTCACACCCAAAACTCAACCACCCTCACACATCCAGCCTCTTCATTTAAGAACTCCCCACCATCTCCCTAAACTCCAGCAAAAAGCTAATCCCATGTAACCTCCCTTCTCTATAAACTTCACACCCTCGATCTTCATTTCACACCTCAATAACCACAGAATGAATCCTCGTACCGGTTTAACACCCCAAACCGGAAACTGTAAGCGAAAGGTGATGAGATGGTAAGGTCTAGTTGGCTGATGAGTCAGAATCCAGATATTCGAAGGAAGACGTAGGAGTTGATGTGAGAAGATATATCTAAAGTCTAAACTACAAACTTTTATTTCGTTTTGATTCTTGGAAGATCAACTCTCGCCTTATACTCACTCACATACTTACACCCTTCCCAGTATTCTCTCCTTCTCACCCTCCCACTTCCCCCTCTCATACAATGTCATCTTTAGCCTCACCCTCACAACCTCACTATCCCCAGAAGAGCAAAATCATAAAGTGGAATTTCATATCATTTTATCTTCCTCTAACCCATAACTAGCTCCTTTAAACACCTCATCTGCCCTCATCTCTCACCTCTCACCTCCCACTTTACCTCCTCTGCCCTCACCTCACCCACCCCTCACCCCTACACACACACACCTAACAACTTCTCACAATCATTCCCGTTCCATCTTCCAGCTTCTTTCTCTTAAAAAAAAAACGCCACACAAATGCGAACATAAAAAAAATATGATGCCAAGTCAATTGTACAAGTTGAGTCATCCTCTACCCTTCCCCAACACACTTCAGAGCGTCACGCCTCCCCACACCCGGGCTTAGATTCATGCCTCACACCTAAAATACAAATCCAGTTCCACTCCCTACATAACAGCCGTATCCCCCTCCGGCATCTCCGTCGGCGGCGGCGGCGGCGCGCTCTTTCCACCCGGGATGGGACCACCACCGAAATACTTGATGAAATCCTTATTCTCATCAAATTCTCTCGGTCCCAGAAGTCTGACCATATCGTCGCGTCCAATAACCTCCTTGGTTAACAACTCCTCAGCTACCAGACCGACCTCTTTCTTCTTCGACTCGAGCAAGTTCCGACATTTCGTGTACGCGTCGTCGACAATACGACGGACTTCGCTATCGATGGTCTGGGCTGTGGCTTCGGCGAATGGTTTGTGGAGCTTGTTCTCGTCGTCTTCGAAGTGGAGTGGGCCGAGTTTCTTGGACATGCCCCATTTGGTGACCATGGCGGTGGCCATGCGAGTGACTTTGTTGAAATCGTCCGAGGCACCAGAGGTGACGGTTTCGAAGTGGAGTTCTTCAGAGACACGACCACCGAGGGTCATGGCCATGCGGTCCATAAGTTGGTTGACGTTCATAAGATAAGTGTCGCCGGCTGGGAGATATTGAGCGTAACCAAGTGCACCTTGGCCACGAGGAATGATGGAGACCTTGAGGAGAGGATCGGCATGTTTGAAGTACCAACCGCAAATAGCGTGACCGGCTTCGTGGTAGGCGACAGTTTTCTTTTCTTCGGGTGAGAGGACAAGAGATCTCTTTTCCAATCCTCCGATAACACGCTCAATGGCTTGTTCGAAGTGGATCATAGCAACGGATTTGGCGCTTGTTCGGGCGGCTGTATAGTATTAGTAAGTGAGATTTCATTCACAAAGGGAAGACATACCGATCAAAGCTGCCTCATTACAGCAGTTCGCAATATCCGCACCAGAAAATCCAGGGGTAAGAGCAGAAAGTCTTCCGGTCAAATATTCCAAGTCCTCATTCGTGACAATCTTCTTCAAATGTACCATAAAGATTTGTTTTCGGCCATCCATCGTAGGTCGATCAATGGCAATATGTCTGTCAAATCGTCCAGGTCGCATGAGAGCCTTGTCGAGAACGTCTGGTCTATTCGTACCAGCGAGAACGACAACTTGCTCTTGAGTATTGAAACCATCCATCTCAGTCAATATCTGATTAAGAGTAGCTTCTCGCTCATCATTTCCACCACCTAATGACCCAGACTTACCACGAGATTTTCCAATAGCGTCGATCTCATCGATGAAGATAATACAAGGAGTGTTCTTTCTCGCCATAGCGAATAGATCTCTAACACGTGAAGCACCCACACCAACGAACATCTCCACGAACTCGGAACCACTCACACTGAAGAAAGGTACTGCAGACTCTCCAGCGGTAGCCTTTGCGAGAAGAGTTTTACCAGTACCAGGAGGACCAGAAAGAATAGCTCCACGAGGAATTTTTGCTCCAAGTCGTTCAAACTGTTCTGGAGTCTTCAAGAAAGAAACAAACTCCATAATCTCCATCTTCGCCTCGTCCATACCGGCAACATCCTTGAATTTGACCTTGACATCCGTCTCGTGGTTGAACTGCTTAGCACGGCTCTTTCCCATTCCAAAGACTCCGCTAGCACCTCCACCACCACCTGATGCCCTCCTGGAGAAGAAAAAGATAGCACCAATAAAGAGCAGCGTAGGACCAAAACTCAAGATCAAAGCCCAAGCATCCGTGTCCGTAGCATAGCTCACAGGTATCCGTTCTGAACTTGGTATCTGCAGCTCAGACTGCGCCTCGTCAATGCGTCGCTCGAAGGCCTCAACCGATCCTATCGAAAAGTAATAGTGGAAGTTTGGATTCGCCGCCGGAGATTCAGGATACATAGCCTGCGTAGCTTCGCGATGTAAATCGACGCGTACACGATCGCGATTGATAACGGTCAATTTCTCAACCAATCCTTTGTCGAAAAACGTGCTTCTAAACTCCTGGTATGTAATATCCCTCGACTGATCCCCAGGCATAACGAGCTTGAACAGCAGATACGACGCAAAAGCCGCGACAAGGAAGTTGCCTCCATCCAGTTGCAAAAATCCAGGCGTTGGGCCACTACCACCTTTACCCTTATTGCCTCCAGGCGGCGGAGATCCAGCACCACCCCCTGATTTCCTCTCATTACTGGTAAAATCGGGAAATTTGTCGCTCTTCTCTTCCTCCCAAACCTTCTTTTGAGTCGAATAGACCGCTTTAGTCGTCAACCTAGCTAATGTTGCCGCATCACCCAAGGTCATTGGCTTTCCACTGGTTCGAACTTTATCGACTAGCTCTCTTAACTCCTGTGGAATCCCATGCTTCTTCATCATCTCAAGGCTCTTCTCCAAATGCGCAACCTGCTGTGGTGGCATCCCCTGCTTCCACGTCTTCAACATACTCTCCATCGCCTCCAAATCCTGGGGATTCATATATGTATAGCCATCTTGTAAAGGTTGCTCTTCCTCCTTGCCTTCTCCTTTCTCTTCTGGAGTGGGAGACAATGGCGTCTTCCCTTCGTATAGATTCTCCGTTCCCGGCGCGGATTTGCCTTCTACCTTCTTCTCATTCTCATCCTTCTTCTCCCTTATCCGTGGCGTACTCGAAAAATTCCTCGTCTGCCATGGCGCGTTTGCTCGTCCGGAAGCCGCGAGTCTGCAAGCTGCAAAGCCAGGTCGGACGGTTGAACGACAGACACTTCCCCTCGCAATTCCAGCAAGAGAGCTACTCGACAGTCGCAGTATCGAGCTCATGCTTGGCTAGAGTCGCAGTAAAAGAGGTTCAATTAACAAAAGAGAGCCACCGCGCGTTAGATACTGTGCTCTTTTGTTATGTCATTGGAAGGTGGTGGCGGGAGATAGAATCATATGTCGCCGGGGTTAATTGCACGTATGGTTCCGAAGGCAACTTTTGCGTCGTGCTGGTCATGATTAGCAAAGCTATCACGTGAGTACCGAGGTCGTGGGACCTAGACTTTAGTTACCGTGCCCGTGCTAACCAGATGGATATCGATTTAATACAAGTCTATTATTATAAGGCTGATTAGTATTCTAAGGCTCACCTAGCTGTGGTTTAGAAATTAGTCGTCATTTGATCCCACCATCAAGTCGGGACTCGGGAAGTCTTTCGTCCTGCCCGTCTATAGCTAAATTTTCCAAACCTCATACTCTATACCTAAAATGCAAGACTCACCACTCACAACACCAAGACCCAGACATAATTCATAGCTAGAAAGAGGTATCCCTGAATTCAAGCACACATAGAAGATTACGTTTGTATACATAAAAACGCTCCCTGGACACCCTCATATAAACCCTCAAATACACAAACAACATATTTTTAATCGCTCAACTCAAACTCGATTCAAACGAATCCAAATCCACCCATACGCTTCAAACAACAAACTTTAAACAAATCCATCAAGTCGTAACCCCACTCATCTCATAACCCCGCTCATCTTAGAATTAAACCCCGGCGCAATCCAATCTAACCCATCCCAAACTCCAGAAATGCTCTTGCTTATTACTAACAGACACAAAGCTTTCACCGAAATTCTGGAAGAACTACATCGGTTGATGTTGAAGATGTTGATTATTAACATTCTGCATCGTCGGATCTCCTATGAGCCCATTCTCAAACGTCGAATACGATTGACCCGTCATATCAGCCCACTCCCAATCAAGTCCCATCGGCATTTGCCAGAGATCTTGAGGGACAAATGGTTGCTGGAAGTTGCTCATGTTGAGAGGAGAGCCCATTTGTCCATTCGGTGGTGCATATACCATATCTTGGAACGCTGAAATACCAGGAGGTAGATTTGAAAAATCATGTGCAAACTCGGTTTCAGGATTCCAAGTCGGTGCTGGGGAACCCTGGTTATTCATCGGACTGCCTCCATAACCGTTCTGCATGTTGCCCCCATTCATTTGCGGTGAGAACATTCCAGCCATGTTCGGCATCATTCCGTTTGGCATTGGTGGTGGAGGAGCGTGCTTCGTCTTGATATCCTGATTGGCATCACTCTTACGTTTCCTTCTCGAAGAATTTTCCTTTTCTGCCTTGTCTAAAACGACCTTGGCAACTCTCTCAAACTCGGAGCAGACTCCCAACATTCGTTTCACACCACCATGTTCTGCTTCTTTAGTCAATAATGACAAGAAACTGACGACCATGCTCATTAATCGGACGTCAGCGCGGGCTCGTGGATCCTGTGGGTTCTGTAAAATATTTCCAAATAATGTCACAAGCGCCGAAACGGGGAAGTACAATATGAGCCTAAAATGATTAGCGATGTTCGATTCAGTGATCACCAATAACGGCTTACCAAACACACTGAAAGTCTCCCTGTGGTACGTATTTGATCAAATGAATTGAAGCTCGAGCAGCAGAAACACAAAGAGCGGCGGAAGAGAAGACACGAGGATTCAGTGCCCTTGCGTTCAGTCCAGAAATAGCATAATTCGACAATCGACTCGTCCAATACCCGTGATGAATCGACATTCGATGAATGGTCGTCAAGCAATTGTAATAGGTGAAATGTAAGACTACGACGTGAAGTATTAATGGCGTATGCGATGCCTTGATTTCATGTTCTGGCCGGAAATCGATTGGTATGCTATCTTTCCACTCCTCCAATTGACGATCTAGTTCCCCAATTGTATTCAATAGTTCTCCATCGGTCTGTTTCGAAGCCTTGGTCGAGTAGAGCTGTTTGTAAACCTTGCTTTCAATGGTTGCAAACTCACACATCAGGCGGAACAGATTAACCTTGCCCTTTCCATCAGCCAAAGGAATGTTGCCAATACCATCATCAGGATCCGCTCCAGGTAATTCCACATTCATATCGTCATCGTCTTGCGCTGGAGGTCGACCAGATCTCAAGCAAATATCCTTGTCCAACATATATCCAATCCAGAAAACTCGCTTTCGCTGTTCGATTTCGACCGGGTTGAGATTAAATCCAGAGCCTCTCTTGTGAAGACCAATACTGTGTGAGAGACGAATAGCAGCCGCGACGAGAAAGAATGATGGTTGTGGATTTGGTGTTCCCTGAAGGTAGAGAGCCATTCCTAGCAGCGCTTGTACACTCAGGAGATCGGTATTGCGCATTGTTAGCTCCGTGAAAACGGCCAAAGCATTCTTCATATATCCCCAAGCTTTCTCGTCCTCCTCGGCTGGGACTAAATTACTCATAACACGTAGTCTGTGGGCGATGGCCAACACCACGTTGAGACTTGCCCACCATCCAGATCCATCATAAGGATCTTCCGAGTACTGTCGTTCAACCAAGTGCATGAAGGTTGGCTGGTGGAATAGCGGAAACATGCAATTGAAGTTCTCAAAGAAGTCCTTCATGAGAGAGACACACTCATTTTTTGGTGGTAGTTGCCTGTAGACCCGACGCTCGAAAAGGTGATCGAAGACTTCAGGTTTCCAGTACATAGACTTTTGATCGTCGACTGAAGATGATGAAATCATTTCTTGAAAACAAGAGTCACCAGTCTTCTCGTTCACCCATTGAATACCCTTTGGAGAGAAGATGGAAAATCCAGAAGAAGATCCTAAGCAAGTCAGTTTACTTACACACCAGAAGACGTACTAATTCACTTACCGATGTATCTCGTCTCACCGCAATTATTAGTAACCAAGGAGCACATCATGTCAGACAGCTCCTCCACACCTTCCTGCTTCTCCCCTTCTTCTTCCTCCTCGGCCTTAGCAGACACATGAGAGTGACGCTTATCACCATTACGGTTCGGTGGTTCCGGCGAAGCAAGAGTGCTTCTTGGAGTTACCGTATTACTATGGTCGAGGCCAGGCGAGCTTTGCGACGGCGAGTTTGGTCCCGACGTAGGAGCCTGCGACGCCCTCATGGCCTGTTGAGTCTCTGCAAGACGTTTCTCTAATGTTCCCAAGTCCGTGCGACCATTGTCATCTTCTTTCAAAAGCCCTGGCCAGAATTTAGTATTCTCGTCGATGCTTAGAAATCACCAAAACTTGGTGTTTCAGAACGAACCTGACAATTTGAGCAAACTCTCCATTCGCCCCAAACGATTTTCAAGTCCTTCAATATATTTCGCACTGTATGGTGATTAGCAACTGGCCGTGTTATTCTCGTAGTTGAACACACCCTTTCGGTGGATTCCTCTTCTTCTCCACTTGTGTAAATACACATTCCGTCTTATAGTTGATGCAATGGGTACAAGCTGGCATTTTACCATCGCACTTGATTTTCTTCTTCCTACACATATCACAAGCCTAATCCAAGTCAGCGACTGTTGCGACCCTGTTCCGAAGCGTGATTCACCCTTGCGATTCTCCTCCTCTTTGCCTCATTGCTCTCGTCCAGCAGCGTCCCGTCTCCAAATATTGCCTGTGAGATATCGCCGATATTCGGTGGCATCGGCAATCCATCGTTCCCATAAGCGCCAAAGATCTGAGGCGGAGGGTTCATGAGAGGTGGTGCGGACATCTGAGGCATTTGGTAGCCATTGGAATCGTGGTGCAGCGAGTCCATCTTCGTCGATGGCTGCCGCGACTCACTGGAACCAAGCGGGTGGTATCGAAGCCGGAAACCTGCTAATCGGAATGGTGACGGGTAGGACGTTATCTGCGATGCACTATGTAGTGTGAGGGATTACTTGTGAATGGTGGGACGCCGAGATGGGAATATTTTGTGGTGTAGTTGTCGATAGTTGGCTCATGGAAGAGGATTTGAAAGCAGTCGAGGTACCTGTCTCCAAGCTACCCAGCGTCTCGTCCCCCTCCTACGTGGATTCGCACTGGCGTTCGCTTTTCTACCAGGGGTGTATTCGGTGCGGTGCGTCGTTTTCGGGTTACCCTTGGCCTCTTTGGTCCCTTGTTCGAGGAGTCTGTCTGCGTGTCGGCGCAAACTAGGTTTGGATTCGCCCGCGCAGACTGGAGAGGGGGAGCTATGAAAGCTGAATGGCCAGGAACGTCAGGGTGGTCTGGATGGTGAGCATAGAAACCTTAGGGCTTTGTTTTAGGGGTATCAAGACTATTGTTCTGCCTGATCTCGGCGCGCTGAGTTAGAGTTGTACAACAATCAATCTGTCTTTGTTGGTTGTATGATTATGCCTCGTGGCACAAGTTGGTGTTGCTGTTGGTCGATACAGCTCTCGTGGGAAGGGAGACTTTTCAGGTACGAATACTATCCATCATGATGAGCCATGATGCATCCAGAACTCGAGCGGAGCTTTCGGGGTTAATGCACACGTATACGGGGTATAAGCGCTGGCAAGAAATCAAAACTCCAAGATAATAAAATTACAGGAACATTCACAGTTTAGCAAATTCCCATCACAGTCCTGAAGCGCCGTGAGAAAACACCCCTCAATATCATCTTCCCCTCTCCAACACAGTAAGAATCTTATCTTGGCCAACAGCTTCTCATACACCACCAAGCCTAGAACATCACCGGTATCTCCACAACACCGACCCTCCGAAAACCCGACCGCCGACTCCGGGTCAATTTTGCCCTACAAGAGTCGTCTTGATGTCCTAATCTGGAGTGTAATCCACCCGACGAATACAGCTTTGTATCACACAATAATACAATAGCGTCGGCCGCTCCTACATATAATACAAGGTGCTGCGCCTCATACGACTTCTTTGTGACGACTTGTAGCGAAAGGAGACTATACGAATACGGGTATGTGTTTGTAGGCTCGTGTCTTGGTATACTTTAATATTAATATAAAACCTCTTTATTGATATAGAAGAATAGTATCTTACCAACCTACTCAAGGAAAAATTGCCAAGTATGAAAGCCCTCTTAAACAAATTCCAACGTCAACATTACAAGTTTACAACCTCCACCACCAAACAAACCCCTCCACTCCTCAATCTCACCAAAATATTTCATCACCATCCCACAACCTCACCGTCTTCCAAACTCGCCTCGCCATACCCTTAACACCGAAATCACGACCACACCATCTCGCTGACAATTCTTGCACCAATAATTTACAACTCACACACCAATTTTCCATTTCGGATATCTCGTACCTCGCCCTTCGTTTCACATTCGTTTGAGGGGAACCCCTCCAGTGCCTCGGACGCACGCACCATCACATCACAAACAACCCCCCCATCCGAAAATGCCTGAGCGGTACCTGACCGGCACTCAAAAGCCCCGTCCTTACGGAGCATACTATCGTTCAGGATTGGATAGAGCGTATGTAGTTTCTGACAAACGAGAGAAAGGTCTAGAGGCACCGACTACCTCTAAAAAGGTAGGTATTAGGTCCTCAAATCACCATGATAATCTTTCATTCAGCAGTGATTGAGGAACAAGGGAATCCATCTCATGGGAAGCATTATATTTAAGCCTAAACACATCGATCTGATGGGTATTATACAACGTGACAAAAGAAGTAGCGCCCGAGAACAGGTATGAATGGGACACCATGCTCCATCAAGGTACCAAAAGATCCAAAGGATGAGAGAGAATTCCCAAATACATTCCCCTCCGATCCTCCCCGGTTCTGCCTATCCAGAAAAAGGGAAGACCTCGCTCAAAAGCGTCACCACCACAATAACATCAGTCCTTCTGACCCGGACCATTACATCAGCACTCCTGGTAAATACATCAGGAAATGAAAAAACGCCCGTCAAATGCAAAAAAGATGCAAAATGACACCTAGGCAATGAGCCCAACAAAGTGCACGCTGCACAAATGCCCAGAAATATGTTCAATATTTACAAAGAACTGAAAGCAGATTCGTGATAACCATATCGGAACGGACTGAGCTGAAGCACAGACGGTCCTGAGACAATAAAAGCTTCTTTCAGTTAAACCTCCTCCGTAAACCTTGAAGCATGAGATCCATCTTGGGATGGATGCGAACGGCCGACACTATCGGGAAGATCATGTCGTCGAGGGGGTTGAAGTGGAGGTGGGGGCGTGGCCAGAGATCTAAAAGGACCTTGCTCTGTAACAGGCGTCCTGGCCGGACTTGGTCGCATGACGGGAACTCCACTATCACGTTCTGAAGGTACTGCAGCTGTATTGGATGCCAGAGGGCTGCTAGGACCATGTGAAGGCCCTCCACCTCCGTAAAAGCCAGTCGAATCGCGATAAAATGATGATCCGCTGAGAGTGTTCGCATCGGGAGCTCCACCACCATAGCCATCACCACCGGATTGTAGTACGGAAGGTAGTTTCCTCCCAGAAACTCGATAGAATCCTCGCTCGCTCGGCGCAGTGGACACAGTTCGTTCGCTTCGTTGGGATGATCGTTTGGTAAATCCAGCTGCAAGACTGGCTAGAGCAACTGGTACGGCGAACGTCGTCGAACGTCGTTGTGTCATGCCACCTGTAGGCGCAGCTGGGGGTAGTTCTCTGGCGGCTGCTTCTGCTCCACCATCGTTCCCATTACCGAGTGATAGCATGTTCTTTCGTTTCCTCCATTTGGCAAGAAGTAGCAATAAAATTAGTAGAAAAGCAACCCCTGCTACGCTCCCAACCACACTCCCTACCACCACAGAAGTCGAAGGTGTTGAAGATCCACCACCGGCACCGGCAGCTCCCGTACTTGAAGGTGATGCACCCGATGGTGCCACGCCCGTCGCACCTCCTACTGCTCCTCCACCATCTCCTCCCACTGCACCCGTAGGTGATGAAGTTGTTGAACTGAAAGTGACCTCTGCTGTGGACGAAGAGGTTGAAGAAAGATTTGAAGAAGAAGTCGAGGTCCCGGACGAAGAAGAAGAATCCGAGGTTAGGTATGTAAGCGAAGATCTAGAAGATGAAGAAGAAGAGGTGGTCGTATTTGAAAATGACAAGGATGAGCTACTTGAACTCAGAATTAAAGGCGCTGGGAATATATTAGTATGCAAGTGAATGTGATGATTCGTAGTGGCGACTTACTTGAAGCACTCAAGGTGGCATTAGAAGAAATAGATATAGACGGAAAGTCGGTCGTGGCTGGTATTGAAGGAGTGGACGTCAAGGACGGTAAAGTGCTTGAGCTCGGTAGTAAAGACTGTGACGAAGAATCTGGCTGCGCAGATGAGGCTGGTGATACTGGTGAAGCGGTCGATGAAGGAGCGGCCGATGATGCAGTATCTCCAATGCTCTCAGTAGTGGGACTAGCTGCTGTCGTGTTAGGCAATGTGAAGCCTTCGGGGGTATTCGTCAAGATTTTCTGGGTCGAAAAGACATTCCCCTCGGAGTCGACATCGAACTGCTGGACATAGGAGAGGGTTTGGATAACGGTGGTGACTGCCTGGACCTGCTCGACGGTGGTTTCTTGACGAGGCTTCAGCTTGTGTACGTGGACGTGATGGTGATGGCGGGTGTTGGGTTCTCTGCGATAGAGGATCTCTTTCTCGGCCGCGTAAGAGAGTGATTGCGGTTCGAGATCGTTCATGACTTCTTTCGCTGCTGCTGTATCTACAGCGCGGATGCGCGAATGGACTCCACGAATTGACGATGTGGCCCACGTCGATTCATCGGGAGGACGACCGTAGGATTTCGGTGTCGTTTGGAGGGTGAGGGCGAGGAGAGGTAGGAGAGGTGTGGTGTTGAGCAGTGGAAGGTTTCTTTCACCCTCATCCGAAGTGAGAAGGAACGACACGAGTGTGCACCGAGAGTGGAGTGGGCCGTGCCTGTCTCTCCTTCTCTCAGGAACGGGATCCACACTGAAAGGTCGAATTTCGCTTGTGTGAATGGCCATACTGTGATGGGCCTAGCGGTCTTTCTTGACGGAGCATCAAGAGACGGATTGGCCAATGGAAAATGACACGAGCTCGTGACATGGAGTGAGCCCTGCAAGTCTTGACAGGGCATCTCCACCACACCACCTTAGTCAGATTTTGGCTTCAACGTAGATACCTAGGTAGGTATTTTCATTTCGCCGCGATCAAACCAAAGTGGTTTGCGTTTAGTTTCTTCGACTGTAACAATGGTGAGTCGCGAGGCATCAAAGAGTGCATACTTTTATGAGGCTCGTGAGGCAACGAGGGGGCAATGTCAAACTGACTCTTGTGGAAACAACAGATTCGCACATTGTACTTTCGTGTACGGCAGCTTGACTTTGTTGATGGTGGCTTCTATTGATTTCGATTTTCCTTTTGCCAGTCCGACGTTGCAGCAGAAGAGAGCGGCGCTCGATATCAGAATCTCTACGAGGACACATCAGACGACATTTCTCCGACGGACTTTTGCGTTGAAGAGGAATCTAAGTCTGCTCATTACAGTGTTGGGCAGATATATACCTCAAATCATGACTTCAATTGGAACATCAACAAGCAAATTGATGTGCCAATCAATATCGAGAACCCATCGAAAGTCCAGTAGGTGTCCAAACCAGAAATACTCTGCTGCCGCTTCGTCTCACAGACCTTGCTGGACGGTGCCATCCCAGGAGACACAGGAGAGTCAGAGACGGGAACCACGCCAAAAATATCTGAAGCTTGCACTTGCATCGCATCGTGCCGCGCGTGAGACCAAAATCTGAAATCTGGACCCGGAACCCTAACCAAAATAAAGTGTTTCACGCCGCTTCCTCTTCCTCTTCCTCTTCCTCTTCCTCTTCCTCAGATTCTCTCGATACATGGCACTACTGTACCGCAACGGATCCGCTAAAATGTAGCTCGAACGTCCGCCATCGCGCTACCGTTGAAGCTTGCTGGTCGCATTTTGAAATGGAAGATTCCCATGCTTGAGATGACGCTGTGGATGGTTGGTTACAAATAGAGACTGGATTACGACGATCATCCATTTATACTTTTACTGTACAGTGCAATCAAAAGTCGGACCTTTTCCACCACTTGTGAGTCTTGGATAGGGGAAGCTCTGTTGTTCATACCAATATGAATCGTCACTTCTGAGCGCTGAAGAGACTATTGTGAAAACAAAACGTCTCAATTTCTCAAAGCAAAACACATATGTATCATTCGTATGATGATTGGAAGCAAGAAGCAAGTAATTTCCAGGTTGGTCTAGACATGCCCACGTTTATTTTCTCCGATGGCGGATTCAGTTCTTGATTGACCAAGTCTCAGAAAGATAAAGCTATGACCATCATCATCGTATTTCCTTTCCAATCCAATCACTCGTCTCAATCAATCCTTCACATAAACATCCTCAACATGTCTAACTCATGTGATTCCATCAACATGGCTGATGACGAGCATTCACGACCCCTGAAGCGTCCTCGGCTGTGATACGAGTTACGAGCATTTCTTTATCGCCAACTCCGCAGTCTAGATTGACCCCGCCACAACCTGTTTGTAGCAATCCAGTTTTCTGATCTGCCAACAATGTTCATATTGTCACAACAAACAGTACCAACGAAACTTGTCAGCCCTAGCTGCTGGTCAAGAGCAAACGAAAGCCATGGCGACTCAGGGCCAACTGGATGAGAAAGCGCCAGTGCGAGCGCCCAATCAATCGTCGATTGCCTCGGCCGCAACTCCTTCACAATTAGCAGAAAAGTCAAGGACTTACAGAATCCCTCCGGACGAATTCGCAACATCGGCGCAATTGGAAGAGAAACGTCGGAACGAATTTGTGTCTTCATCACAACAACCACATCTCTCGAGTGCGGCAACCTCAGGGCAGTTGGCAGAGAAGGCACGAAATGCAAATGCTGCTCCATCATTACCTCCCCGAACAATCTCGAACCAACCTCTTCCGCCACCTCCTTACACTGCAGATGATCAAAAGAGGAGCGAGCTGATAGCAGAGCAATGGCGGTCCAACGATCCAAGATCATCCTCAACACATTCCTTGGTACCTATCGAGGCTGATAGAGATGGCCGGCGCACGCTTCTTCTCGTATTCATACATGGATTCATGGGGAATGAAACAAGTTTTCAGAGCTTTCCGGCGCATTTGCACAATTTTCTTACCATCACACTTTCCGAAACACATATCGTACATACCAAAATTTATCCCAGGTACAGGTCAAAAAAGAATATCAATTTTGCCAGAGATGATTTCTCAAACTGGTAGGGCATATGAATCTGGATCTTTTGAAATTTAGAAACTAATAATACTTAGGTTGGAACCTCACGAGGGACGGAATGTAGAAGTAATTCTACTTGGTCACAGTATGGGAGGTTTACTAGGAGCTGAAGTGGTGTTACAAAAGCCAAACCCACCGGTTGGTGGAAAACCACTGCGACACCGAATTCTAGGCTCAATCAATTTTGATACCCCATTCCTAGGCATGCATCCTGGGGTCGTTGGTGCGGGACTGAGCAGCATATTTCGGCCTTCCAAAGACCCAAATACTGGCAATTCGACCAGTGGAGTAGCTAGCCCACCAATGAGTAGTCAGTCTTCTGTCTACTCTCAAGGCTTCGCACCATCGCTAGCCAGCACTGATACGACCTCACAATTAAGCTTAGTGCAAAGTATCACCTCCCCAACAGCCAATCCGCCGCCGAAAGATCCATTCTTCAATCCACCTTTTGTCAACGATGTTCGGCTCCCTGAGCGAACCGGTCTTTCCAATATCCTACACTTCATCAACAAACACTCAGATGGCATCACATCAGCTACAAAGGACTTGCTCATGTCACATTATGAATTCGGGAGCACTATGGCGGATTACGCTGGACTAAAGAATCGTTACAAGGGGGTACGCGCTCTAGAAGATGTGGACGATTTGGCCAGGGCTCCTGGTCAATCTATTCCTTCTCAGAATAGGCGGGTTAGATTTGTCAACTATTACACTGCAAGCACTGGCAGGCCGAAGCCGCCAAAGACCCCACCTACCCCTTCTACACAATCAAGCGACGAGGAAGAAATTCCTGACATTAGACACAGTATGGATGGTCTGAATCTGCACCCAATCGGTGGTCGATCTTCAAGTCAAACCCCCTCCATCTCAGTAGACGATCATTCGGATGGAGTCGTGACACCTCGCGTCCTAGAAGACGCTGCCGAGAAGAATTCCCTGAAAGAGCAAATTGAGAATTTGGGGACGAGCTCCGGAGTTCAAGATGACTTTGACGAACCACCAGCGATGCGACACATAGAATCAATCCCGATGGATGACTCTGATGATGACTTGTATGATGCGGAACCATCGAAACCAAAGGTCCATTCAGCCCCAGAGGACTCTTCGGAGCCTGTTGATGATGCCGACCCTGCTGAACCTACTGACCAAGTCGAGCCTACAGTAGAATTGAAACCCACCAAATCTGAGCCACCACTACCGCCACTTCCTGAAGTTCCTACCGAGCCAACCCCTGTTGATCTGAGTCTTTATACGGATAAAGATTCTCGAAAGATTGCTGAAAAGGAATTCAAGAGGGTCACCAAAGTCTACCAGCAGGCAGTAAAAGATAGAGAAAGTGCCATAAAGGATAGAAAGAAGCTTGTCGAGAAGCGGGAGAAGAAAGCCCAGCAGGAGCGCGAAAAAGCAGTTAAAGCAGAAGAGAAACAGCGTTTGAAAGATGAGAAAGAAAAAGAGAAGAACTTATCAGGAGAGGAGAAAAGGTTAGCAGAAGAGGCAAAACGAATGGCAGCAGAAGAGAAGAGAATGGCAGATGAAGCAAAACGGCTCGCAGGTGGTAGTCCAAGCAGTAGCCCAAAGCCAAAATCTAAAGCCAGTGCTAAGAAAAGCTCTAAAGGTAAGGAAAAAGAACGACAACCATCCGTTACACCATCTGTGGATGACGACAAGCCCAAACGAGACAAGAAATTCTGTATGCTTCCTCCAAAGATCAATGGGGAGATTGATAAATGCTGGATCCGTATCTACATGGAAGGTGTTGATGAAGTTGGAGCACATTGTGGACTATTCTTCCCGGGTCCTCAATACCAGAGTCTGGTTGGTGATGTAGGTGCAAGGATCGGGAAGTGGGTGGAGGATGATGCGACTAGGAGAGCCATTATCGCTGCGGAGATGGATGATTGACTTATGATACCAGGATAGTTGTTCGTTGTTCATTTTCGAGCGATTTTCATAGATGTAATTGGTAATATCGTAATTATCTTATTTTATTTTTCGGAGCACATATATGAATGTCTCGCTGCGTTATGGACTGGAAAGGTATAGTTTAAGAGTCGTTGGGTTGATATTAAGATCTATTCTCACTTATTAGATCTAAATATTCACTTCAACACTTTGATCTTAATATCCCTTCTTGGCATCAACGTTTGAATTTCAGAGAACAGCTGCCGGTGTACCTAGAGCCCAACCTAAACCATCTTCTGCCTTGATCAAATTTAGAAATCTGCTGTGCTTATTTAAAAGCTCTTATTTATTGGCCCAACTCGGATTGGGCTCGATGGATTCTCGCTGCCCCACTAAACGCCACTTACCCAACGGTCAAGCTACCCCACAATTTCATGCCCGAGGGAACAAGCTCTAAAATATATCGACGACCTCATTCCGCTTTGTTGGTTGTAATGTCTCAAGCGCAGCTAAAAAGATTGTTTCGCAAATCTACAGACATAATTTGACATACTGGAAACGATTGTACACATTTCTTACTGCAGAAGTCTTTTCGTTTATTCCAATTCTATAGAGATCTAATTTGATGCCGTGTAAGTACATCCCAGAGGAAGTACACAAACAAAAAGCTAATTATCACAGTAACACCAGACTTATAGCCCAACCTCGCGCACAAAATGACCTCCCAACCCTCCTCCTCAAACACGTATACGCTCCCCACAACGCTGCACCCTCAATCACCATCTCGCAGCTGGAAACACCGTCTCAACATCCTCAAACCCTCCGCCTCTAATGACGTACCAACCCAAAGCGGCAGTCCTCTAACCCGCGGTCCTACAAACGGAAGCGCGAAAAGTAAATATGTGCCTCAGTGGTGGAAAGTCCGGCTGTTTCGTGGTATGATCAATGACTTAAGGAGGAGAGCCCCGTTTTATTGGAGCGATTGGACGGATGCGTGGGATTATAGGGTTGTGCCTGCGACGGTTTATATGTATTTCGCCAAGTCAGTTTCCCTGTTGATTAGAATGTGATAGTGTGCTGATTTGAGAAGCATTTTGCCTGCCTTGGCGTTTTCGTTGGATATGTAAGTGCTTTTCTGAGGTGATGTGGGGAGAGCTGATGGATTACTAGGTTCACGAAAACTAATATGAGTTATGGTGTTAATGAGGTGTTGTTGGCTTCGGTACTTGGATCTGTCGTTTTTGCCCTATTTTCTGCTCAGCCGCTTGTTATTGTTGGTGTTACGGGTCCGATTACGGTCTTTAACTAGTAAGTTTGATGATCAGATGTTAGGATAGAGATTGACGTTGATAGCACTGTTTACGATATTATGGTGCCTACAGGGACGAACTACTTTGCTTTTATGGCATTGGTCGGACTGTAAGTCTCATCTGAAATTAAGATGAACTTCTGCTGACACTATCCGTAGCTGGTCACTTGCTATGCATTGGGTGCTTGCCATCACAAATTCTTGCAACGCACTTAAATATGTCACGAGATTCTCGTGCGATATCTTTGGATTCTACGTTGCTTTTATATACCTACAAAAAGGTATCCAGGTACTGACCCGCCAAGGCTCAAATGAAGGATTCTACCTCTCCATCATGGTATCTCTTCTCGTCCTAGTCGTCGGCTATATGTGTGGAGTGATCGGATCAAGTCCCCTATTTCAACATTACGTACGAGTTTTCATCAAAGATTATGGCACACCACTTACCGTCATCTTCTTTACTGGGTTCGTCCATATCGGCAAAATGGCAGATATAAGCCTTGAAACACTGCCAACGAGCAAAGCGTTCTTTCCTACCAGTGATAGAGGGTGGTTCGTCCATTTCTGGGATATCAGAGTTTCGGACGTCTTCATCGCCATACCCTTCGCGATTCTTCTGACGATTCTCTTTTACTTCGATCATAATGGTACCTGACCTCTTCACTCATCCTTTTTCTCTCGCTAAAAATACTAGTATCCTCCCTAATAGCGCAAGGGACCGAATTTCCACTCCGCAAGCCTGCCGGCTTCCACTGGGATCTCTTCCTCCTCGGTCTCACCACAGGAGTTGCCGGTCTTTTAGGTATCCCAGCCCCGAATGGACTTATCCCTCAAGCACCATTCCACACCGACTCTCTGTGTGTCTCAAAGGTCGTGAGCGATCCAGATGAAGAGGGCGCGAACAAGGGTCATGTAGTCACTAAAGTCGACCATGTTGTGGAGCAAAGAGTTTCAAATCTCGCGCAAGGTCTATTAACATTAGGAACAATGACCGGACCACTTCTAGTAGTAATCCATCTCATCCCACAAGGCGTTCTCGCAGGTCTCTTCTTCGTCATGGGCGTCCAAGCCCTCGAAGGTAACGGCATAACCCTCAAAATCCTCTTCCTATGCAAAGACTCTACACTCACACCAGCTTCCGAACCACTCAAACGAATCCAACGCCGCAAAGCCATCTGGGTCTTTGTCGCTATCCAACTCATCGGCTTCGGCGCTACGTTCGCTATCACGCAAACGATCGCCGCTGTCGGGTTCCCGGTCATTATTCTGTTGCTGGTGCCGGTGCGCACGTTTTTGTTGCCGAGGTGGTTTCGGGATGAGGAGTTGAGGGTGCTGGATGCGCCCACTGCGAGTCCGTTTACGATGGTTAGTGTGGGCGGGAATTATGGGGAGAGTGATAGTGCGGAAGAGAGTGCGGGAGGCGAAACAGAGGGGGGTGTGGTTGTTGGGAAGGAGGATGGGGATGTGGGGAGGGCGGAAAGGGGGGAGGTCAGTGAGGGTTCTAGTAGTGGTGGGAGACGGGTTAAGAGGAGGGAAAGTTGGAGAGGTGAGAGGGGTGGGGAGAGTATTGAGATGGAGGCGAGGACGGGGATGAATCGTCGGAGTGCGAGTCGCCAGTCGAAAGATTAGGGGTCTCCTCGTTATTGATGATTTGGAGTTGAAGACATGAAACATCTTCGTGAGTTGCTGGAGCTAATCGCAAATAAGTTTATATAAGAAGCTTAACTTACACAATCGTAATCGTCCTTCATGCCAACTTCATCTGTTGGAAATAGGAGGTAGCAATCATGCGAACCTTACAATTTGAAAAATGGTTTATTTACATTATTTTACAATTCTATTTACAACACATCTATACATCTATACCTATACATCTACACATTTACGGATTTACACATTTATTAATGTACACACAAGCACTCACGACCTACACAGCACACTCACCTCCCATACTTCTTCCACTCACTCGCCCTAGCAGCAACATAACTCTTACTCTGAATCGCCTTCCAAATCCCATAAAACCCACTCCAAGGCCACCTCGTCCTCCACGACTTCTCCTCTACCTCTTTCCCAACATCCACCCTGACCTTCTCATACACACTCGTCAACCCCTCAGCCTTATACTTCTTTCGCAGCGCCTCATACCACCCCTTATCAAACATGCCCCAGAATTCTTTTTCATCGTAATAAGTATGCGCGTAAAACCACTTCATCCCGCCAAGCTCTTTTAACTTTTGTTCCAAATCGCGGTTCTTGGCGATGAATTCAGAGGGGTTATCTGGTCCATCGCCCCAGAGTCCTATATTCAGCATTTGCGGTAAACTTCCATCAGGCGCCTTATAATGAGGATGCATAGTCGGCGCTGGATTTTGTTTCAGCGGACACAACCACAGCGGCCAAATCCCGAACTCGGCATCCGTGTACTCGACAAATTCCTCAGCTGTAGTGTAAGGAAGAGCGAGATCTTGGACGATATACCGTTTTGACTGTCCGCTAGCGTGGAGAGCCGTGTACATCATCCTCGTATGCAGGAAATCATCTAGGAACCAGCGTGTGAAGCGGTTGAATGGGAACTTGAAGTATTTGAATGCGGATGCGCCGACCCAGAAACCGCCACGGTCGTAGCGGAAGAGGTATTCGGGGAGGGGAATGAGCTCGGTGACGGGGCCAGATGAGAGGTGCGTTTGGACGTGAAGATAGAACCACGGATCCCAGGGTTTGCTGAATGTTTGGATGGGGAGGGATGAGATGTGCGTGTCTGTTAGGCGGCCGGTGATGATAGCGCCGCTGGTTGGGGAGTACATTATTCCGTCTATGTAATCGAGGGATGGGTCGGTTGTTGCGGATTGGAGTTTTTGAATCGCTTCTTTCATGCTGGTTACGGGATGGTATGTCGTTTCTACGTATTTCTTTGCGTCTTGGAGTTGAAGTTCTACCAGAGTTGTGACTCCGAATGTTCCTACTGCCCCTGCTGCTCCATTGAATAGATCTGGTTTCTCGGTTGGTGAAATCGTCGTTACTTCTCCGTCGGCCAATACCATCTCCACGGAATTGATCGTTCGGTCGAAGAAGCCGTGTTTGAAGCTACTGCTTTCACCGGATGTTCCAGAATAGCCTCCTCCTACTGTAATTCCTGGAAATTCCATTACAACCGGGGGGACGAGGCCATGTTTCAATGTAGCTTCGACTAGTCTGTCCATGGGGACGTTGGGCTCGACGAGACATGTTTTCTTTTTGACGTCGACGTTTAGAACGTTCGAAAGTGTGCTGGTGTCCACCAAATTCCGTTTGATGCCTGGGCGTGTGCTGTTTGTCGAGCCGTGGAAGATTCGGAACTTTTCGCCTCGTTTGAAGTACCCGCGCACAGTTTTCGAGATTTGCTTGACCGTAGCTTTGTGTTGTTCAGTTGAGTTTCGAACAGCTGATGAGCTGGAGAAACTCCGAATCGAGATATCGGTTGGGCGGTTTAAGTTCTGTGTAGAACTTGTTGCTGTGAAGAAAGCTTGCCAACTTTGCGGACCGGAAATCGAGGATCTCGAAAGAACTGGAGGGAATTGCGCTCGTAAACATGTCGAGGCGCATCTTTGAGGGGTATTATGGCGGAAAGTGCTTGAGTGTGATCCATATTGAACACATATTTGCCTTTTGGCAGCAATTGCTGTCCAGGAAGGCTTCATGAATGATCGCACGCAGGTTGGTCGTGGTCGTGGATGAGGTTGACCAAAATTTTACGCGACGGCCTGCGGGAACATCGCGCGGTCACGATTTCGAACCTTCAACTCTACATCTTTTCACAGTCCACCCACATGGTCATCCCAACACTCGCCATGCCCACTATTGGCGAGCCTAGCTTGAGAATCATCTAAAGGGCTTCTACATAATGGTCACATTCGAAACAACCTCATTATGATGGGCATTTCTTGGATTTGATTGAAACAGTGTTCCCATTCAAGCTTTCTTCTATTTGCTCGAATCAATATGAATACTGCTTTGTCTACGCCCGAACAGCGTCTAGAATGGCGAAATCGTCATGTTCTCTCAAATGACAAGTTTGTTCAGGGTCTTCCAAAGATTGAGCTTCACGTCCATATTGAAGGAACCATGACCCCAGAACTCCGATGGTACCTATCTCAACGGCATGGCATCCCTCTTAGAGCGGGCTCAGATCAAATTCCACTTTTTTCGGAAGAGGAAGTCAGACAAGCTTACAAGAACATTCGGGGTCGTATTGGAGCAGCTTCGGCAGAGGGACGAAAGTGCTTTACTTTCTTTGAGATTTACTATGGAGGATTTGATCTGTTGCAATGCGAGGAAGATTTCTTTCTTCTTGCCGTTTGCTATTTCGAACGTGCTGCAGATATGAATGTTAGGTACTGTGAGCCTTTTTTTGATCCTCAAGGTCACACGAGACGAGGTATCCCATTTGAGGTCATCATGAAAGGGTTCAAAAGAGCTTCGGAGCTGGCCGAGAGGAAACTGAACGTAAGTACTTTCCGTAACAGCACGAGGCCATGCTCATGTAATTAGGTCAAATCCAAGTGGATAATGTGTATCCTGCGAGATTCCCCAGTGGAAGACGCAATGCCAACTTATGAAGCAATGCTGCCATATCGGGACGTGATTGTGGGAATCGGACTCGATTCAGACGAGCTTGACCGTCCACCTTCATTATTTCATGAGGTTTTCAAGAGAGCTCGTGACGATGGATTCAAGATAACCAGTCACTGCGATTTTAATCAGAAGAATACCCATGAGCACATCCGTCAAGTCGTCGAGGAACTTAGCGGTAATGGAGCAGACCGGATTGATCATGGTATGAACGCGGCAGACAGGCCCGAATTGATGGAGACCATCAGAGAAAAAGACATTGGTCTAACACTATCGCCTTGCGGTTATGTTCGGCACTCCTCTGAAGAGGAAGTATTTTCTCGGATACGCAAGCTGTTTGATGCTGGTATCAAAATCACAATTGCTAGTGATGATCCAGCATATATGGAAGACAATTGGGTTTTACACGCCCTTTATCTGGTTAAGGAGAAGTGCAATTTCTCAAATTCGGAACTCGTACAGCTTCAGAAGAACGCGGTATCGATATGTTGGGCTGATGAAGATTTCAAAGACTCGTTTTCCACCGAGCTTTCAAAATTTGAGGCATCCTTCTCATGATCGAGCACCTATCAAGTGGACACCTCGCAAATAAGCTGATATGAGCATACGATTCTTTGGCAAGTATTCTGGCGCTTAAAAAGCATTGTCCTCGCACAGTGAAAGCGGAACATTGTAAGTACTATCACGAATTAACAGTTACCGACAATTTGACTCCACCTTTTCGTGGATTACTACTACCTGACCGCTGATACCTCAACTGTGCCTCTTCCACGAAGTGGTTCGACGATGCATCAATTTAGCCTATCAGTGTTGCCTATCGCTGTTATCAACCTGCAGCTGATGATCTACGCCGGGCAACTCCGCTCAAGAATGGGATCATCCCCTGGTTCGGGGGCAGAATGCGATAAAAGAGCACGCGAAGGGCAACCATAATTGCTGAGTTTCAGTGAGCTAGTGTCGCGCGCCACTTGCGCCAAACACTGGCAAGAGCTTCCGTGTCTCTCAAGCTTTAAGCCACTTCGAAGCTTGATTATAGGCCGCGTCGGGCTCTTGAGAGCAACCCACTTTTGTACTAGGTGTAACGTCGGACTGTGCTTTCTTATCTATTCGATAGAATTGCGTCTTTTATAGCAAGCTGGTGTCTGCTTCGATTTGTTAATGTTTGTGGGTTTATTGTTCGACCTCGACTCAACACGATATGGCCGGCGATACTACAACCACGGTGGGAGCGACCCCTGTGGTCAGCGAATATACTCAAGCTTTGGCAAAGCGAGTGATTCGAAAGATCGACGGGCGAGTTCTGTTAATCATGTTTGTGACTTATAACTTGAACTTCATGGACAAGACTGTTAGTATTACCTGTGCAGGAAATTTCCGTCTTGCTATTGCTAGCGAGCAACTTTCGTTTTTTATCTAAAACCTAAAACACGAATTCCTGTAGAACATTGGAGACTTGAAGCTGACTTGACCTGAAAAGATCCTGTCATCTGCCTCTGTATTCGGTCTGACAGAAGATAATCATCTTGTTGGGACCCAATACTCATGGGTTTCCAGTATCTTCTACTTCGGATATCTTCTTTACGAATATCCAACAACGATCTTGATCCAACGACTGCCAATATCAAAGTATCTCACTGTGGTGACTTTCTGTTGGGGAGCTGTGGTGGCGGTCACTGCAGCGTGCTCCAGTTTTGGGGGTCTAGCAACATGCCGATTCCTTTTAGGTGTTGCAGAAGCCACAATCTCGCCAGCATTTGTATATATAACGAGCATGTGGTACGTTGAGAGACAACTTTTAGTTTAGATGGCAGCTAACACCAAACCAGGTATACAAGAGATGAAATCCCTTCCCGTACTGGAGTGTGGTTTGCTGGTAACAGCTGTGGTGGATTTCTGGCATCATTGTTAGCCTACGGTATCGGTCAGATTGAGAAACCTCTCCATCCTTGGCAATGGATGTTTATCGTGAGTAAAAACGTATAACCTTCTGAGGGCGCATTGACTGACGTAGTATTGTAGATCTTTGGAGTTGCGACGAGCGTCCAGAGCTTTGTCATATTTTTCTTCCTGCCAGACACCATCAATGATGCAAAATTCTTGAATGAGGAAGAAAAGCAGTATGCTGAGGATCGTGTGGTTCTAGGAGGGACAGGAAAGACGGATCCAATTAACAGCGAGTGGAAGATGGACCAAGTCCTTGAATGTTTCATGGACCCAAAGACGTATTTTTTTGCTGCTATTTCCGTCTTGACTCAGGTTTGTGATTGTCTCGATCCTAGGTCGATGTGTGTATCTGACATGTAGGTAGATTCCAAATGGAGGTACTGGAAGCTTTGGAAATTTGGCTTTGAAAAGCTTCGGATTCTCGAGTCTTGAAAGCACTCTTGTTACTTTACCTGCTTCCGTAATTGCGATGTCTACTATCTTAGGCACCGGTTGGTTAGCAGGCCGATTTCGGAACATTACAACGTTCTTGATAATTGCTGTTGTCATTCCACCGGTTGTGGGAAGTGCCATCATCTTTTCCGTGAAAGGAAAGGGAGTGCGGCTGTTTGCATACTATTGTGTAAGTTCTTGACCACACCAACTCGTAAACTCCTCATTTCAAGCGCTGACTTACGATAGCTGCAAACTGGTCCGGGTGCGCTACCTCTGACTCTCGGTCTGGTTTCGTCGAACTACAAGGGCGTGACAAAAAAGATGACTGTCACGGCAGTTCTGTTCTTGACATATTGTGCCGGCAACATTGCTGGCCCTCAGACTTTTAAATCCGCCGAAAAAGCTCGGTAAGTCAAATCAACGCCTCGTTCTTCTCTATGCATATTGACTAACTTTCGTAAAGTGGCTACCCGACTGCTTTCAAAGCTATCCTCATCTGTTACGGGCTTGTATTCCTCGTGTCTTTAAGTCTCCGCGTCTATCTGACTTTAGTCAATCGATCTCGCGATAAACAGGAAGGAATCGCTTCGCTAGAATCTCCAGCCGCCAACGATAAGAAGGAGTTGACCGCAGAGGATTATGAGGATGTGACGGATTTGAAAACTCTCGGCTTCAGATATCGCATGTAGTCGCTAGAACCTGCGTTCAAAACAATGATAAACTTTTGAGTCGCGAAACAATTTCGCAATTTGAAGCAAACAAACCGCATCGTTTCAAACACTCTAGACTTTCGAGGTCGTCTTGCGGTCTTTACATGCCATAAAGTTGTGATAATGTATCAGAGCTGGGCCGATCTGCTCCAAATAGCACCGCAGAGCCTCGATATGTCGTTTGGCGGCGCAGAACAGGGCTGAGACGTGGATCCGCCAACTTTGGGAGCACAACATCTAAGCTCTACAATTGATTAGCGAAATCAATTGGTTAGTTGTACGCGGACGCAATCCTTCTTACATCCGCCTAGCCGCAGCACCCGAGATCGTAAGCGGCAATGCACAAGATGATGTTTCAACGATCGTAATTTTTACATCAACCACCAGTTTTGAGAGTCAGTGTCGCCAAAATGTGAGATGGATCGATATATGGGGCTGGATAATTGAATGATTAAATAAACGGAGAGCTCGCTCCAAAGTTATTTTTCTCATCCCATCCACCATTGCTTTCCCTCTCAAGTCACCTAAAGCCTACCTCGCAAGCCTCGACGCTTGAAGCATCTTCCAACTAAAGACAACACTCAAGAAGTTTATTCAAATCATCTCCAATCTCAAAATGGCTGGACTCGTTTCCTCTTCTACCCTCCTCGGTCTTACCGCACCACTCACACCACCGGTATCAACCTCTGTACTTGCCCCTATCTCTTCTCCACCAGCTGCTTCAACTTCCACCACCATTGAGATTCCCCTCGCAACAGGCGGCGCTCCAGCTCCAGCTCCAAACGGCAATACCACTGTCCCAACAGCTGGTGCGCCAGCACCAGCTCCACCTAGCTCTACAACCGTACCACCAGCGGCTTCGTCCTCAAGTGCGGCGGCGGCGGCTAACATGTCAGCTGGAAAGACGTTTGGGATTGCGGGCATGTTTGGATTGTTATTTATGGGACTTTTCGCGTAGATGGGATGAGTGCATGTGGGTTTAAAATTGGCGTTGGGAGACTGTTAGGAATCGCGAAGGTGTAGAACCACTACCATAGGATCATAGAGGGGATATTGCATGGGCACCACTATACCAGGAAGATTGGTTTGGGGATGTATCGCGCGTAGGGTCATTGGATCCTGGCTGGAGTATGAAGTAAAATAGCACTATCGTTTAAGCTAAAGCATTTAGCAGAACTCGCCTTGTGGGGTGTTAAAATAATGGGAAGCTCTTCTTTCCATCATTATGCTTGATTCTACATCATTCAAAAATGACTCTTTTTTTGTGTTGTGGCTGTTGACACAAGTGTTTGCTTTACGTGATATTACGTGGTGATGGAAGTGGCTGTGTTATAAGACAGGAATAAAATGGATCTAGGCTTATAACACCACAAGAGGAGCTTGAGTTATCTCAAACGTATTATAAACATTTACATTAAAATTAGTAGCATAAGACGGTTCTAATCCTGGTGTATGATACATCGGCATGAATTAAGGTCGAGAAGACTTCGTCAGACCTCGCTTAACAAACGACTTACTCCTGAGCACAATTAGCATCTTCTGTCTCATGATGCGTAAAAGAGTTGTGACCTCGCCATATTAAGGAAAATTAGGCTTTCATTTTTTGTGCAAAGATTCGAAATTAATTAAAGGTGAAAGAAAGGGGCATATGTTTTTCCTTCCCCTCGTCCTGCCCAACTCAACATGAGGTGTGTGACGACACCTCCTGTGTATTGACGAATCAATCCTCAAATAATAGCAGGAGATAGTTAAATGATAGGTCGTGAGTTCAGGTTACCTCTTTCTGGCTTCTACGTAACAAAATGGACTTACACCTTAGCTAGAGTCCCAGTCGCATACTCATAATCATCTTGCAAAGGAACGACCATTCCCTCATAAAATATTTCGCGGAAATCCCCATGGTCGAAACTGTGATTAAATGTATCAAAACTGCAATGAATTCAACTTGCTACAGCCCTTCCGTAATTCGGCAGGTATCTCAAGTGTATCTCATCCGCGAGCCTAGTGCAAGACCATCTGACGCACAGTATTTTTAGGAAGCAGAACCAAGGACTTCTCATTCTGCGTGCAAATGCGTTGCAGTTTTGCGGCACTAAGTATCAGTTGAAATAGTTTATATACATCCTGGTCTGTCTTTTCGAACAGAATTGACCATTTGAGCGAACTGAGGTGTTACAATATATTATCCCCGCAGATCACCTAAACCTGATCTTTGTGGGGTGAAAGTGAGGTCATGTACTGAAGTTACTTTTCTTTCGCTTTCGTCTCTGTTCACCGCTTTCCCTTCAGTTATTCTCTTTCTCGTACTCAGTCCTCCTGACATAGATAACCCCATTTTCAATAAAATGGGCTTCGTTATAGTCGTTCTCTAGTCAAGGTACCGCAACAACCTACAGAACGTGGTCGGAAAGTTCAATACCAGCGACACGGGCCAGTGGGGTTTCCAGCCGCTGTCTGATGCTCTGCATGCACGAATCAATCAGATAAACAACTTAATTGAGGTTCTCACCTACGTCGCATTATTGGTAAGCTATGACCGTGGTCAAGCCATGGTAAAACTATCAAATATTTATCTAATACTATCTAACAGAAGATCGAGCAACAGTGTAGCACAAGATCCTTCCTACTTAAGAAAATTCCAAATCGCCGTGCAAGTCAGGTGTAATACAACTCAGCGCTCTCTGCGGTCATCAACACATGATGGTCCAACCGACGGCATTATTTTCAACCAAATGGAGGCATCTTAATCAAGGACATTATCTGGTATGTGGCATGGCATATGCAGGCTACTAGGTCGAGAAATCCAACAGATCGAAATCCAGGAATATGCACCGCAATGAATTGACGAAATGATATATCAAAGCGGATATATGGGACAAGAACGCAACCATTATAATACGGGAAGGTACACTATAAAATCACTTAGTGTATTCATACGACGGCTCCGCAATTTTGGGATCCACGACTTCATTGTGACATCCAAGTTGTCCCAAAAACATACTTCCGCGTCATGCGCTTAGAGGCCTACCAAGCCACGGACTGGTTATTGGCATATCAATCGAACTGTCGGAACAGCATGAACTTGCTTGGGATCTCGGCTGTATCTGTGGCGTGAGGCCATGCTCGCTCGCAGAGGCACATTTAAGAAAAGGGGACTACCTCAAGCTAGGGGACATACAGATTACTCGCGCGGCGACTGGAAATTGTATGTGCTTCAATTCATGGTATCTCTAAAATCATCTCGCTCGAATCTCAGCAGCTTTACAACGAAGGGGCAAATTCAACACGATGATAGTATTCAAGTTTATGAAGGGAAACCGCGAAGATGACATCGCGAACCCTACCTTCAAAAAGTCAGCCCTTTTGACAATGAACGTCCAAGCAGTCAAGTTAGCAGAAAACATCCCATCGAGTCCAACACTTAGGCTCATCACGATGATGATCCGCCCCGCCGTAAAGTTTTTGTAGGAGAACCGAAAATTGAGTCGCTCTTTCCCGACGACGGGCAAAAAAACTTAATCGTTAAACCCGAATTTAAAAACAAGCCCGTTTTTATTGCAGAGTCGCCTGGTGGCCGTGGGATAAATCCTAATAGCAAGCCAGCTTCGGCCAAATCCCTTACCGACAATCTGAAGCTTCGAGCTCTCGCTCTAGGGTACCCAGAGAATAGCTGTTTCTATGCATGGCGGAGGGAATTCGGATCCAATGTCAAAGATCGGCCGACGCAAATACCGCAAGAGTAGCAATGGCGCATGACCCAGCTTCGCGCGTTCTTGAGGAGTACTACGACGACTCTACTCTGCAGCTTGGCGTCTCTGCCATTGCCCTTGGTGAGACTGCGGTCAATCTCGTGGACCAATCGTGGGCAATCTTATACAAGTTCAGATATACGCTCAATGCCCTTGAGACAGAGAAGCTGCTAACCCAAGCGGTTCAAGATGACCCAGACTTCCAAACAGCAGCAACAGCAAGAGACATAAAAAGATGCGCCAAAAGTACTCGCTTCCCGGCTAGAGCAGCACTAAGGGATCATTGTCGAGAAGAGCACCAGAAAAATGTCACTGTCTCAGAGTTACGGGGAAGAGTTGCTCAGCTAAAGACCTCAGGCAAGGTCTTTCAAGAGCTGCAAGAAAAGATCTGTCTGAATACAGAAGCTGTAGATGAAACCGTCGACGTTGAGCAGCCAGATCTCGACGTTGGAAAAGTACTAGGTCTTCAATTTACAGACGAAGTCGATTAAATTGAGACAAGAGACCACTTTGTCATGGACTCTAGTCGAGCCAGGTCATCGCAAACGTTTCTCGCGAAGCAGGTGCTGCCGCCGTAGACCTCCTTACGTATGTCTCGGGGGAAACTTTCGAGGCACCCTCTGAAAAGATTTATGCATAAACAGCCAAACTTTCCCTAGAGGAACTAATATCGCGAACCACAAAGAAGAGTGAGCCAAGGATTGCTATTCCTCCGCAGCGAGCCGTCTAGACCATACGCAGCACCGAAGTTGTTGTGTGCCCTCTGCGATGAGGATGATACGGTCTCTGATGATAATAAAAGCCAGGGTCTGGAGATCGTGAAGCCTGCTCCTCAAGCACCAGGAAGTTTTGTTCCGTGTACCTGAAACCCAATGGTACAGACAAAAGAGGCCACGCACCATTACCGCCGACGGCAAGTTCTGCTGTCTCTATGTTTCGCGGCTCACGGCAGGATGACCTTTTTGACGATTTCCAATTCGTCAAATAAAACATACTTCGAACAGCCAAAGGTTTCAGCAACAATAAACAAGCAAAATATGTTCAAACAGCAGATCGGCCCCGGTGAACAAGATAAGTGTAGTGTCTCTCTACTGCCCTATCAACGTAAGCGAGGAAGGCACTTAGTTGCCTTGACAGTGTCCATATAAGCCGAGATTTTCATATTGTCCGAGATCACTTGACGCAACATCGTATATTTCGTCAATTACTTTAAGCAAATATCTTGTACGGACTACATTCATATTGTCCACCTCGAAAGGCTGGGTGGATTGGTTGGGAGTGACTTCCTTGATTTTGAGTAAAGAGACTGGCTCGCAGTAGACAATTTAGAACGAAACATGACATTTACTCAGGACAATTGAAAAATACAGTAGATTTGCTCTACATTTTGCAGGAAATAGCCCGTTTTAGACTCTGTTCCAAGATTTCCAGGTATACGTTGAAAGCATCAGTAGGATGTCTGCAAATCACTGCCAAGTACATTTCCACCTCAAGGTTGGCTATATGATGAGTCTTCTCAGTCAAAAATTCCTATCGCGGTACTACGAAACAAGATGAAGAAAGATAATGACCAGAAAACGAGGGAAAAGAGTCAAAAATCTTAGCGGTACCATTGTTACCCCACAGTGCCTACCTACCTAAGTAGATAGTAAATAGATGATTGACAACAGGTAAGGGATTTCCGTACCTTTCGATGAAACAATGCGCACCCAAGGAAGTTCTCTCGGAGTGGTCTGGTCTTGAACTGTACAATAGCTCTTATACTATAGCAATGATGCGAAAACACCCAGACAAAGCAATCCTCCAACGAATCTACAACCTGCTTATTGAATTTGGCTTCAACGATAGCATCCCCTGTGAGCACATAAGTTCGGAGAGCTCGTTATGAGATCAAGTGTATAGTAGTGATTTGCTTAGCTTACTGTACAAAAAGTTGTCACCGGTTTGACGAGACACCTCCTTACATAGAACAAGGACCTAGAATAATCTTGTTCTTCCCAGAACAGGATATTTACTCAACGTGTTTGGGTCTCTTCTTACGGGGCCGATCCTGCCTATTAAGAAAGAAGCATACTCTCGTTACGATCTGCGCTTATTCGGTGCCACTCATCTTCACTGATGTCGTCGTCGAAGTCGAATTCGTCTTTCTCTACTTCGTTGTCCGAATTGCTTTTGAGTCTCCATTCCTTTATGATCTTTATGGTTGGGCTTTTTGTTTGCCTTTGCTTTTTGTTTCACTTGTCCTTCGTGCCATAGTACCGTACCCGATAACTACCTTACCTACTCGGATGTATATATTCTCTGACTACTTCTTTTATCATGCGACAATCAAATTACGGGTCTCATCGGCGGTATGCTCCAGTAAGTGGTCTGCTGCCTGACAGAAGATCCCGTGCTTCTTCTGCGAAGCTTAAATCCACCGTTTTTGTTGAACAACTTAGATTTGTTGATTATCCTCTCAGGTATCCTCAACAAATGCTTCGGTTGGCACAGGTGCGTTTCTACGCTTCTTTCTCATAGGACCAATGTTTTGAAACTCCCAAAGTTGGCTATTTCCTCAACCGATCCAAGGTCACCCTTTCTGAAAGTGACAAAGATCTGTGATCTTAAATATCGGCGAGAGCCCACAAAGGGACTGCGAAAATAAGCAAACGGCGACGTCATGGTACATACATTTCCTTCACCTCCCGATCCATCGTTGTCTGGCTTTTTTTACCTAGAGCCTGTCATGTTCCGTATATAACATCGAATTGAATGCCCAATATAGTATAACAAATGATAGGGGCCTCAGCTAGCACTTTAATTGTGTTGTATTAATTTGTATCTTGCACAGCTCGTCAATTTTCGAGATCGATGGTGTCTACAAAGACGCGTCATATCTAATCTCACGTCGACCGGGGAATTTTATATATTCATCAGATGATTACTATGAGGCTGGGTATATTTGCTCTATTCAACAGGGGAAACAGGGATACATGATGTACTTGTAATAACAGTAGTATAGCTAATAAAATGTAGTGAGAGAGAGATTTATGCACTTAATATAGCAGTCTAGAGCGCATCCCCTTAGTCAAGGTAACAGGAGCTTTCTTGTGTTCCCGTGGAGATGGCTAAGATAATCACAGCGAATTGGTTGCAGACGATGGTTGTGGCTGCATTAAACAGTTCCACCCACCACCAAACAATCATTCATAGAAGCGTTGGATAAACTCCTCGGGGGCGTGTCCTCGGCATTCCCCAGAGATTTATAGCATCGATTTACCAATTGCTGTAGAGTGCGCTCATCCTCTTCGCTCACCTCGTTATATGCGCGGTGGATGACGTTGCCTCTTAGAGGTGCGTTTTGGTGTTGAACCAGCGCGTTGCCTTTGGCAGGGCGTGGTCGTGCTGCGAATAAAGCTTGATCATGGGCAGCTTGCACTGCCGCGACGGCTTGCTCACCCTGTTCTGCTGAGGCAACTCTAAGTGCCAGCTCAGCCTCTGCTAGCTGCAGTGCAGCATCATCTCGAACAACTTGGAGAGCTGGTGTACCGGCCGGCCTGGCGGCCGCAGAGGCTCTCAGTTCATGCGTCGTCGTTTGCCGGCCATCTCGAGCCGCATTCAGTCGAGCTAGTTCTGCTCGAGCCGTTACAATTTCAAGTGTTGGAATGGTAGCCGCAGTTCTCAGATTATCTGCGTTGGTCGGCTGGATTTTCTCGGCATCCGTTTTGAAAACACTGTGGCGCTATGCCTTTCCAGCATAGAGGAAAACTTGATTGAATTGTCGTTTGTACCCTCGAGCTATATGTATGTTAGCTAGATTAATATGTAGGCATAGATAAGATGACAACATCAATCGATTCAAGATTCATTAGTTTGATCCCGTGAAACAATGTCATATTTTCGTCTGAAGTGGTTAGTAAATGACATTCAACAACTAAGGTTGTGCCTGTGTTATTGAGTAAATATCACCTTGTTACTGAGACGACTTGATATCACCTTCAGTCGACAACATGAGTTGAACCAAAAGAAAATCTCCCCTGTAGAAAAATAATGCCATTACCATCACTTGCAGACCAAGTTCTTGAGCAAACTCACGTGTGACTCGGAGAGAGACACGCGGATGAAAATATATCATTCAGAACCAAGTAGATTTCGCACTTCATGATTTTCGAAATGTGTACTGGATCGAACTTTGCGTTGTAGTTGGTGTATCGCCAATGGCGATAGTCCCCCTCGCTTAAGCCCTCCGAAGTCGTCCCCCGCCCGGTCCACAGTATGACCCACCTTTTTTCTATACTTTATATATTAAAACAAGCACATTTTATCCATAATCCAACCAATGAGCGCCCGGCTAGCTCAATCGGTAGAGCGTGAGACTCTTAGAATCTGTATCAAACACAGATGACGTAATCTCAAGGTTGCGGGTTCGACCCCCGCGTTGGGCTCAATTCCCTACAATGCGCCTTGGTTGGCAAAGTCTTTTGCATATTTTTTCGTTGGAATTGAGTTGAGGTTGTGGTTGAGTTGTGAAGTGGTGAAAAGGGGGGGTGTTCCCTTTTTTCTTTTGGCACGGTTGCGGATGTGGAAGCGAGGCTTAAGCGAGGTCGAGGTGACGGCCCGGGGGGGCTCGGGGGTCTCTAACTCTACAAGCTATCTTTTATCAGTGGCTACAGGCGACGATGGACTAAAACTATGTATTGTAATTTACATAGTCAATCGACTAGAGTCAACTGAGCAAAGACACGGTCCAGTGATCTGAATTTAGTAAATGGAAAGGAGAGACGCTAGAAGACAACTCCATTGACGAGATGAATTGAAAGGTACCCCCTAATCATTCTCTAATAGGGAGGCATAAGAAGGGCAAAGGAAGGACACATCTCTAGGCTTACATTTTATGATCGTCATCACAAAAGCTCTGCATCAGAATAGCATTCTTTAGCCATCAACTGTTGTGATATTCTCGACCTGGAAGAATTGATCGAAACACACAAGGCTACCACCTATCGCCGCGCGCCAATCAAACACAGATGGCGTCTAGATATTCAGCATGAGGTTTAGTTCCCGTCAAAACCGCCCCAATGAACGGCAACTCTCATCGCTCCTCTATTATACACATTGCAAACCCAACGCCATCCACGACCCCCAGACTCAAGTCTTAATCCTCAGTAGGCGATGCAGCATCAGCCAGCCTCTCAGCTTCCAGCTTCTCAGCTTCCAATTTCTCGGATTCTCCATATGGATAATCCCTAAAAACAGTTCTCGTCGCAATGACCTCCGCATCTGGATCCTCAATTCGCATATCCATGTAGTCAGTAACCTCCTCCTGCTGGCTCTGCATCCGGCCCATCCGCTTATCAATATTCTTCTGTCGCTGTGGACGAATGCTGATACGTTGGACAATGGGATAGTAGTATGCCCCTTTCTGAAGTCTCCCGTCTTTGCCGTCATGGAGAGCGATGATCACTTCATCATCATACTTTTCTTCGTAGGTACCTGCGGACGTCGCGCTCTCATACGCACGCACACGTTTGAATCTGAAACATCCCTCTCCATTACCCTGCTTATCTGTATACAAGTCTTCTTCCTGATGATCATTGTCAAGAATATCGAACTTCCGCTTATAATTCAGAGCAGCATCCACAGTCTCTGGCATGAAAAGCTCGTACTCTAACGTGTTCTCCGGCGGCGGATTGTGTTCTGGATCCGCATTGTGGGCTTCTTGAGCCGCCTGCTTAGCAGCTTGTTCTTCCTCGGGTGGATCGATTGGGACCAGCATACTGTTTTCCACCCTCACGTCGTATGTCGTGCTTGGTGGGACTGGATTTGTGAGAAATTTGACTGTGACATATCCTCCAGCATCAGGGAATGCATCTACATCGGGTAAAAGAGGATATGCGTCTACGACATGTACATTGCGCTTGGTAGGATGCCGCGCAATGTTCTTATTTTTCAGATTCCGCGCTGCAATAGCGAAGCTCTCCTCAACTTGCTTTTTAATATTCTCAGGTGACTCTTTATCAAAATCGACTACCGGCCGCTTCTTTTTACTCCCAGTATTATCAATCAGAGATCTTGATGTTGTAGATTCGAACCGCGATTTTGATGTGTATGAGGAGATATATTCGGTCCGCCGCAAGAAAGATACACCAGTGTCGGAAAACTTGGGCTTCCCAAGCGTTGAAAGTGGTCGCAAAAGCGCTCTATCGTGAGGGTGAGGTACAGGTAATTGTAATGGCGCTTGGATTGCTGTATGGATTCGATTAACGAATGCGCAGGCTGGGGGATAATTCATACTTACAACTCTCATCCCCATCAAATATGCCAGGCATTCCCACCAGATCTAATGGCATACCAAGCTCGGCGTCAGCTTCGATGTTGAGCGGCTGATCGCGTGCCAGACGTGAGGCATAGCCGGGTGTTGTATATTGTCCGCTGGCGAGGCCTGTATTTGGGATTTCGAGTAGTTTGGGAGGGTTTGGAGGAGGTGGTAGAGCATTCGAGTATCGTATTCGGGCGATGTAGTCTTGCTGAACCATGCGTTCGCCGCCTCTTGATGCTGAGGACGACATATTGGAATATCGAGCTGGGTTGTGCTTGGGTTTCAGTAGAGGAAGTGGTTGTCGCGGTCGTCGCGTTGTTCTAGATTTTGGGGTCGCGAGGCTGATGAACTTCTCGACCTTGAAGTCTTGGCGCTTGCCGAGGATCATTCAACTTGTCGACATGTCAACACCGGATCGAACAAATTGAACTATATCAGTCACCAAAAATGAAGCTATAGCTTAGAGATATTTGATTCATGTTCGGGATGGTTAGTCTCGCTGGTTCGTACTTGCTCTACTTGTCTATTTCTTACCTTTTTGATCTCCCAAGCATGAAGCTCCACCTCAAAAGTCCCGTTGTAGTACAATCTACGGGCTGGGTAACACTGGGCAAACTTACATTGCCCCTTTAGATTAGGGAAAGCTGATATCAGGTCTGACATTCCGGCCGAGTCAAATCTGTTAAGTATTATCCAAGCTTGTGTGCAGCTGGTTTTTCTCAAGCTGTAAATGAAGAGCTTCAAATCCAGATTGAAAATCTTTATATGCATCTTCATTTTCTTCTGATGCTATTCTTCATTAATAGAAGCGATGCCCTCTTTCCAATGATAATGTTAGAGCAGCTGGGCAGTAAATAATACCAGATTTCCAGCCACGAGAGGTATAATCCTCCAGTTAATGTTTATAATTTTCAAGATTGAATTATCAATTTTTCTTGGCCCATTAAACGTCCTACTAACAACAACATACTTCCAATCTGGTAGTATAGTATTGATTATGCCTACCTAACCACACGAGGTCTAGCTCGTAGCCTTCAAGGTATTCAATCGCGCAAACCAGCCAAATCTTACCACGTCAAATCGAAAACCATCCTTCATTACTCGAACTTAGTGCACTCAAAGCATTCGTCTCAGCCATCAGCACAATTCCTCAAAATCGCGAATCTTTACTTGCGAATCTTTTACAAAGCAAAACTCCAAAACATATTGACCTTCCAAGCCAAGGTTCATAAAATCCACAAATCCACATCCCCACACTCACCATTTTGTCCCGGACAGCACTCCAAGACCCATCCAAATCATGAATTAACCCTCCAAATCTGCACAAATATCAACAATCGTCTAAGCTCGTGATACGGGCAACTCAGCGGGCAACCATAATAGGCGAGCACGAGATATTTAGCTATTGTTGCATTTCGAACATGGTCGCTTAAGATGTAGCTTCGTCGGGTAACCAAGCCCTCTCGAGCTAAAAGGAATCGGATCTTCGCTTGATTGTCGAAGGGGAAATTCCAGGTTTGCATCCGGGCATTCACGCGGCACTGGTACCACATTGCAATATACCTAGGTATGAAATAGTCTTATAAGTGATCAAGGCGGAATTGCAGATCCGACAGCATGCTTGTATAGAAGGCATACCATTTCCCCAATTCATATTCTACAGATGATCCATGTCCTGAAACCAGAGAGAAAAATGCATAAGGAGTGCCACTCCTCACCATACCCGAACGCCTTTGCTGTCCAGAACTCCGTGCAATGCAATCCATGTCGGAACCCAATTTTACATGCCAAACAAATCAATATATACATGAAATCAAACGGCGCCCATATCCTTCAATGCTCCTGCGAGCCGTCTATAATCTCGCAATAGTTCTAACACCTCGTTAAGTTTCATGTCCCCGGGATTTTGTAATTCCATAAATCTTTTGATGGGTGGTGCAATTTTGACCACCTCTTTTGGTGGGAGGGCTTGTGCAAGATCCGGATGTGCCTGCTTTATAATCAGTTCAGCATCTTCAGAGGGTAAGATAATACTCACAGTAGTCAAGTCTGCGACTCCTCCATCCGGAATAGATCTGTCCGATGTAGGTGCGGGAGGCGCTGGTGTTGCCGTACTTGCACGACCAAAACCACGCATCATTCCCATTCCAGCAATCCTGTTCATAGGATTAAGTGAATTTCCCAAGTTTCTCATCGACTCGACAATAGGAGGGTTCATTGTCAATGAAGAAACAGGAGCGAGAGGAGAGGGCGTGGCTGTCCTTTCACCACTTTCTTCAGTAAGCCTTCTGTTACTACCCGAACTCCTATTACTATCTGTGCTCCTGTCTCGAGTCGTCTTCCGTCCTCCGATCAAACTTAGCATTTTATCATCGGCCTTCGTTGTTGAGTCAGTACGCGTAGTGTCAGGACTGTGAAGTGAGCTGGCCCCACTAGCTGAAGCATCATCCTCAGGTGGCGGGGTGCTGACTAGCTTTCGAGCTTCATCTAATGTCCTAGGAACCGCGATATCGGTGGAAGTATCCTTGATCTTTCCAAGAAGAAACTTGTAGCTATCCCCCAATGAGTTTCCGATGGTCTTAAAACTCTGGTCAGCGGTGTTAAAGAAGGCATCATTAGCCTCGCCCAAGACCTGGGCTGGTGGCCGAAACATGTCACTGATCCGTCGGTTATGTGGCTGAATACTTGGTCGAAGACTTGATGTAGATGATGGTGATGGTATAGTAGTAGGACTTGCAACGATAGAACTAACCCCCGAAACCGTAGAAACGCCTGGAGATGGTGTAAGCCCCACCAAAGTATTTGGTTTTTCTAATCGTGGCGTAGTGGGTCGACTGTTGGATTTTGGAGGTCCCGACGGTACTTCATCCGCCCTCAAACTTGCCAAATCAACTGTTTCAAGAAAAGTGAGTGCTGCTTCTAAGTTTGTCAAGCAATATGCGGCCTCTCCGTCAATTTTGCTTTCGTTTCGGAATCTCTGTATGAAATAAAGATTGCTGATTATGCTTATCCCTTCCGGGCGGGAAGTGATTAATGTATAGATTAGCATAGGCATAATCTCATCCGCAGATGAAGATGGGTGGAAATGTGACAAAGTATCGACAATGCTCTTATGGGCAAGCTTTAGATGGTGCAGTTTCCCCAGTGGATATTTATCGTTGTTCATTGCGATCAATTGCGCTCGCGCACCCTCCAGCCACTCTCGAACTTCTGATTCCTTCTCCTCCGTCGAGTCTGGTCGCTCTGGAGAGTTGCCTAGATCGATACCGAGATCGGTAAGGCCAATTCCCACCACAGACAGAGCTGCGGTTTTCGATCTTAGCTTTTCATCCTGTGCTTCATCCTGAGTCGACCGATGCTGAAATATTCGATCATATATTCCCTCACACACTCTGCGTTCGATGGCCTCCTCTAACGCTAATCGCTTTTGCTCCAGCAACTTCCGAGCACGCTTCCTGTCCGCTATTTCCTCCACCGTCAACATCTGCTGTTCCGAGTCTCTTCTTTCTATGGTCATTCTGGGTCGATCCTTGTTGCTGATGGAAACAGCTTTCGCTCTTAACTTGCCGGTCAACGAAGATACCGAAGGTGCCGGGGATTTTTCTCGATGTTGACGCGAGGACAAGGCGGAGATATGGGTATTGATGTGTGAGGCAGCAACAGCGTAAAAGTCTTGAAAGAGGCTCGAGAGCTTGTCAACCGATGGAGGTGTAGAGTGAACTTTGGCAGAAAGGGAATCAATGAAGCTGTAAAAAGGGTCAGTTGGCTAACGGTGGCATTTCCCCTCTGTACACTGACCTATCCGTCAAACTTGCCAACTCTATTGGAAGCTCCTCAGAATTTGGTGGCAGTTTCTCTGAAGACTCGGCAGCATCGTGGTCATCATCGTGCATCTTTTCAAACCGGTCGGGTGGGCTCTCTGACACCGTATTCGCCCTTGCGGTTGTATTACGATTTCCGCCCGCTGGTGGTGTGCCATTATGAATGGTACTCGCTCTCTGTGCTCTGATCAAACGTTCTGGCTCATCCAACTTCGAGAACGACGCGGATGGGTGAAGGCCACGAGGACGCGGCTCGCTCTTCTTCGCACTAGGCGGAGCCATAAAGTCTGGGAATTTCAACAGCATTTTGTCAGTAACTGCTTGCATATTGGACGTGTGAAGCAGCAGAGAACAGAGATATATCTACCTATACGTGGGTTGGCCAACAAATCCGCATGAATGACAACGATTTGAAACTTTGAATCGGGTGGTCCAGACCGGGATCACGGGTGGACAAATGCCTTCGCGGAAGGAATTCTGGGAATAACAAACGGGTGAAAGGGATGAATAAATTACATAGCCACGAATCGAATAGAGTTGTATGACACAGAATGAATATCTCTCACGGTCCTGTGTAGTCCAGTTGGATCAAGACGTGGAGTAACTGCTGATATCGGAAGGTCAAATGAAGCGGAGGATTGGCTGGATTGGGTCATTGAGCTTGGGCTTGGGAGAGGTCCCATGTTCGCTTCGGCGGGAGCGGTTCTGGGATGATGAGCAGGGGCGGGGTTCAAGCTGGATCAGCACGTGAACAAGAGACTCACGGTTACCTATTTTGATGTGTAACCCAGTCATCTCATGACGGAATAGAATTTATTTGCGAACAGATTTTTCCATGAGAACTCGTAGGTACCGTATGATATTGTTTTTTCTCGAATTTCTGCGGGTGTGGCTGGATTATCTTTCGACCTCGATGCTAAGGTATGCTCGCAGAGGACAAAATAAGTGTCAGTTACCTGCCTACTAATTTTGGGACTCAATAATTCGACTTCGAACGGAGCTTAGGAAGTCGTATTTACTTAAAACAATTGACGAAATAAGTCATATTGTTCTAAGTTAATCCACTAAATGCCGATATTTCGTCAACTTAATCGAAAAAATGTCGTGTTTCGACTGCGACTTAGTTTGTCCACCGCGAGGTATGGTTCATGACGCTCGGCCCAGTCGGTCCGAGAATCGGCACTCTGACAGCTCGAGGCTCCGTGCAGTCAGCGTTATTCCCCATACTCCCCTTCGCTGCACCCAATAGCATTATCCAGTCAACAGGCAGAGCCACCCACCTGCCGCCTCCTCCACCACATGCACGCCCCAGACGACTTTTGGATGACGATCATCATCACTTCAGAAGGAGCTCCCACCAGGCGGCGGATCCAACGTACATGAACAACTTACTTCTTCTCCCATGTTCCCCACGTCTATCAATACTCTCGATGTTCACGAACATGAAGACATCTACCCACCAGAAATGCGTCTCTGCAGGCAGAGTCACCTCGCGCTTACTGCTCTCTTTCCTGTTGTTGTCGGCTCCCATCACCGCTAAGCGGCTCGATACATCACGTCAACAACAGCATCAACAGCAACCCGTGGCCATCCTGCCGCCTCATCCTACTATTCCCCAGCCAGATTCCCCAGAGAGTCACGAGCATGTATTCGTAAGTGTGCAAAGCAGATATACTTGGAAATAGCTGAGCTAATATGGAATAGACATTACGGCATGTATTCCACCACGGCAACCTCGACCGGCCAGCGGAACATATGCGGTTGGATATACCCCAGACGGCGTCCTCGGTGTGGATAGAGAGCGAGGAGGGACCCCTCGAAGAAGTAACTCGACCATTAGTAGTGAAAAGTAATGCGATGGGCATACAGCGGTTAAAGGACCGCCGACCATCGACCGTAGACCCGATGGTTGCGGGTGCACGAGAATGGGGACAATATTGGTCCACATCCGCAGATGCCTGGACATTTGATAACGTAGCGGGGCCAAATGTGACAGACAAAGAGACGATTCTTACTTTTGCTCAAATGGCCGCGAATGCCTATGTCGATGTGCCAGACACAGGAGACTGGAAAGACGTGAATGGAGGATTCAATAGAACGGACGACAAGGGCTTTGGATGGGATGGGACAGGACTTCGAGGGTATCTTTATGGAGACGAGACTAATTCGGTCATTGTGATCGGCCTAAAAGGCACCACGCTTGCTATATGGGATGGGGACGGAACCACGACGAACGACAAGGAGAATGATAACCTCTTTTTCAGCTGTTGCTGTGGCCAGCAAGGAAGCGCGTTCTATCGACAAGTTTGCGATTGCGCAGTCGGGACATACACCTGCAATTTGACGTGTTTGAGGAGAAGTTTGAGGAAGGAAAACCGGTACTATGCTGCGGCTCGCCATCTCTACAATAACGTGACAGCACTCTACCCCGATGCAGAAGTTTGGATGTCGGGTCACTCCCTGGGCGGTGCCGTCAGCGCCATGATTGGGCTTACCTACGGCATACCGGTCCTTACCTTCGAGGCCGTTCCCGATGCTCTTCCTGCGAACCGGCTTGGACTTCCAGTACCGCCAGGAGTGGACCCAGATAGACCAGGTCAACGAGACTTCACGGGTGCATACCATTTTGGACACAGTGCAGATCCAATTTATGTAGGTACTTGCAACGGCGCTACTGCAAGTTGTTCTTACGCCGGATACGCCCTGGAAAGCGCCTGTCACTCCGGTAGAGAATGCATGTACGACGTTGTCAAAGATAATGGAACACGAGTCTCCATCTTGACACACAAAATCAACTGGGTGATCCCAAATGTCATAAAGCAATACGACAAGGTACCGGAATGTGTTTTCACGCCGGAATGTTATGACTGCCCATTATGGAAAGAAGTTACTGGCAACAGTAGCTTAACTACATCTTCGTCATCCAGCACAACGAGGACGAACACCCGAACAGCGACTTGCAAGACTCCTGGATGGTGGGGTTGCCTGGATGAGACGACAACCACATCCGGTACCGTTACAACAACTAGCAGTACCACCACCACCACCTCGACGTGTAAAACTCCCGGATGGTTTGGCTGTAACGATGAGACAACAACGACTACTATGAGTAAATCCAGCAAAACGCCTACTGTCACATCGACTAGCAGCACTACGGCCAGCACTTCGACCACGACCTGCGAGACGCCCGGCTGGTGGGGCTGTAACGACCCAACACGCTCAACCACGACGACAAGCGCGAAGACACATTCTCTTACCTCAAGCTGTAGGGATCCAGGAATATTCTGGGGTTGCTATGACAGTCCCACCTCCACACATACACGCTCACATCCAATCACGAGCCCACCACCAATGCCAACATCGACTCACTCAACTCCCACAGCAAGCCCGACGACTAGTCACAGTTGCACTTCTCCAGCCTGGTTCGGATTGGTTTGCCTGGATCCTTCGCCAGTTCCTACTCATAAACCTAAGCCAAAAAAGCCCTCTCACGGTCCGCATTGCATTAGTCGGGGCTGGTTAGGCTTCTGTCGAGAATGGGCGAACACTAGTCGTGCTGCCAGACTGGAAATTTAGAATGTATATATGAGCATATTTTTGTTAGTAAATTGGGCGTATGAGCAATATCCGGGCGTCACAGGGACTATTGGGAGTTTAGGGATAGGATTAGGAGGATTGGATGATTAGGAGTACTACGGCATTCAGTGTCTTTATACAGTCATGCAGCGATATAGTGTTACAATATACATATAACTTATCTACTTATGTGTCCATTCCGCCTTCTTCTTCTCTGCGAAGGCCTTCATCCCGATCTTCTGATCTTCGCTGCCGAACAAGCTGTGGAAGACACGTCGCTCATACTCAACACCGTCTCTCAATGGTAAATCCTGGCTCTTGTTCACCACCTCCTTCGCCGCCATAACACTTACCTTACTATACCCAGCAATAGTCTCCGCGGTCTTCAGACTGCCTTCAATCAAGGCATCCCAATCCTTGAAGGTCCGCGCAGCGACTCCCCACTCGCCTGCTTCCTTCCCCGAAAAGTTCTTTCCCGTCAAAATCAACTCCATCGCCCTCGCTTTCCCAATGGCTCTCGTCAGCCGTTGACTTCCTCCTGCTCCCGGTATTGTCCCGAGCTTAATCTCTGGCTGTCCAAAGTTCGCAGTCTCGGTGCAGTATAGAATGTCGCACATTAAAGCCAGTTCGCAACCGCCTCCTAAGGCGTGGCCTGAGACGGCAGCTATTATAGGTTTTTTTATGGTGGTGGTGAGCGTGGACCACGATTCTATGAAGGAGGTTGTGTAGGCTTCTGAGAATGTCAGTGGTGCCATTTCTTTTATGTCAGCGCCGGCTGCGAAGGCTCGCTCTGAGCCGGTCAGGAGGATCGCGGATATTGAGGAAGATTTGTCGAACGCTTTCAGGGCGGTGTTGAGTTCGGTTATTAATGGCGTGGAGAGGGCATTGAGAGCTTTCGGGCGGTTGAGCGTTACTTTGGAGGTTGTTAGTAACAAAATGAATCAAGAGAGAAGATTGAATCAGCGTACTTTGACCCACTCCCGGTCGGGGTTCTGATATTTGGAGGAACTGATATTCTTGTGATGAAGGAGTTGAATACGTCCGAGTAATAACTGGTAGAGCTCCGGTTGAAGCTCTGAATTGGGAGGCAACAGGCCTCAAAACTCTTAACGCATTCATGACTTTGAGTGTCACACCCTAGACTCAGATATGACCAATTGCAAGGAGTGGCCGAGTGAAAATTGTCGCGTTGAAAGATGGAGAACAAGAGGTACAAAGTAAATAATAGAGTTGCATTACTCCCCTCACTCCACACTCTGAAGCTCTCATCCGAGCACATGCCGACACCAGCCGGGCAGCGCGAAGCTTCACCTCCCCTGTCGCTATCACGTGATAGATATGAGCAGCACACAGCCACAGGACAATCTACGGGCCGGATCGGAGCGCCCCTGTCAAGATTTACCAAGGGGACGCGAAAGGTGTCGAGATTCTTCTGAATACACAAGGCAAATAAACCACCACCACCGCCGCGTGTCTTGCAATCAATTCACCTGCCTCCATCAATTTGCGCTTCCCAGCTATATCTCGCTCTTTTCCGTACAAGTATATCACAGTGAGAAAGTCGGCACAAGAACGGAAAGATGGATTCTATCGAGCCGGAACAAACCCCTTTTGCGGCTGTGAGCGCGCAGACAAGTCGGCTTACAAGAGTGAGTATATCTTCCGAGGATTGCATATGTCGCGTGGCGCATAGGTGTGTTTTGGAGGATAGAGGCTAATAATGGTTCTTGTAGCAATACCAAGCATGGCTTGACAAGTCAACACCATATGTCCCGTACAGATGGCTAGGAACGTCTGCGCTTCTACTTCTCTTCTTCGTCAGGATATTCGTCGCACAGGGCTGGTACATCGGTATGTCGCTTGCACTCCTTGTGCGTACTATTCTAATGTAAAACAGTTGCATACTCATTGGGGATCTATCTTCTAAATCTCTTCCTCGCTTTCCTTCAGCCAAAATTCGACCCTTCAAATGAAGCTATAGATAACGATATGGAGGATGGCTCGGCTGGCGGGCTTCCCACGAAACAGGATGAAGAGTTTAGACCTTTCATTCGAAGACTTCCAGAGTTTAAATTTTGGCATTCGGCTACTAGGGCGATTGCGATTGGGTTTACGTGCACGTGGTTTAGCATATTTGATGTTCCTGTATTCTGGCCTGTTTTGGTGGTTTACTGGTTGATATTGTTTACCTTGACGAGTAAGTGATAGTCAAAAGCCTCGTTTACACAGTGCTAACCATATTTCAGTGCGACGACAAATCCAACACATGATTAAGTACCGCTATGTCCCTTTCACATTCGGTAAGGCCAAATACAACAAGAACAGCTCGTGAGCTACTGGCCGTATTCAATAAGAACTTGAGCTCGTCATCGGACCTTCAAAGGTTTTTGAAGGTCCTGGGAACATCATCACCTGTACAAAAGCGAAATAGCGAATAGTATTACTAAGAAATGAGCCGCTCAGCTGTTATGACACGGCAAACCGGGGAAAGAAAGAATCGCGTTAAATTATTCTAATGATTGTCTGTCGACCTTAGCGGGCAGACGAAAGCTTCCTGATATATTCGGTTTATGACCATAGGGTTACGGTGCATTAACGGTCTAGGGGTCATGTACGAGATTGTACGTGCTAGCAGTGTAGGTTAGAAGAACTTGATATAATAAGAGCGTTACATGATGTGATTGCTCTGCATTCTTGTGTCATACATTTTCTTGGTTTGGTTTTTACACCACACCTAGCTTGGTTTGAGTTGGACCTTATATGTGTAGCAGACTTATTATCCCGCCCCCCTTTTTCATGTCGTCGCATCTTTTGAAGACTAAACTAGGCTTATAAGATTACTTAGGCCAGCCATTTCTTGTGTCACTGAGGTCATGGTCATCACGAAGCGAGAACCCCTTTTAGCCTCGTAGGGGGCCGGTAGTGAGCCTGCACCCCATGCCGCACATCAATTTATCCAACTACATCTACCCATTATGCGGAGAACCTTGCACTTGGAAAATCCAACGTGTATTGTCGTTCGTGGAATATTGTGGTATAAGCTAACGGGGAAGCTCAGGCGACTACAATACGTCCCGGGATGTGCAATACTCTTCTGCCGTCGAGTGATCCCCCTCGAGTCATGTTACCAATTCTTCTGTATAAAATATTAGCCCCATCTATTGTCTGTGGATGAATTGTGTGGGGCTATGTCTTTTCAAGCCAGTCTGAATTTGCATTAGATGTTCAGCGTCCCTCCCCGGATTCTGGTTCTCAAGCATTCATCAAGATGCATTTCTATCGACTATGTGTTCTGTCTCTATGCTTCTGGTGGCAAGCAAATGCAGACTCAACATGGCAAGATGCAATCCTCCGGACACGTCAAAGCACCAAGAGTGTAACGGTTGACCTTACCAAGCGCTACCAGACTATGGATGGGTTTGGCATATCAGAAGCATTTCAGAGGGCCAATGTTATCGTCAATCTACCCGCTAAGCAACAGCGCGAAATCCTCGATCTGCTCTTCAATACCACGTCCGGGGCTGGTCTAACCATACTCCGAAATGGAATTGGTTCTAGTCCAGATTCAAGCAGTGACCATATGAATTCCATCGCTCCTAAAAGTCCAGGAAGTCCCACTGCTGCTATGAGTTACGTATGGGATAAGAAAGATAGCGGTCAACTATTCGTTTCGAAAGAGGCATGGAAGTATGGTGTCCGCACTTTTTATGCTAATGCCTGGAGCGCTCCTGGATATATGAAAACCAACGGAAACGAGAATAATGGCGGATATCTGTGTGGAGTATCTGGTAAAACGTGTAGTAGTGGAGATTGGAAACAAACATATGCGAATTACTTAGTCAAGTACCTGCAGTTTTATCAGCAAGAGGGTATCGAGGTTACACATGTTGGGTTTTTGAATGAGCCTGAATTTAGGTACGGCTTTCACTTACACGTAAAGATTAAAAAACAGCAGCTAACCAAGCATCAGTCCCAGTTACGCAGGCATGCTTTCCTCCGGCACCCAGGCCGCCGACTTCATCAAAGTCCTGGCTCTAACTCTCAAAGCCGCAGACCTGAGCACCACCATAGCATGCTGCGACTCCGAGGGCTGGGGAAATCAAGGATCAATGACCTCCCAAATCAAATCGAGCGGCGCCGAAAACTTGCTATCAACTATAACGTCACATTCCTACACTTCCTCCCCTGGAAGTCCCCTCAGCACCACGCGGAAAGTCTGGCAGACTGAGAATGCTGATCTACAGGGAGCATGGCAATCCGCGTTTTATAGCAATGGCGGTGCTGGAGAGGGAATGCGTTGGGCGGGATTAATCCACAATGCCGTTGTGAATGCGAATTGTTCGGCTTATCTATATTGGATTGGTGTTCAGACTGGGAATACAAATTCAAAACTTATTTCTGTATCAGGAACTAGTTATTCGGTTTCAAAGCGCCTTTGGGCATTTGGGCATTTTGCTAGAGGAGCGAGACCTGGGGCTGTTAGAGTTGGGATTTCGGGGCAACCGAGTGGGGTTCAGGCAAGTGCGTACTTGAACAGAGATGGGAATCTAGCGATTGTATTTATTAATACTGGGTCGGCGGCTGCTGCAGTGGCTGTGGATGTGAAGGGGGGGTGGAAGGGAACGAAAGTTACGAGGGCTTGGGTTACGGATAATAGTAAGAGTATGGCTGACCTTGCTGTAGTGTTGAGTAACGGGGCTGCAAGTGTGAGCGTGCCTGGAAGAAGTATGGTGAGCTTATCTGTTACTGAGTAACGACTCGGCGGTTAGTCTTGAAACAACTATTATAGGCGAAAGGGGAATCGATAAAGATCGGGAGTTACGCAAGCAACGGTTATATGTTAGATGTTCTGAATTCATAAAGAAGAGGCTGTCGCTCCTGCCTTGCCGCAGCTAGATCTTGATACACCACAATTTCCATTTCCCGCCCCCCCCCACCGAGATCATCTGAGGGTTTACCTCCACCAGATCAGTCAATCAGCCCCACACGTGGGTTAATCACAACGATAAACGAGTTTCGCAACTAAATCCTCCTGGTTCCAAGCGAGTCACCAGTGTGTTGTAAAATTGACGGGACACCCTTTCAGGGTATCGATGCCAGAAACCGACCTTGTAACACACCTTCCCCAAACAGTTATATTTACTCTTTGTAATAGAGGTAGTATCGTATATTTACTTAAAGGGATTCGGGAAATATAAATCCGAGGCAAAATATCGTCATTCTACACTAAAAAGTGTCCCGTCAGTCTTACAACACTGGTGAGTAGTGCAAACTGGAGCATCTCCGTCGCGAATCGGCGATGTGGTATTTCCCAATTGGCTTAAGGAGTGTTTCCTGGCATTTCAAACCCAAATTTCTAGGTGTTTCATGGAATTTCATCCATCACATCCTCAATTGACTCTGGTGGCATCAAAAAGTCCACGGGTACAGTTTCCGGTATCTGTCTCTCCTTCGCCCATTCCCTGATTGCCTCATAATTCTTGCATTTATGCTCAGTATTGAAGTCCACAAAAGCCTTCGGAGCTTTCTTGTCCCACCAAATTTGCCCAAGGACTCCAGTGTCGGGCATACACATTAATTGCTGCCTCACAATGTCGAGACAGTGAGTTACATGATAGCGAACGATATTGTCTTCGTTCACGAAAGCGCCTTCGCCTTTTGAGTGGTAGTAATCATAGTTAAAGTATAGACTTTGCCTGACTAAATTCAAGCAGTGAAGATGGTGAAGTCCTTCAACATTTGCAGGGAAGCCTCCACCATATTTGGAGGCAATCTGTACATGTGATTTGGTCAGTCCCGATGCGGGTGCTTCGGATACCGGAATAGCTATGCTTCTATCTATAATTTGTAAGTACGTGAAGATTTGGGTTGGGCGCGGTAATTACAATGAACTCCCAGGGAAGCCCAGGCAGCATCAACTTCAATCCCTGCTCCTTTTCGAAAATCATTTTCTTTCATAAACGAACCATTGAACAGTACCGGATGGAGTGATGTGTCAACTTCTTTTAGAATAGGAGCTTTGTTTGAATTCAGTATGTTTTCAGAATTACGAGGGGAATGCTTACAGTAATGTTGGACATGTTGGAGGTAGTCTTGACCAGTTGGGCCGAGCTTATGACTTCCATACCAAGCTCCTGTCACGAATGACGAGAGAATAGCTATTATGGAAACAGAACTTAGGAGGAAAATATGAGTCCAAGATCTTAGTCTTTTTATTCGACTATGATTATAGTCTGGATATGAAGACTCTTTGTCAAGTAATTGTTCGTGGGACTCGGCTTCTGAATGAGAGTCCTCACCGCTACTCCTGGATGTTTGAGGAAACATGATGGTGTAGTTGATCTAATTCTGCAAAAGAAATGGTAATATTGGGAGATGCAAAGAAAAGAAGAAAAGTGCCAGAAGTGAAATGAGATCGAAGAGAGAGACCAACTTGGACCTTTGCTCTGCTGTCTCCTGCGGGACTTTCGGGCTAAAGAAGCACCAATAAACGACAAACAAGTGACCCTTCATAATCAATACACTTCGTTCCAGAGGAAGCGGGATGACGATACGCAAGCCTTGCTCTTGATCGGATGGTTGCGATCATACCATTGTAACCTGAAGCGGCAAGTCCCTTTGAGCATCCTCGTATCTGAGATCGCTTGAAAACCAAGGCAACCTGTCTGGTGATGGCACCACACGAGGGTAGTTGAGTGTAAACAGAGAATGTTATGCCAATCGAACGTTTCTTTTTCAATATCTAGTCGCGGTCGTCAGAGCTGAATACGAGGCTCTCCAGACTACACCCCACATATTGCGCACTAACGCCAACAATACGGGTTGGTACGTGTAGGTGACACCGTATGAACTTGGGGCTGACCGAAGCTTCATGCTTAGTGACTGTCGAGCTAGGATTTATATTCGCCGTACGGACGAATATGTGGTACTTTCCCAACTCGGCTAGGAAATAAACGATGTGCGACGTAAAATCGACGGCAAGTCCGGGATGCTGCAGAACCCTGCGTTAAGGTAGGTTGCTTATGCTGCTGACCCCGAAAATGAAAACCCTAAGTGAAGTATGGATTTTACCAGGAGATGACGCAAATATTTCGATAAGTATTTGGACCAAGACGGGTAGCAGTAACATGCTGACTAACCTTCTACTTTCAGACTTCTATTGAAGGGGTAACTGCTCTACTGGCTGAGAACAATGGATGAAATTCACGATACTGAGTTAAACTAGTTGGATTATATCGTATGTCCACTGGCAATTTTGCTGTCCACGAAGGCATGCTTCGTATAGTTCTATGGCGTGAGGTGCCCAGGTGGTCATGGTTTCCCCGCATTTCGTAACCTCGTAAGCGAGGTGCAGGACGACCTCCCAGCATCAACTGGTCTCACACGTCCTGCGATTTGTATTGTAAGTTTAATAAGAACTGGCTGCAAACTAATGCAGATCTGACACGAGTACACGATGACTACTTCGTATGCAAAACTCGTAAAATCAACTTTAACGCAGTGTCTCAAGCTGATTGTGCATTCGAGAACGATGATGTGGGGAGGATTAAATGGTAAGATGTTGCTTTCCTTGTTTTGATTAATACGATCCTGCGGTGCTTGTTTCACCGCTTTGGTATGCAGATAATTGACAGGTGACACTACTTCAGTAGATACCAATACCGTCTCTCTGTTTTCGTATTAGAGTTATAGTGTGGCAAGCTTTGCTGGTGAGATTATTTAGGCACCCCGCTCACTAGTATGGCCGTACTCTCGTACTCTGCTAAGTTAGGCTGGAACGCTTTTACAGTCGTCTACTTTGTTGTACTTGGTAAGATATCCACGGGCATACGAGTGTTCCAAGAATATTCAATCTCCAATCACTGAACCCCAAAGTCGACATAGTAGTACTCAGAACTTTCAGCTGTTAGAAAAAAGACTAGTGTATGGCAAGTGTGCCATATTCTCTTTACCTCTGGGATTGTGCACTAGAAGTGACTGCTTGGAAGCGAGAATATCATCCCCGATTCTAGTCAGCCACCAAATCTGGCCAATGGTTGTTGACAATTTTGCAAATCAAAAGTATTAGATTAATAAAAGCTGGGGGCCTAATGTGCATCAGTTTGACAGGGTTAAAGTTAGTGTTTGTTTGTCGTAAGGTTGCACACTGCACTCTCCCGATCCACTCATTAGCATCCACAACGATAGGTTGGTCGGCATGTAGATCACTAATAATTCAAGCTATACAATAACGTTCCAATGATGGAATACGAACATGACGACAGTGGTCGAATTAGATACCTGCTTTTTCAAGACAAAAGCGGTCATGACAGCACTTGGACAACCTTATAAGCAAGCACTTCCATCTTCAACAGCAATCATCCTTCTCGCCTCCCTCCACTCTCCAATATCTAGTCTTACTATCGGCTTTCAAATTCTTCATAAAAAAACGTCAACATGCGTGTTCAACAACTCATTGTGTTAGGAGGTCTCAGCACTGTTTTGGGTGCGCCAATTGCTGAGCCCGAGCCAGCTCCTGTCGCTCAGTTCGATTACAAGAACTATGGAGGTAGTGATCCCGAATCCACTTCGCTTGATAACAGTCTTGCTAATTAATTTCATTTTAGACTACGGCAATTAGTAAGTAACATCATCCTCCACCGCTCTTGGTCATCGTGATATGCCAAAACAGTCCTTAGCGGTCGAAACGTGCTGAGCTTGATATGATGGTGGTGGAACAGCAACTGAAATCCCATAAAGCTGCTCAAGAAACCTTGCGCTAACAGTTTACTCTTTGTAGTGGAAAATATAACTCTTACCCTACAACTACTTCATCGACGCCCGCTGCAACACCCACGTCTTATTCTCCCTATGCATCCTACGGTAAGCAAGCAGCACAACTGTTCATCGGACAAAACACATGAATCTCAGAACTTTGTGCTCATATAAATGGAATTATAGGCAAATATGGGCGGGATGCTGCTCCTGAGGTCCAAGAACGCGAAGCATCTCCCGAGCCTGCCCCAGTAGACTATGGAAACTATGTAAGTTCCTCTAATATGGAGGGAAATTGCCACTTTCATCCCAGAGGATTATCTAACAGAAATCCTGGTAATAGGGCAAATATGGAACGTATACCAGCTA